AACAAACAAACAAACAAAAAGAACTTGTGCCCAATCCCTTTGTAATAAGTAATAACAATAAAATATGTTCAAACCAATCATTTAAGTATCTCTCGCTCCTTATCTATTTTAGATCAATTCATAATTTGCTATGTGCATTTAAAGCACATGTAAGGTCTTTATTCAGATTTCATTCGTTTTAAGTTAAAAAACTGAAACTCGATTCGAAGAAATTGCTAGTAGGTTATACATGTATGTGATTTATTTAGGACTTGTTTTTAATGTGTTGACAATTTGGTTTTATATCTTAGACAAACAACATCCCTGTAGTTAGAGCAACATCCCTGCAGAGAGAGAGAGAGAGAGAGAGAGAGAGAGAGAGATTGTGTACTTTCTGTGTATTTAATGAAGGAGTTAGGACACACCAAATTTTATAATTTTTAAGACATCTCTTTTCAAACATAGTTTCAGCATGATAGACCGATATATACTTTTTTTTTTTACTTTTTATACGAATTTTTTTTTATTATCATTTTGCAGAGAAAATGTTAAAATTGTCTTATTTGCAAATAAGATGCATGCCAGCGTAGTCATATAAGGTTTTCATAAGTCCATTCAAATAATACAAATCAGGAGCAGAGCAAACACGGACCTCCAAAACATCAGAGGTGGGGTCAGGTGTCATAGAGGAGTGAGCATCCCCTGTCTACCGGTTACACCCGCCGTGTGCTCCTTGTCACGATCGGGAAAAACGGAAAAATCCGTAGGCAATTCAGGGTGTAAATAATGGCCTAACAAGTAGTATGAAAAATGTCAGTCAGCATTTGACTAAATGATAGATTGTATTAACTGACAAGGTCAGTGTATCGACCAAAGAACTTTCAAAATGATGACTTTAAACAAAACTGTAGATATTCTTGTTGCATTAACTTGTATGTCAATAGCTTGCCTCGTTTTAGAAATTGTTCGTCATAGAGCATACTCTTGCGTATCGAATCAATTGAGAGACATAAACCACATATGCAGGTGATGAGGGTGTATTGCTTCAATAATAAGGGAAGTTGACTATAGAAAAGTTGAAGTCATCAGATTTATCATAAAGTTTTGTTGTTAGGTTACCATTAACAACTTTTTCTAGTAAAATATCCAAATATGAAACAGATGTATTAGACTCTGTGGTATCTTTTATTTCGAATTGAGACGATATATGAATGGAAGTAACTATAGTTTATTGATAATACGTCGTCGATATATCTAAATGTCGAGTTGAAGGCCACAGCAAGTATTTTTTTCTTCTTCTCATGTATAAGATTTTAAATAAATACTGCTTCATATGAACACACAAAAATAATAACGGGGCGCAATTGGTACTCATGGAAATTTCGACAGATTGTTGGAAGACCTGGTCTTCAATAACTACAAAGGTATTGTCGATCAGAAACTCAAGCATCTTTTTAATATCAACTTCAGAGTACTTATCAGTATATTTTTTAAACAAAATAATGTTGCAAATGACCAATGACAAGGTAAGTACATTTACGAGTTCCATTTTTATTGAAAAAGCAGCTGTTTATTTTTATGTCTTAAGAATTATCAAATTTGAAAAGAGAGAAAGGACACAAGACAAAATAAAATAAACTAAAAAAAAAACAAATCAACAAAGAAAATAAACCACAATCCATACTTTAAAAAATAATTTAAGATAAATGCTTCAGAATGATCTAAGTCTTCATAATGAACGTACACAGTCTAGATCTCGGACGTTCGCAGTTTGACACAAATGGGTTCTCATGAGAAACGACATCCCTCATGTCCTCTTGCCTCGTAATGAATTTCAAGCATATATGTGGTTTTGATTTTAAGGGCACTGAAAACTATGTCAATAGAGAAAAGTTCCGAGAACTTTGTGTGAGAAAGTCATGGCCTGTTCCATGAATTAAAGTACAAAATTCCTCATTAATCACGTCCTGTAAGTTGTATGATTAATTATGAATAATCATCAACAAATATGGAGCAAAAATGCACAGTAGTAATGTTAAACAGTACAAGATCAGCGCCTTCCTGAATTATGCATTTACATTAAGTCGGGAAAATGAATGCGATGATTCGTCAGACTTAGTGAGAACAAGGTCCGCTTAATTTTTCCTAAAACAATTAATCATTGCCTGGGAAAGAACATTGAACGACCAATGATTACTATCGCTCTGGACTCTTCCTTCAGCGATCGCAAAGTACATATGTTCTACTAGCCACGGATCACAATTCTTATTGCTCTTATTGCTACGTAAAGTGTGGGCATGTAAAATGCTGATTTCGATAAACTAAATTTGCTGACTGAAAATAGGTTGCAAGAACATAATTAGCAATGCTGATTATTTTTGACCAGGCAGCCAAAATGCTTTTAAAAATAAACTGCTTTCATGTTCATATCCCTAAAATTTCTTATTCTCCCGACTGACATAGAGTAGTTTGTTGATAAAACAGTATTTCAGTTAACCTAGGTGTCGCCTGTTTAACTGCAAAATGTATGACATGATAATTTTTTATATCTTTCTGTAGAATCAAAAAGAATGAATAATTGAAATAAAACTTGGTTTATCCAATATATTGAAAGATCAATCAATATTACAATATAGTAAGTCGTTAAATAGTCTTCATTGTAAAGTATAATTATATAAACAAACAAATTGCAAAAGCAAGGTCAAATTCAAAACTGTTTCTTTCATAAATATCAGAAATGGAATTTTTTTTCTTGTGTCCAGAGAGAAAATTGTTCATAAGGGATACCGTCCATGCACCTCAAAACTAGTTTTTAGGTGGTTAAGAAGCGCTTTTGACAGTCCCATATCTCCATCAAACCTAGGCATTAATTATAGTGTTGTTACAAAAACGTTCTGACAACATTTTACTGTACGTGGAAGTATACCTGCTTAGTAAACATTGTGATGGAGAGTGTTTAAATCATTTGTTGGCTGCCTCTTATGTGGATAAACTAGAGAATCCGACCAAGACTAAATATCCAAACTTTTAAGCAACACGTTAACATAAGCATTGACTGCTCTCTCTCTCAATATATATATAATATACCTGACCATTGACCGTAGAATTTTAAAAGAATAACTCTAGTTCGGTATAGCCTATTTTCGCTAGAAAGGAACTTATTATAGCGCATGGCAGAAAAGGCTGAAAGAATTTATAAATTTACATCAGATGTTCAACCTATAGGCACACACTAGCTGGACAAGCTTTGATAAGAAAAAATCAAAGTGCTGAAACAGTACTGAAAGATGGGGTCAAACTAATAAAGGTCATGATTTTATAACTTCATAACTGTTGTATATTTTTAAAGGGTTTTTATACTTCAAAAATTATAAATTTAAAATTAAAATGAAATTTCAAATAAACTTTACAACAAAAAATAGATTTATTCTGTATCAGATTTATTAATTGTAAAGAAACCTTATAGCACTGACCGAATTTAACGAGGTAAGAATTAATCTGACATTTCCGGAAGTACATCATAAGGACCCGGACCACTATTAGCTTACATATAGACTTATATAGTAAAAACACGTGTTTTATTTCGTTTGTAATATTTTTATAATAGAGTATTCAATAAAAAAAACAAGTCAGCATGTGCTTAAACAATCTGTCCACTACATTTTTTCTTCTGTATCAATAAATTGTGACGTCATGCTCTTTAAATAGCTATGCATGATGAAAAGAAGTGTAAACAAGTTTGGCTTTCCAGAAAGCCTGAAATGTCATCTCTTTGGCTTCATTAATATCACAGAATAAAAAGTGGAATGTTATATTATTTTTTCAGCTATTACAGGCAGTAGTATCGCTTTTAAAAAATGGGGGGGGGGGCGGGGGACAGAAAAAAAAATCGACGATTTATCTGAACAATCTTTGACAAGGGGAAAAAGGGGCTATCCAAACTCAACATTTTCATTTCTTGGAAGGAGGGATTACAACTTTTCCGACAAACATATTTTATATTATAATACATTCTTATGGGGTGATTTGACGTACCATACTGCAACAAAAGGTGGAAGAGGGGTCAAGGGTGCGCCTTTTCAATGTTTGGGGAAAAAGTGGAAGGGGACGGCCCTCCTGGTGCTATGTGCCTGTATTACTTTATCTGTTGTAAATATGTTTTATTCAGTTTAAATATATTTTGTATTATGTCTGTAAAAAAATTCTAACCACTGAGAAATATTCGTAAGAATTATTTAAAGTCATATATTAGAGAAGATAAGATAATATTTATTTAAAGTCGGGTAATTCAAACAGAAAAACATTAGCTCTGAAGAGCTATTTACCGACTACATAATAATATTACATATAATACAACAATACGAATAAACAAGAAACAGTACTTAAAAATCACACTACTAAAATATCAATATACCCCGTGATGCATTACAATGACATATGACATAGTACGCATCACAATAAGACCAACAAACTGAAATAAACCCTGTTTACTATTATCTAAAAATGTTATGATTTTTTCAAGAAAAACAGATGATGAAACATCATTTAGATTTTATTACAATCACCAAATGATTAACATAACGAATGAATATAAATATTTGGGTGTTGTGTTCAGATCTGATGGAAAAATGAAATTTGCAGCTGAACAACTATCAGAACGTGCTAGGAAAGCATATTATGCTATTAAATCAAATTTTCCTGCAAACATTAATTTTTCAGCTGAAATTATGTTAAAATTATACCAGTCAATGATAATACCAATTATTACATATGGATCTGAAGTATGGATAACTGACTTCAAATGTGATTTAATGTCTTCAGACCAATTTCCTTTTGAAAAAACACAACACTTAATATTTAAAGACATACTATAGTCTGTCCCACCAAGCTACTGTCACCACTTTTTGCAACATATCTCAAAATATATAAATACCTTGGCCTTCAACCTAGGTTCGAGAGATAGATCATTTTTTTTCCAATTTTCCTGCATTTATCCGAACCCTCGAGTTCAACCGGTGTATTGACACGGCGGCAAATTCAAAGTCTACGGGGATTTAACATGGTAAACTCGTCCATTAGCGTCAAGATCACGGGGCAGGAAACCAGTTTATCGAGGGAGTAGTCGTTCTTTCCAAATTAAAATTACAAAAAATCCTAAAAATTCAACGAAAGCAATTCAGTGTGTTTTGGTAAAAAATATAAGTATTGTTTTGCATTCAAATATATTTGACGAGTTTTCTCATAAACTGAGAGAAAATAATCCGAATTCAATGCAGTACAAGTTGTGGATAACGCACTGCTCTAGAAAGGGGATGTTGACATGATGTGTAATTTACAGCTTCCTTCGATGAAAACGTAAGTTTTTTTTTTTTTTTTACTTCTGAAAGTACACCCACAAAAGAAGTGTTTTCAAGTGCTAATGATTTGTCAAAATCAAGCATTATTCGGCGAAAGCGCCCAATGCATATCTGCACAGTAGGCCTAGTGGGGAAAAACGAAAACTTTCAGTAGATCTATAATGGTAATGACTTTTTTTGTAAGAAGCTTAAGATTTTTAATACTCTTTCAGTCACAGGGAACATATCTAAAACGCAACAGTTGGTCCACAGAATTCATTGAAAACAATCCTTTCACCTGATTAATAAAATGTCAAATTTCCCCCTTTTAGTTACAGAAAATTTTCGATTAAATATACATTAAGTTGAGGATAAAGTAAGCATGCTGCATTTTATCATAAAATAAATGAACTTAGATTAGCTCTCAGAATGCAAATTATTACGTTAATCCTAAACTTTCCAGGGGAGGGGGCATGCCCCAAATACTCCCATTTTGAAATATTCACACTTCCAGTACTAACTCTGCAGTTACATTTCATCCCTTCATGTGAAAGGCAGTGTGATTTTTTTTTTTTGGTTGTTCCTCGGTCCCCCCTCTTTTTCACTAACAATTTTTTGTGAAGTTGGAATTCATAATATGGTAATGCTGCAAGTTTCCCTGGTATACAACCCTTGAGATTTCTTTTTTTTTTTCTTTCACCAGTATTGTAAAAAAAAAATCTTTATTATTTTTTTTGGGGGGTGGGGGGGGGGGTGGTGGTATTTCTTTAAAGTTCATAATTTGAAATTCATTGACTTACATCTACCCCATAGTTAACCCATTTTGTTCAAACAATAAAGAAAGAGAGCATACAGGACAATCCCCTGCTGTGAGATATATTACAATTTTTCAAAGTTCAAGGAAGAGTTACATTTATAAAAAAAAAAGTTGTTAGTAATGTCAATGGCAAACTTAAATTTTCACTACCTCAGGATGCTTCCGTATCAATATTGCTAATCATGGCTTTGCTGTTCTTTAACAGAAGAATTTTAAAGACCCTCCCCCCCCCCCCCCATGTATTCCTATGTAAAACGCTCATCGCTCATTGTGGCCCAGGGTTAGAAACTCCCTAAAATTACAACTCGCAAATAATTGCGAGTACCAACAAAGTGAACTCGCAATTTTATAAGACTACTTGCAATTTTCATATAAAGTTAAATTTATATAAATTAAATACATGTAACTTAAAGCAATATGAGCTGCAACTTTGATCTCAGAAATATTTGTTGCAATGTTGTAATTAACTATTTCAATGACAGAAAAAAAGAACATTTATAAACTACTGTTGTTCATTTTTGTGAAGAAAGAACTATGTATAAGCTTTGATTGAAGTAAAATTACATTATTGTCGTCCTGTACAATATTGATGTCTTATATAATACTATACTTTCCATTGTACAAAAATCTTTCCATGAAAAAAATTAATAATTTATTTTAGATCATAAAAGATTAAATTACATACAGATTTATCATAACAGCACATTTTAACAGCAAAATAAAATTCTCAAAAATGCAGCTCATATTGCTTTAAGGAAAAAGTAACTACTGTACAATACACAAAATACAACTACAGTGTGACTTTTATTTAAATTACTGATTTAAATCAAAAGTATTGTGTTCTGTCATATTATATAATTTTGCTACAGTTTCAATGCAAAAAAAAAAAATCAACTCGCAAGTTTTTGTGAGTTACCTTATTTTCAACTCGCAATTTGGGAATTCTAACTCGTGTTTTGCAAGTTGTATATAGTGAATTTTGAACCCTGGTGGCCCCACCCTACCCATCCTAAAATTGAACAAATTTGAATCTACACTACCTGAGGATGCTTCTATAATAATGAAGCTTTTACATAATTTTCATCTTTTCTTGCCTAGCTAGTGGTTCTTGAGAAGATTTTTAAAGATGCCACTAAATTTTCATGAACTCTTCATTATCTTTCCTTGAAAGAAGGCATGGCACTTCCTGTGAACAAACTTAAATCCCCTTCACCCAAGGATGCTTTGTCACATTTGCAGGTTTGTTTTAAATTGGCCCAGCGGTTCTTGAGAAGAAGTCGAAAAAGTTTATAGATGGCAGACGCCGGACACCCTTTGATCAGAAAAGCTCACTTGAGCCTTTGGCTCTTTTTTTTCTTTCCACATACCTTCATAATTGAAAATAAAAAATACTAATCAATAAGTTATTCAATTAAATAAAAGAAGCAAATGTGTAAAAGATGATATTGACAATACAATTTTTGTGAAATATAACATCATGAACTTAAGAATTAAGAAATGTCTTTTCTCAGAGTGGGGGATTATCTTCGCCTTGTACGCATCCATTCTTTATGTCCAAAAGAAAAATTTAGCAAAACATTCATTTGTAAAATTAAAGTTATGTACAGTATTCTAGCATACATGTACTAAATAAAAGGCCAGAAAACTGATATGATGCATATTGTATACAGTGTATGAGCACATTGTAATAAAGAAGTAAAGTATACTTGATTATGCCTTTATATTTATTTACATAATTTTTTTTTTTTGAAGGTTAAAAAAATTGGAGTACATTGTTATGATGACCAGACTCGAAGGCATTCATGTAATTGGGTGAATCACAGAGTCTCAGGAATCTTCTGGACTAGTAAGTTATACATGTACATGTATATATAAAATATTAAAATGTCTTTACTCTGTCTGAATTGCATACTTCAGGCTGGAATCTGAAAATAAAAATTGTAGTTTCCATATGTATATAATTTATACTACATGTATCTTGGTACATGTAGAATTGAAATTCATTCTTTAATTTCACTTCAATTACTTAACCATAAATTTCATTCTCAAGAATTTTGATAACATTTAAGATGTGTTTTATTATCTATTTCAGACCAAAAGTGATGGCTGAAACAAATATTAACTGATAGTCTACTTAGTGATCTGGACACTGGATAAGGCAGAGACCATTTTCAACAGAACTGTTAAGAGTGTAAATAAAAAAAGAAAACAAGATACCCACTCTCCAACTCATTCATAGCTTCATTCTTGGCTTCATTGATTGTGTTGAATATGAGTCAAGACTTTTCTATTGTACCAACGCTGAAGGGACTTTCAAACCATAAACAACATCACCACAGAGCAGTTGACTTTCATTTCTTCTTCTGAATTTGTATGTTATACCCTTAATTATTACAGTGTGAATTTACTTTGCACAGAAGAAGATGTAAATTAGCATAACTTCAAAAAGTATTTACTTTGTCAGTTTCAGACACATAACTCAATTATTTGGTATTTTAAAAAAAAGTAATTGGCAGTATTTACTGTGGAATCATCATTGTTCTTGGGGGAGGATAGGTGGGTCAAACATATCCACTAATTTATATTCCCACAAATACTTATTTTTTCAACTTGTCAATTCATTGAATCTTTAACTTAATGTATTTTAAAGTTAACCTTATGAATTATGTCTGCACAAACCAGTTGAATTAAATGCCTGCCCACTAATAGCTGATTAATGCCCCCCCCCCCCCCCATAAAATGATTGCACAGTTTTTCAATTTTCAAAAACTATAGAAGGCCATATACATGTATCTGCAGGTACTTTGGGTGGTTTAATCATCTTTGCTTGTGCTGGTCTGTCTGATGTCTTCATCAGCTAGCTATTCTGTATCCTACAATTAAATTCTTGTTTCCAAATAAAACAGCTGTAAAATGCTTTGTATTATTTATGCTTATTTAATTTTGTCTACAGTTTTGAATTATTTTTTTTCTTAATGTTTGGAAAAAATAATATGAGAGGGATTCGACAAGAATTTATATTTCCTGCAAATATACATTTTTTTTTTTTTTAAAAATGTGTGTTATATATCAGGGACCTATATACTTTAATAGTTAGTAGAGATCCCTGGTTATATTTTAAAAGTTCATATTCATGCAAAATCTACAGACATAATAAAAAAAATATAAAATGTATTCCATGAGTACATGTTTGAGTGTGTCCTTGATCTTTGGTATTCTGGCATTTATTAATGGAAAGACTTGATATAAAATGTTTAAAATCTCAGGGCCCGGATTTACCTAATGCCGATACAGGAAGTTTTCGAAGGGCAAGGTCAAAATCCACTGGTGACGTAGTTTGATGCAGACTACAAGTCTTGTTTTGCACAAAGATTCAAAAAGTATTAACAAAGGTGGATATATGGTGTGATAAGTGTTATAAGTATATAAATCCAGGAAGTGCACTTACGGGACATGTATAGAAGTGACAAGATGTTTAATCGTGTTTACATTGAACTATATATATATATTGTGTTTGGGATTTACTCAGTGCAAGGTAAAGTTGTAGATTTTGTTTACATTTACACTCTATAGAACGTATTCGCTTACATGTTTTGGCAAAGCAGTCATGGCACTCTTCCTTGGTTGATATTTTGCAGCCTCGAATGTTTTAAACATTCAAACTTAGGAATCCTTGAGTATATGAATTCAAATGGGTCGCAGTGTTTAGCTCTTTTAAACTTCTTCTGTCAATTGATATGCAATGTATGCTTAAAACTCCGTATTTTTTCACTAATTTTAAAATACACGTGTATTAGGTGCTTGGTAAGTCTCGGGCGGTATGCTTTTCCGGACGTCCGTAAGTGCAGAGAATTTCCGAAAGTGTGTTACGTCATTACGTCAATGACGGTAAAGTACGGAAATCCACGAATAATGATGGATCCCCTTCCGAAGTGACGGCCATTTTGGCAATGTTAAATCCCCGTAGACTTTGAATTTGCCGCCGTGTCAATACACCGGTTGAACTCGAGGGTTCGGATAAATGCAGGAAAATTGGAAAAAAAATGATCTATCTCTCGAACCTAGGTTGAAGGCCAAGGTATTTATATATTTTGAGATATGTTGCAAAAAGTGGTGACAGTAGCTTGGTGGGACAGACTTTAGGGGTACATAGAAAGGCATCAAATCTTGCTTTTTTATGTGAATTGGGTCGTTTTCCTTTGTACTATTTATGTTATGAATATATGTTTAAATATTTTAAGAGACTTAAGGAAATGGAAAACAAACATGATTATAATAATTATTTAGTGATTTCTGCATTTAAAGAAGACAAAAAACTTGTATCTAGAATATCTTGGCAAAGAAAACTGTCTTCATTACTACAAAAATTAATTATCACTTCTTTGGATATTTCTCACACAACCTTGAAAAACAAATTACAAGAGCATTACCAAAACAAGATACATGAACAACTGAAAAATATAAGCAAATCAAACTCTGGAAAGTTAGCTTTTTATAGTAAAATTGTAATTCAAAATGAATACAAATTGCAAAGTTATTTAAAGCTGCCTTTAAAGAAAAGTTTTAGATCTGTATTAACAAAATTAAGGATCAGTGCCCATCCATTGTATATTGAAACGGGCAGATACTGTAAACCCCCTATTCCTAGAGAAAAACGTTTATGCTATTCATGTAAATTATTTATTGAAGATGAAAAACATTTTGTTCTATACTGTTCAAAGTATGACCAATTTAGATGCAATTATACTGATATATTTAATGTAAACACATATACTAGTGATAATCCCATTATCCTACAAATATTACAACTGCTAGAAGGATATGTTGTTTTTTGAAAAAGTGCTTTGACACCAGAAAAGAAAGTCAGCAATGAATACTTAGAAATATGTGAATATACTCTACATTATTTTGTTCAACTCACATTTGTCACTTTGTATATGTATGTATTATTTTTGTTAATTCGTTTTATGTCATGACTGTATGCCGACATGGTAATTGTCAATAAAGTGAATTGAATTGAAAATAAAATTTAGCGACAAGCACAGCAATTACAACTATTTCCGTACCAACTACTTATGTGTTTGATTTGAATTAGTTAAAAGTAGTAATATTTCTAAAAGATTCTGGTAAAGAGTTCCAGAGTTTTGCGGATTCATATCTAAAAGACTTCAAACCGTATGTTGTTGATCTTGTTTTTGGTAAAACAGCAGTTTTCGCATATCTAAAAGAATATGGCGTTTCTTTAATATGGATAAAATCGTGTAGGTAAGATGGGCTTTGTTTGTTTAAAATCTTAAAACATTCTGTTGCCATTGTTCTAATACGCCGGAGTTTGAGGCATGCCAATATATTGCGTTTCTTTTTTATACAAGTTCAGACTACCTAAATTAAAAAGATCTTTCTATTTGTTTTATTACTTTATATAAAAATAGGACTTTCCTGTAAATTTCAAATTTAAATCAATCACGTTTCAAAGATATTAGAAATTTAAAACAATAACCGATTTATTTACCGATTCAGATTTTAATTAACAGACACACGTCAGTTTAATTTTTTTTTTAATCAGTCGAACTATGGAAACACGAGGTTATTCAAGTTCAAAATCGGTGAAAAATTTAATTTCAACGTAAATAGCATATATCATGTTTAGCTACACCCAATCTCGTATTTTTATTTTTTAGCTCAGATACGCCATATATAGCTTTAACAATTATTCCGAAAGAAGATGGATAAAAAAATTAGCGTTCCTTTTGACTTAAGTATTTAGCCGCCTACTACGGCAGCAAAGAAGTTTTAAAGCGCCAACTTAAATTAATCTGAACCTGAATTAATTCCCAAGACTCTCCTTATTTTCCTTAATCGTATCCTCTGAAGTGACTTGGCCATCGAGCCACTGGGAATATCAAGGGAAAAACTGAGACACTCCTGCATCATGCCCTTCTGCTGCCCATGCAGATTCATGTTCTAACGCTATATTATGTATAATATAAGTACATGTACATGTATACGCTCCTGGGAAAAAAAATCATGCATAGAAAGGTAATAAAATTGAAACGTTACCATTTAAAATTAAGTGTTTACACACTGAAAAGAACCCCAATCTACCAACATCGATTTTATAGGCTGTTCCATGAGACACACATTTTATAATTTTGACTTTATTTCAAGAATACGAGGAGTGATTTTTTTTTTTACCTTTTCTCATTGACAAAAAACGCAAATTAGAACTGCATAAAGAAAAATGATAACAGTTGCTTTGTTTATTAATTCTAAAAATCTGAGCCAGGTAAAGAAAACTGTATCTTTTCCTAAAACTTTTCTACAGGGGTGAATTTAAATAAAAAAAGAACATAGTGCACACATCCGAGAAAATACTCATAATGATTCTTTATGATCTTTATTCCAATGCCTGCAGCACTTAGTTACTTAAATCAGAGATATTTATGTTTCTGCCTAAATTGTGCTTTTAGGTAAAATTTCTTTTCTTTGAAATTTATTTATTTATTTACTTTTTTGAATAAGTTCTGTTTTATTTTTCATATATACGGCATTAATTATCGATTGACTAAAGTGCACATAAAAGTAAAGTTTTTGCCATTGTATGTATGCATTTTTAAAATGTGAGTTGTTTTTTAAATGTTTTCACTGTTTTCTTGGAAATCTTGGATCCACGCCTTGGCTTATACATTCAATATGCCATGTTTTGTGAATATTGATCCCCGCGCGCTGACCATCGTTTTACGCAAAAGCCTAGATACAATGTTTATGTATATATATATAAGCCGTTAATGAAGACCCACCACCATCCAAGTGATCCTACCTCTATTACTCTTAATGAACCCTGGTGTAGTTTTACTTTATCACAGAATAAAAAGTGGACCATTTTGTTTAATAATAATAAGACAGACTTTGGTCAATTTTGTTTACATCTCTATATTTAGAAATCGTTTCATCGTCAGTTCCTTTGCCAGAACCACCAGCTTATCAATGGCAGATTACACTAGGACTTTACTTCCGGTGATTCAAACTTAATGTGTCATCTCCCGAGGGAGATGACAACAAGCCAAATCACTTCCCAATTCAATACTCATCTAAGTGCATAGTTTATGCTTTAAAACCATGTTATTGCATATCATTATAAACTTAAATCAATAAACAACCATTCTATGTTCATTAAATTTCATGTATTTGCCACTTGTCCTTCCTGTAGTCAATGAAAGTGAGACATGTCAATTTCCTACATGTACTATATTTAAAGTGGTTGACCTTCACCCTTTTATTGTGGACCGAATCCATGTACGCAAGCGGTAACGCAGCCCTGTTTTTCGCATCCGGTAGATTGTTTACATGTAATGATTTTCATTAGATTAAAACGTTATGCTTCACCAACATCTTTAATTTGTGGAGAAAAATTTTTAAATTACTTTCTTTTGTTTGACTAAACATATTTGTCTTTTGACAAAAGCTAATTTGGCATTCTTTTCTGTAACGTAGATTCAATTGAGGTGCTAAGAGCAGGGATTCGACTGACAGTACATGTGACCCCGTCCAAAAATCGTTTCTTTTATCAGTTATATTTGTTTACCGACGTGATTGAAAGCATGTGGAACAAAACTGTCCTAATGTATCATCGAAAGCACATGTTTATTTGCAAACTCCGTAAACTTCGTATATATTCTCATTCAAGAAGTCAACAACCCACGTAGAAAGAGAGACTCCATACCTACAATAAACATTAGAAAGTCAGTAAAAAAATACTACCTATATTGAAAACATCCTTTGAAAAAAATGAAACAATCAACAATTTTCGCCCGAGAAAAGACCTATCTAACCTGCCACAGCTGACTGGAAGCCAGCGTTGTAATCACAGGCCACTTCATTGATCTGGTAGTTCTGGCGGTCATCAGTGTACCTGTCATGTACATCCGGGCCTCCTACAAGGCCGCCATATAGCACGTGAGGATTTGGCCCCTTCCTGGTTAAATACGCCATTCCACAGGGAGCCGGCATTGTGGGACAAGAACTGTAAAACAAATCAGTGATTTTATAGTATTAATGTAATGTAATGTAATGCAATAGAAAATTCGTTATTGATCACAAGCTGCATCTCTAAATTTTACACATTGAAGTATTTTATATCAAAGCTTTAAATTACAAAATTCAATTCTAATACTCAGTAACAAATAATAAAGGGTGTGTTCTACTGACGCGCCCCGGTGGTGGGGATGAACTGGTGGGTTTACACCGAATCCACATACAAAGCTCCTCCCTGTGTCCCCAAGGACGTAATGGATTTGACCTTTCGCCCAGTCACGGTAAGTGGAGGAATGAAGACCGTCATCAGCCAATAATAGCGCAAGAAAGGCCATGTTGGCTAAAAATAGAGTCCATTCCTTATTTAGTCAAACACAGGTCAAAGTATCTAAATTGTTTTATAATTGTAAAGACCATTAAGTTCTAAAAAAGATATAACTGTAAGTATTTTGTACGAAGGGAATTAAATCTCAGAAGAAAATTATAAAATGGTGCAGAGATTCTAGAAATACACCTATCATGTACATGATCAAATATCTGTTTTCTCACAGGTATGTCTGAGTGACCCCCAAGGATTTCTGAAGGCCAGCCCTTTAGGACTGTACGGAACACTTCCGCCCGGCATCCACTCCCGGAAAGTAGACTCAATATCCTGTCTGTATTTATCTTTACCAGTTTCTTCATACAGCAAAACCTAGCAAAGCAACATTTAAATTCGGAGTATACCAGCTACTTGATAATTGGCAACAGCCAGTGCAAATAAAAAGTACTATTTTCATTTTAATTGCAAACAGGTCATTTCATTTGTAAGTGAAACCCTTAGAATTAATAAACAGTATCAGGGAAGTTAAAAATAAAAATAATCAAGCATTTCTTCTTACAGAGTGTAAAATATAACAATATCATAAACATGGTTGACCTGGCTCCCGACAGCTTTATCACCCCAAGACTGTCCCCAGGAGGGTCCCGCCACGTAGTATGTTTCCGCCTGTGTCAGGTATCCAGTGTCATTGGTGGCCTTGTAAAGCCAGGCCCCCGCCCAAGAGAGTTCATCATTATAGTTACCCGACCTAACAAAACAAAGAATTATTTTAAGGAATGAATTTAATAGTTACCCAATTTATACGGTATAAACTGGGTTGGGACAGTTTACGCTTTTATAATAATAAACCAAGAAGCGTAAAATAGCGTAAACTGTTCCAACCCACTTTATTCCGTATACATTGGGTAGACATTGGGTACACATTGAGTAGCTATTAAATTCATTCCTTATAATTTCATTTTCTTTCATTTAGTGTAAGAAAAAAGATTATTGACTTCAAATTGTAAAAAAATTTAAATGTAACATTAGGCGGATAGATCCGTTTTTGACGAAAGTCATTGTGACGTAGGCACCTCAATTTGTACAATATTAAGTATTCTTTTATCCAATCAAATACCGCGTTATAACCAGAATTAAATTATAAATAAATATATCGCAATGCACACTCAAAAGAAAAGAAAAGAAAAGAAAAAAAATGTAAAATGAAATGTACTTGTCAATATGCATGAACAGAACTACTGTTGATATGTTATAAAAGCTTGAAAATTATAATAATGCAAAACAATTTCAAAATAAAGACACTCTAAAAACATACCCGTAAAATGTTGCGACTTCCGGGATGCTTTCAGAGTATTTACCCTTGTATGTTATTGCAAAGTTGTTAATTTGTTTGGCATGCTGGAGAAGTTTATCAGCAAATACAGAATCTAACATGAATAGAAAGGATCTAATTTTAAAAATATGTTCACTATTTATGTTGACCAATGAATTATATTTTATAATTTATATATAATTAATCTCTTATATATTGGAAATAAAGGTAGAAAAATAAGAAAACAAAATCTGAAATGCATAGAAATTAGAAGTAATATGTGATTTAAAATTGGCAATTGGATATTGATTACTAATGTTTTCAATGAATATGTATGTATTCATTTCATAAAAATTGTGCACGTAGTAAAATAACATTTTTCTTTAAAAGCCAGATATCCCGCATCCATTGCTCTGCATATTTACGAAAACGGCACCTCTGGGTTTATTTTCATCGACTTTGAACAGTCATACTTTCTTATATAATATTTACAAAATATCGAATTAAGAATTAAACCTTTCTCTTTAAAAGCCAAGTATCCTGCGGCCATTGCAGCAGCGTATTCACCAGCAACGTCACTTCCGGGTTTATTTTCATCGACTTTGAACACGGTCTGTCTAGTTGTTATACTCTCTGGTCTATCCCATATAGAGTGAGACTTCCCATCGCCTACCTACAAATGTTGTTAACTTAACATATACGCAACGTACCTTACATGCTGATAATTTTTCAAGATATTCTTACTTTAAGATTATAGTGCCATCGGATGTTCGTAGACAAAAAATTAGCTTGCATTACCAGAAGTTTTGAAAAGATATCAACTGATGAAAATTCTTGTTTAATTCAAAGAAAAATATACAAAAATACTTAACATATATTCTAGATGTTTTTTTTTTTTTTTATTAAAACTTGTTTTAAAAGAAGTATACAACAACACATATAGACATTAAAATGTATCACGCGGTTCCTTTAAGTATTGGAACTCTTCAACTCCAGGGAAAAAGTCAATAAAGTTCAAACTATGTTGCGTATGTCCTTACTTAGAATACATAATTTCATAAATAAGTAATAAAATGGCCAATGACTTGGCGTCTACCTGAATTTTCTCTAAAGACGCCCTAGCCTGTGATCAATTTAAATATCTTACAAATTATCATGAATAACTCGGAATATCTCAGAAATAATATAAGCATCATCTTCCAAAGATATCTTTTATATATCATATCATATTCAAGCAGATGTTTCTTTTACCAGCGATTACCTGTATATATAGCTCATTTGGCCCGGTGTGGCATTTCAAAAACCACTCTAGCGGCCACCTGATGCATTCATACATTTTATCCAGTTGTCCACTGTGTTGGTACGCGTCTTTATACCTCAGAAGACCCCAGGTCAGCATTGTAGTTGTGGCTGCCATTGGAAAGCCAAATTTAATGTTGTCACCAGCTGAAATCAACATAAAATCTAAATGTTTGTTTCTTTAAGAACTTGAAGGCAATTAACGTTATAAAGGTAAGCACATTATCAAATGCTTTTTGTTTGATAATATTCCCATAGCTAACTTCAGCTGCAGTTCCCAGAAGTTTAACCTTACTGAGATTCACCATCGAAATAAAAGAATTTCCCATCACCTAGGACCATTTTTGTGTGCAGTAGTACTCACCATCATACCAGCCTCCTGTGAGATCCTCCCCGTTGTCCCCTCGGTCCAGTAGAGATGAATCCCCTCGCCACGTGATCCTGTTGTCGTCTGGTAATTTTCCTGACCGCTGAGCCTCGTAAAACATGATGGACTTCATCAAAACTTCATTGTAATTGTACTTTGTTCCATCATCTGCAAAAAACAGTCATTATTTAACCGAAGTTGATGTAAAGATCCTATTTCATTCATCAGTAATATGTAAATTATGGCGAAAAGATATTTATGCGATATATATTTTTTTTTTCAACGGTAAAACAAAAGAACATGTATCGAGGAGGTAAAAATTTGAAAGCAAAATATTTTATTGAGTTGTTTTAAGAAAAATAAACCGTGTCTAGACGGTATATTGAAGCAAATTGTACTCAGTTCCAAGTATCTTCAATGAAATATCTCTGATTCAAATGCAATCACCAATAGAAATAGTCGGTGGGTTCATTCCGTCATGAGCCAGATTAAGTAGTTCCGCTGTAGCCGTGGGGGTACTACGTCCGGAGTATCGGCCCTGGATTGTGATGTCAAGGGTTTGTCTGGCCTGCAGTATACCAGTGTTTGGTTTGTTCACAAGGTAGAATACTGTATTGTTGTCAGAGTGCTTTAATATGTCTCCCATCCATTCCTGATATAATAGAAAACAAGTGTTGTGTGATTCAGTTTTAATTATTTTGTGATCGGCAATATTCAAATGTGACCTTTGAGGGGTTAAAGAAAGGGGAATAAAATACCACTGCGAAGAAACTGGATTCGATACTTGATACTACGAAGTGCGACAAGAATTACTTGGAAGATAACATTTCTAAATGTGAAATTTCTTGCTGCAGTATGAATTAATGTAAAATCCTAAAATGGCATCAATTTTTAAAAAAAAAAATACTTGTAATTCCATTTCAATTTTGACCCAAGTAGTTGTTAGAGAGAAAGAGGAGAGAGAGAGATATTACCCCAAGTTATTAGCCCCATAAGAGCAAATAGTTCAATTCCATTTCACAAAACTTTATAAATTTGTGATATCAAATGCTCAGGAGACACAATATTTGAAAAAGCAATTTTCTTTCATGTATTATTTTCAGAAAACTCAAAGATGAAAATTTAAAATTTATACCCATGTCAACATAGTGCAACTTTTATCCATATTGATTAAAAATGTACATTTAACAAAAAGTATGATTAAATAGCTAAATCAAAGTGTTTTGAATAATTAATTATTTTCGGTTCCAAAGAGTGGGTATGATCCCAGGAGAAGGTAAATCAATTAATCCTAATCTGATAAGAAGAAGAAGACGACGACGAAGAAGAAATATATAAACATACTGAAAATCCTGTTACAGGTTCGGAGAAAGTGACGATACACTCCCACCCAGCTATGTCTTGCCCATGTGTATGAAAAATAAGGTGACCCTCAAATCGTCCATTTCCTAGGTCTTTGACTCTTGACATCTCAGTGTGAAGGGCATGACTTACTGTCCACACCAACAGTGACCAAACGACCCATCCAATCATCTTTCTCCTGGCTCTTTTGTATGTATTATATAATGATACCAGTAAATGAAATACTACAGAGCTAAAGTGTAGTTTTGACAGTCATCGATTCTCTTTGTGTATTATGGAAAAATAGTCAATTTTGTATGAATAGAAGTTACTTTACCAAACATTTATTACCTAAAACTTAAACTATTTTACTATGAAGTAAAACTTATCAACAATTGATAAGCGTACCCATAACTTACGTATTCAATAATGTATTCAAAATAAAATGTATTATAATTGCTTTAACGAAGAGTATTATTGTAGAATAATTTCAAACATTGTATTTTCCCATGTGTTATATCTAATTTTAATTTTTTTTAAATTAGAAAATAAATTTTCAGCGAAATGTTTGCTACGAAATGACTACAGTGTACAAAATATATTTGAAATAGTTTATTCCTTTCTAAAATTTAAAAAAAAAAAACAAGAGCAAAAGTTCAATTACATTTGACAGAAAAAAAGATGAATATCTTAAACAAGTTTTGATCAAGACGTTCTTCTAGAACACTTTGATTTTTCACCTACTATACAGAAAATCGATACAAGTGATTCAAATTATCCCGAATCAAAAATGTCTTTTGACAACTGATGACTGTTATCATTTTTTTAAGAAAGGACGATTTACCTTTTAATTTCCAACCAACAATTCTAGACTCCCTGAGATGCAGTGATATATATAGACACAGGGTCAATCAAACCATTTAACTTTCATATCAATAAACGGGAACGTTACACACAAGGTTCCTGATCTAAGGTTAATATTCATGTACAGAATTCTTATGAAATTTATCTCGTTCAAACGTTTGTCGGTGCCAACGCCTATTACCAAAACTATTCTACTGTAACTATTTTATTTAAAATAGAATAAATTCACGAAAACTGTGGTACTCTTTTGTACAGTGAATCGAAATAGTTTGGGGAAAATTTAGTTGGCAATTACTTAGATTACATTTATGATAGAATTGCTGACATGTCATATTTCACCAAACTCTGTCAATAAGCCCTCAGATATCGCGATACTGTCAATGGAAGATAGTGTTTTAATTTTTTTTCTTTAAAAATGATCAAAAAAGTCATAATGCTAGTTAGTATATATAAGAATGTATGCAAAATAAACAATTTTTAAAGCATTCTCTTTTCCTTCTGAACATTTGAAATTCATTTCAATACTGATACAAGAAAATTTATAGTAAGGTTCAACTTCTTAATTCTAATACAGACTGAATGAAGAATACATGAACGACTTCTTTCCTCTCAATTGTTCTGTGAAATACGTTGAAATATTGTTTTAAAAAAAAATGAGGCATTACAATGGTTTTCTAATGGTTCCCCACGCATTAAGCCAGGAGAAATCATGTAGATACTGTTAAAGACTAGTACGTGACGATTTCTACAGTGTTCAGCTTTTGACCGGTTTAAGTATAGAATTTATGGGATAGATTATACTTGTTATAATCTTTTTTACATTGTTTTATATTCATAGAATAACATAGAATTTCCTAAATGCTGAATTTAAAAGAGGTTGTTAAAATTTATGTAACATCACCTTAGCTTTCAGTAGCCTGCCTCGGTTAAATAAATAATCGTACTCAGAGTATGGTCTTGAGTATCGAATAAGTTGGGAGACATAAGCACCATATGCAGATGATAGCGGAATATTACTACATAGATGAGGAAAGTTGATGGAAAAGCTGAAGTCATCTCAGTTTAGTTGTTATTTGGCCCTTATCGTCAATAGTCAGTTAAACATCCAATATTAAACAGATTTGACAGACTCTTTGGTGTCCTATTTCGAGTTCACAGGTATATTGTATGATTCATTAAGGCTTTTTTTGCACGTGAGCAAAACATCACAAATTACAGCGATTATCTCATGATTGTCTCCGAGATTGCAAGACACTGTATAGCAACACGACAGCCAGGGAACATACACACTACATCAGTCCAGGTTTAAAATTAATATAAAGAAATCTTTGACATTTGGTGCAAAGAGCTTGAAATCACTTCTCCCTGCATTTTTCTTTGATGCATTCTTGGCACTATAAATTCGAGGACGTTTTCTTTTAGGAGATTAAGGAATATGTAGTGGGTTACTGATCAAAAGAAGAACCGGGATCTCAGTGCAGAAGACAAGGACATGAAATGAATGACCAAATTTCCTGGAATTCAGTACGGCCTCATACTTTAGTCGTTTATAACCACATGTGACAACGTAGTCTGTGAAGTTTATTACATTTATACACACCTATATCCCAGTTTTGATATTTGTGAATACTGTAGAAATACTTAAATTCAAAGCCTCGTGCAATATTGACGCATGTTTTACTTTAAGTGTCACACATTGTAATTGTTTTATCGAGATCCTTCAGCAATCTGTAAAAACCTTAACTCCTTGTGACAAATACAGCAAGAGGAGCTCTCTGATTACTGTTCCTAAGGTTTTTTTAGAATAACTATTATCAATGTAAGACATTTATTTACATACATTTATACATATTTTCACGAAGAACTCAACAACCCGCGGAGGAAAAGAGATTCCAAACCTAGAATAAACAGTGTACATATAAGTAAGTAGTCTTTAAATGTTATTTAGAATTTATCAAAGGAATGAATGACAAACGAACGACTTATTCTTAGAATTATAAATCCCACAAGAAGAACGATTTATCTAACCTGCCACAGCTGACTGGAAGCCAGCGTTGTAATCACAAGCCACTTCATTGCTCTGGAAGTTTTGACGACTGTCAGTGTAACCGTCGTTGCCATCCGGACCACCGACCAGCGCACCATACAGCACGTGGGGGTTTGGCGCCTTTTTGGTCTGGTCCGCCCATCCACAGGGGGCTGGCATCGATGGACAAGAACTGATCAATTAGAAGAAATGAAGAATTTTTAAACGATTACGATTAGAAATGGTCAAGAACTTAAAGGTGTATAGTGATTTGTGTCAAAACTGTTAAACATTGGATGAGAATTAGTTCAACAGTAAAGATGTGTGAAGAACTTATTTTAGTGGATACACCAGTATTAGCTAAATTTGAAGAGTTTGTATCAGAGTTAAATCAGAATGAAGAAAAGAAATAGAAAATATTAACAACTTAGCATTATCAATGTTCAACAGAGAAGTGGTGATTATTTTACATACGCGCCCCGGTGATGGGGTTGGACAGGCGGGTGTACACCGAAGCCACATACGAAGCTTCTTCCTGCATCCCCTAGTGCGTAGTGAATCTGACTCTTGGCCCAGTTACGGTAGCTTGAGGTATGGAGACCGTCGTCAGCCGCCACAAGGGCAATGAAAGCCATGTTTGCTATAAAGTATATTTCTTACCATAAAATGTCTGGGATGTGACATTCTTATTGGTGATGTGTATATTGGTCACAAAAGTCGTGCTTTATGAAAAGTAAGTTGAAAACATTAGCTGGGAGAGATTATGTTCATTTTAAGACTTTTTTTAAAAAAAAATTTCATTATAGGGAATAGTACCCAATATGTTTTCATATTGGAATATATACTTATATGAATATATTAGAATCTTGACAAAGCTTTTCACTTGTAAGAAAATGTTAATAGGTGATGTTGAGTAAGTGGCGATTTCACAGCAGCAAGCAGTAATGATCTGATTGTTGCATTCTCACATGCGTATCTGAGTGATCCCCACTGATTCCTGAAGGCCAGTCCCTTAGGACTGTATGGTATACTTCCTCCTGGCATCCAGTCATTAAAGGTCGACTCTATCTCCTGTTTATACTTATCTTTACCAGTTTCTTCATACAACAAAACCTGAAAATGGGTAAAAACATTATTCTAATGGACATTTACAAATATCTTCCCATTAAATTAAAATATGCTTTCAATTGAATTATGACGATGTTAAAATCGTTCTTCAATAAGAAACATATGTAAAGAATAATAAGATGATTATATTTAAATTGATAACTTTGATAAAATACTGACCTGACAGCCGGCAGTTTTGTCGTCCCACGACTGTCCCCAGGAGGGTCCGGACACGTAGTACTTCTCCGCCTGAGCCAGGTATTTACTGTCATTAGTGGCCTTATAAAGCCACACCCCCGCCCAGGAGAGTTCATCGTTATAGTCATTTGATCTTAATAAAGAAAAATCACTCGTGTTTGCCTTTTCATTAATAAATATATACTGCATCTAAACTAGTTGTTTAATTCTATAAATACCTAACGTTATATATTACACTTACATGTACTGCAAAGCTTAACAAGATGTATCTTGAACGTTGCTTATCGAGAAAGAGATGCAACACATTTCTGAAAATGGAATTCTGAAATAGCCACCTGTAGAACTCTGCTGCAGCCGTGACACTGTCTGAGTATTTCCCCTTGTAAGCGACAGCAAAATTATTGATTTGTTTGGCATGTTGCAGCAGTTTGGCAGCAAATGTCGGATCTGCAGAAAATACACAAACTGATTTTCAACGTGTTCTCCGTATTGCTCATTTTAGACTACGATTCTGGACTATTTTTTGACATATAATTTATCTTAGGTATCAAAGCAAAATTGATTTAAAAATTAAAAATGACATTATCCTTTTTGTAAAAAAAAAAATTCAATCGACAAGAAGCTTGTTCTTTCCAACCAAAAATAAAAAGGGAAATATTAAGCTTAAAGCACTGAAAATACAAGTCCTACTATTCAACTGATTAATCAGTTGATATCTGAAATGCTGAAACTCATTATAGCGTTATATTTAAAAAAGGAATTGTTCGTTATACACAAGAATGTAACTTGTTGCGTTTGTCACTGGGGGTTGGGGGGTTCGATTCCTCGATATTTTGCTTTAATTGCAAAGTTCTCAATAGCTCTGATACTGTTTCATAATTTCTTTACAATTTTGAATAGATTTTAACCTTTGTCTTTAAAAGCCAAATATCCAGCTGCCATTGCAGCTGCATATTCTCCAGCAACGTCACTTCCGGGTTTATTTTCGTCGACTTTGAAGACAGGTTGCCTAGTTGTTATACTTTCTGGTCTGTCCCATGTAGAGTGTGATTTTCCTTCTCCGACCTGGTAAGAGGAAATTTCAAATAAAATATTTAATACTCAAAATAAGCACACGCGTTCTAAGAATTCAATATCACCCCATCATCAGCAACCAAAAGAAAAATAATGGGAATCTACAAAATAACTTAAATTCAATAAATTACTCGAAGCTATTACAGAAAATTCTAAGCACATACTTTATTTTTTCCTCCTTTATACACTAGGTGAACGAGGTTCGTGATGATTGATTGATTGATTGATTGGATGTGTTTTACGTCTCATTCGAGACTTTTCACTCATATATAGAGTCATCATATACCGGTGAAGGGCTTTAAATTTAGACCTATACTCGGCAATCAGAGCCATTGAGCAGTGAGGGTTCTTTAGTATGCCAATGTCTACTGTGGCATTGGTTTTTCATACAACCGAGGGACCTCGGTTTTTAAGGTCTCATCCAAAAGTCCCGCACCCTGAAGGCTTGGAACAGTCATTACCTATGTTTACGTCATAGGTTTGACCCGATCACGAAGCGAATGTCTTAGCACTAGGCTGCCGTGACCGATAGGTTCATAAAGAAAGTTTCGATCAAGCCATTTCTCATAAAAAAATTCGGCAATGTCGTCAAAACTTCACAAAAATTGGCAATAGTACATTTATGATCCTATTTTTTTTTTCAGAAGCACTGTATGTGAATATATAAGTAAACTATCGCTACCGGTGAGTACCTGTACATATAACTCGTTGGTTCCGGTGTGACATTTCAGTAACCACTCAAGTGGCCACCTGATGCACTCATACATTTTGTCCAGTTGACCACTGTGTTGGTACGCGTCTTTATACCTTAGAAGACCCCAGGTCAGCATCGTAGTTGTTGCTGCCATTGGGAAGCCAAATTTAATGTTGTCACCAGCTGGAAAAGACAACCTCACACTGGTGACATGACTATTTTTACAACTAAAGGCTTGGTTTTCTTCTATTCCATTTATATAACTTGTTTCCAGATTTAGATTTTAAAAAGAAACTACCTCGACATTTGACATTTGCATTTACATCTGTCAATCATCCGTTTTTAGATTTATTCTTTGAATAATGTCCCTAATAAAAACGGATAATATTTCCCCAGCATTGCTACCAAGGAACCAGTAAGATGTATAAATATATCGTTTTCAATCAGTGTCCAGTATTTTGAGTTACAAACACTTGGTCCATTATCACTAGCAGATTAACCTGATTTTTTCCACCTTAACTACCATATAATATATCATAGTACGTTTTCACCAGTACTCACCATCATACCAGCCTCCTGTGAGATCCTCCCCGTTGTCCCCTTGGTCCAGTAGAGATGAATCCCCTCGCCACGTGATCCTGTTGTCGTCTGGTAACTTTCCTGATCGTTGAGCCTCGTAAAACATGATGGACTTCATCAAAACTTCATTGTAATTGTACTTTGTTCCATCATCTGCCAACAGCAATCTCAGAGGTCAATTCATGAAGAGGGAGAAATGTCTAATGACCCAGAATAATACAAAGCATTTTTTTTATTTGAAAAAGGAAGTGAATACCATCATTTCTAGTTATAACGTTTGCATGCTACATTTATTTGACAGTATATTGAAAATAGTCTGATTTGATCATAAAAGAGTTGTCCAAAAATGGAAAATGAAAAAGATGGTAATACATCTATGAACTCAATTGAAAAAGGGTTAAAACTATCGAAAGCCTCGTTCCTTAATTTATCACTGAAAAGTTAAAATGCTGATGAGAGCTATCATGATATGGTTTACAGCGCGTAAGTAACACAACATTTGAGAACTCTAAAAAGAAACCTTTTACAGGAAAATAAAAAGTTTCGTTACCCACTGAGACAGTTGGCGGCTTGAGGCCGTCATGGGCGAGATTAACGAGCTCAGCTGTAGCTGTGGGGGCTTTACTTCCGGTATAACTCCCCTGGACAGTGATATCCAGGGTTTGTCCGTCTCTCTGTATGCCTGTGTGAGGTTTATTCACCAAAACATACACAGTATTGTCTTTAGAGTGCTTAATGATGTCTCCCATCCATTCCTTAAAAAACGCATCAAAAAACATTCCCTGAAACGCTTGTCCAGAAACATGCAGCTTTTTTTTAGATAAGGAATGAAACAAAGAACACACATTTCTTAAACAACTAAGCGACATATTAAATATTTTATTATTGGTACATGCCGATATTCCAGTAACTGGTTCAGAGAAGGTGATTATACATTCCCATCCTCCGATGTCTTCACCGTGAATGGGGAACGTAAAGTGACCCTCAAATCGCCCATTTCCCCAGTCATTAACCCCCGACATGTCTGTATGTAGAGCATTACTGCTAGTCCATAACAAGACCAAGAGGCAAAGAGTCCCGCCAAACATTGTCGCCCCACTCCTAAACAAGTAAGAAATAATAAAGCATTCAAATATCTATAAGGATTACACTTTTTTCAATATAAGTAGAACTCGTAAATATACTTACCTTGTCATTCGTCATTTACAAAATTATTTTGTTAAAAAACATTCTGATTGTACACACAAGTACTCTGAAGTCGGTATTAAAAAGATGCTTGAGTTTCTGATTGACAATATCTATGTGGTGTTTGTAGACCATGTCTTCCAACAATCCGTTGGAATTTCCATGGGTAACAATTGCACCCTATCATTAGCAGACCTATTTTTGTATTCATATGATGTAGAATTTGTTCAAAATCTTATACCGGTACGTGAAAAGAAGAAAACACTTGCTGTGGCCTTCAACTCGACATTTATATATTTCGACGACGTAATAGCAATGGTTATTTTCATTCTTATGTCGATACGATATATCCCGGTGAGCTTGAGATAAAAGATACCACAGAGTCTAACACATCTTTTTCATATTTGGATATTTTACTTGAAAAAGACGTTAATGGTAATCTAACAACCAAGCTTTATGATAAACGTGATGACTTTACCTTTTCAATCGTCAACTTCCCTTACTTATGCAGCAATATACCTTCATCACCTGTATACGGTGTTTATATCTCTCAGTTGATTCGATACACAAGAACATGCTCTACGTATGAACAATTTCTAATACGAGGTAAGTTATTGACAAACAAGTTGATGAAACAAGAATATCAACAGTATCGTTTAAAGTCGTTATTTCGTAAGTTCTACGGTCGATACAATGACCTTGTCAGCAAATACAATTTATCATTTAGCCAAATGTTGACATTTTTCATAGTAATTGTTAAGCCATTACTTCCAAACTGAATTGTCGACGGATTTTTCCGTTATTTTCCGATCATGACAAAGAGCACATGGAGAGTGTGACCGGTTGGCAGGGGATGCTCACTCATCCGTGGCACCTGATCCCACCTCTAATGTTTTAGAGGACCGTGTATGCTCTGCTCAAATTTTTTATTGTTTAATGGACTTTTGAGCATGAATACTGTTCGTTATCTCCATAAATTTCTTTTTTATTTTTGGCATTTAATGTTCCTAGGTTGTTAAATAAGATATGCAACATACGGTTTATCATAATAATTGAAGAAGCACTTTATTTTAATTTTTCACATTCTGAAAGTACTTTGCAAGAACTCATAAGCACCGACAACAGCATCCTGTTCCCGACAGTCCTCGCAAAAAAAATAATCATTTTTCAAGTAAGCATGGATACTATACTGAAGTGAAAATTGTTTAAAAATGGCCTCTGCTAAGAAGATGAAAATGAGAGTGTGTGTAATAACTGCTCTTCAATACAAAAATCGCTGAAGAACCAACATGAAAGATGTGGTTTTATAACATCTGTAAAGACAAGTCTTTCACGCTGTACACTGTTCAGATGGATTAAAAACCTTAAAATGGAAATGGAGTGTTACAAGGTTGCAGTGGAACTGGTCGATCAAAATCTGTATGAACACCAAAAAAGTCGATGCCTTGAGCAACATCATATCTGTAAATGCCAGAATTTACAATTTGAGGTATGTAATAGAGAGTGCTATTCATCAGTGTCAAAAAAAGAGTATACTGAGGTGCTCTAACCATGGGAACAAAGACTTTAGACATGTGTAAAGGTTAACAGAGATCATGGCCGTAGGAACCGGGAGGCACGCCCCCCGCCCCCCCCCCCCATTAATTTTGCCTATATAGATTACTATAGAAAACACAGTTACTATATGCTTGTGCCCACTCAATAAAAACGTATAATATTTTTTTTCGGAATTTTTGGTAGTTGATAGTCCCCCCCCCCTCCACTTGAAAATGTATGGCTGTGCCCCCCCCCCCCTTAAACTGAAATTGCTTCCTACGGGCCTGGAGAGAATATTAATTTAAGGGATAAAAATATAAACTACTTTGTGTGCTTTTCTTATTTGTAGATAGCATTTTGCATCACTTATTGAATGACCCTCGTAAAAATGTTGAGTATCAAAGTACAATGTAAAGTAACACAAAGTGGAGGAGCAAATGGAAACATGTACTTATGCTGTATACCTAGGACATATTATTAATAATAATAAAATTGTTTTGATAAATTACAGAATGATGCAATAGACCTTTGGAAATATTTTGGGTATTTTTTATATGTCAATTCAGGACTGTTAAGGATAAGGACTAAAAATATAATACACTTACACTGATGATTGAAGAATGTAAATTAATTGAGGGGAGATTCATGCACCAGGCTGTCTTTAGAAATTTTCATTTCAAACAGGAACTTTTCTTTACCTATCTAATTTATTTAATATTTCTCTTCTTTTTAGGTTTGTTTATCTTTCTGTTATGTGACCACTCAGTCTGAACGGAAATAAGAAGAGTCAGTGCCATATCAAAAGGCAGTGAGATGTTATAATACCCTTAATAATATAAAATCAACATTAGAAAAAGTTATCTCTCTCTCTCTTTCTCCCTCTCTCTCTGAAAATATCTTATATCACGGAAGGATACTGAGCTTTGTAGTTTTCTTATTTGCAATATTTACATGTACATCATATTATCATTCCTCATTTAAATTAATCAGGCTTTCGGAAAACTTTTTGCAAAATTTAATTAGAGTACAGTTAAATAAAATGCTAGTAAAATGATTAGCGTTGCACTTACCTGAGTGGTCTAAAGCGGACGTCTTATCTACTGAAGCAGTGATCTAGTTCTCCAACTTTACAAATATGTCCCAGATATTAACAGCTACTGGTCATCTAATAGTTATCAGGAAACCATACATATCTTGGGGCCATGTTACTGTGTTCATAGAATTGACTTTGATCATATACAGATTATTTTACTTTAATAATAAAAATGTAAAGTACATAAAAAACAAAACAGAACAAACAAAAATCAAAATTTATCACATCTTGTATAATTATATGAGTCACCCGCGTGGCGCAGTGGTTAGAGAGTTTGCTCTAGAGTCGCGGCGTAGGGAGTTGATCCTTAAGTCGCGGGTTCGAATTCCACTGTGGGACGTGGAGACGGGTCCTTCGGATGAGGCCGTAGGTGCTGGCAAGAAAAAGATCCCTCACTGCTCAATGGCCCTGAGTGCCGAGTATAGGTCAAATTTTGCAGCAAGTTGTTGCGTCTCCATATGAGTGAAAAATTCTCGAGAGGGACGTTAAACAACAAACAAACAAACATAATTATATAACAAACTAGACAATGGATCAATTAAAAAAAACTTTCGTATCCATATATTGTTATACCAATATAACATCAAATCATCATAAATCATCATAAAATCTTTTTAAGTTTATTAATGGATATTAATATCCAAAAAAGCAAGATTTTTTATTTTTGGAAGTTATAATTATTTTTGGTATAATTATATAGGAAAAAATAATAATAATGTGGGGGTACCCTACGGCTTTCCATAGTTACAAGATAGATAATCCATCATTTTATATGTACATGATGTACTTTCACTCACTTTATACGATTAAATGAAAGACAAATTATAAATATTCAAATATAGTCTTCTTTGTTTTTAATTGGGTATAAGATTGCAATCAATGTGAGAGAATATTACATGTTGCAACCATTTTCTCCCAATATAGCTTATTGTTTCAATTTCTTACCTTTTGACATGCTCTACATGTTTGTTCAGTAAAACTGGTTCAGTAAAAAAAAGTGTGTAAAATATTTCAGAGTCGTTAAAGACTTACATTTCAAAGAAAAATATTAATAATTCTTTAAAAGCTAATATCGAGATATATGAATATATTGGGGTTTTTTTCATGCCTTTTGTTTACATTCTCTAGGGAAGGTTTTTAGAGAGGATCCAGACTTTCATCAATAACTTTGGGCATTTGGTTCTGTTAATTTCTATAAGTTTGTCCTCCTACTTATGAGAGGTCTTGTAAATACATGTTTATTATGAAATAATCGTTGTAATGTACAGAATTTTTTTTAATATCTAAAGATGAACAATGTACATTTAAATTACTTATTCAAGCACTGTACATGTATTTCTTTCTTTGTATTTTTTTAATTTAAGGGAGCCGACTGGAGTTTTATTATTTGACTACAATAGAAAAACGCTTTAATTTTATATCATATGTAACTTACATTGACTTCAGTATGCATGCCAAATTTAGGGAAAATCTATCGCCTGGGTATTTTAGGGACCCCTCAAAATTCAGGTACATTTACCATAGGATTATATGGGAAAGTGCTAGTTTTTCGCACTTCAAAGCAAATTTCACAAATACTGCAATAGACTTTTTGCTCAAATTTTAATATATAACGAGTAATACTATATTGTACATTATATGTAAGAAATACAAAATTCTATCGTCTGGTTTCCAGAGGGGGTAAAATTACGGAATTTTCCTGTTTTTATGGAGAACTACAAAATATTACAGTTGTAAATGATTCATGCAAAAATAAATCATGCAAGATAAGTTTGAATTTTCAAAAATAATTCCTGTTTAAAATTTTCAAGAGCATATGTATTACACTTTTTCTTTCATATTTTTTATGATCCCCTCTTAAAGAACTTTATTTGATAATAATTATTTAATAATTTGTTTAATAATCACAAGCACACTTTTACGACGTCCATCTACCTATCAGCTGAAAAAGTTGTTTAAAAATCAGTTTTTATTGTAATTTAAATTTTTAAACCTATGATCTCTTAATTTTGTTTAATTTGATAAATTATATGAAAATAGTTGCCTCAAAAGTGTGAATTAAGCTTGATTTTACTATGTTACTCGAAGTATTGCACAATAAAAATCCCTGTCGCCCCCTTAAATTTCGACAGTCTTTAAGTATACTTGCACTCTTGTTTAAAAAGATTACATAAATATTGATGAATTCGCTCCATATACAATACATGTATATCACTCCCTTTCTTACATTTCAAGATCGATAGAAACTGAAAACATTTTTAAATGAAAATTGAATACAAATTTAATGATATTTGTTTATCGATTTTTGAAGATCGATCACTGTTCGTTATCTTCACCTTTTTCATTATACTGCTAAACTTCTGAATTTTCATACTTTTAGTCTCAGAATTAATAAACAAATCAAACTAAGCCCAAAACAAGTATAAAAATAGAATTATATCTCTTACGTAGTATTTTTTTTTCTTCAAAAGTCCTACTTTCATTTTGAAACAACAAGCTGCCCGGACTTGTTCCAATTGGCATTTGATCATTGTCTTAAAATTGCGAAATTTTCATGAGATGAGACAATATTTGTGTAAGTATTCCCTTAAAAGTGATAAAATCTAAACCTTTAAACATTATCTATTAAAAATTCCTTAACAAATTTAAGTTCATTTTACTTTTGATTTATAAATTCTTTAATTGAGATGATTTCTAAATATAAGTCAACATTGTTCTAATGTTATCAAAGACCTTAATATATTTAAAACAAATGCCTTATTTATTTTATATGTTTTATTCGAGTTGGCAGGTATTGTCCACAGTGGTCTACACAACAGTGGGGCAGCCGGCAAACTGGCACATCCCCCAACATCAACAATTAAGTTGTGCCCTCCCTGACGGGAAAAGTAGCACGCTGGGTTGACCTCAATCGTGCTACGGACACATTTCAACACAAATTATCTTTAATTATATTAATTATAATTAATTATATCAATTATATTACAAAATTTTGCTTTAGATTTACTCAATATGAGATATAATTTTCAAAGTCAACATCACATATATCAACATCAACCATCACATATATCAACATCAACCACAACAAGTCAAGAATATAAATAGTTCAATGGTTAAATTGAAGGTGACGATTTCGCCAATCTGACCACTGTGAAGTATGGTTTTTCCCCGAACTCCTCGGAAGGATACTGTATTTGGCCCAAAATCATTCAAAAGGTCCGAAACGGAAATAACAGGCAATCCTGATCAACATCGTTGGTCTCCTTCAACGGCACCGCTAATTTCTGAAAAGACAAAAACAAAAAACCCAAAGCAGAAAAGAATCTCAATAACATTTCCATAACTGTCAATAAATATAGGTATAGCCCAATCATGTAAAACTATGTAGATGTACGAAAGGAGAAAGGGTATACTTAAACACCTAGCTCAAGGGTTGTGGTGGGAGGGTATTTCAAAATACAAAAATTAAATCAGATACTTTCATCACCCACCTTTCACTTTCATTGATGCATAGAAAAGGGGAGATAACCCGGAAACATAGTGACTAAGTACCGACACTGTATGGGTGGATTACAAAATTCCGACTTTACTCAATCATGAGTTTCTCACAAAATAAGAGGCGAATGATGACATTAATAACAGAGTAGAGCTTTGATAACGACGCATATTGTGAGACGAGCTCAAATATGCGGTATTATATCATAAAATAAACTTGTAAATGTTCATCAGAAATATAAATCATTTAATATCGGATCTGAAAAAAGAAAAAAAAATATGACAAAAAATAATACTGCATTATTTTATCTATGGCTATCCATTATAATTAAATGCCCTATTTGTACTAATTTTTTAATTAAATAGTTCGCAACATGAACAATTAAAGAGACATACAAAATTATGATCATCATTTTATGTTGATCATTGTGATCGTTAATTTTTTATATCTTTTTTATATGGACAGTTGCCAACAGAGTTGCTTTAGGCTATTAAATACTCTATATTATTGCATGCCTTTCTTATGTTTTAGTTAAATTCCTAACAGGAGATAGAAAGAGAGATAGAATGACTGGTTTACGGTTTAGTTTTTCTTTTATTATTGCATTGACCTTATTTCACCTGATAGGTAAGTATTTGTTAATATGAGTAAACACTTCTAGTAAGTATACCTAGGAAAAAATATTTTTCATTTCGCAGTAACAGAGTATTGTATCACACGAACAGTTATTAACTTTTGTCTGTTTCAAAAGTTTTTTGGTTTTATGTGCTTATGTGGTTTTATGATCAATTCAGTAGAAATGATATTCTATAATTAATTTTCAATAATTAAATTTATACTGTAAAAATACTATTATTTATCCGCTGACTAGAATTGATATAAATACACGTAGAAATAACAATCGGAACGCTTATGTTACCACATGACAGCACATGTTCGGTAAACCTAAGAAAATGTTATAAACAGAAAAAAAAAAAACAAAGGTTTCTAATTGGATTTTGAATTTATTTCACAAGTGCGATGGTTTATTTTTATCACTCGTCAATATATCAGAAATCAGAAATCTTGTCCCACTCGTAAATTAAATTCAATATCCAGCCAATAAATATTGATTGATTGATTTAATATTGTTTTACGTCCCATTCGAATTTTTTTCTCATTTAGAGACGTCACAATATACCGGTTAAGGGCCTCAAATTTAGACCTATACTTGGCACTAAGGGCCATTGAGCAGTGAGGTTCTTTATCGTGCCAACGCCTTCCTTGACACGGGATCTTGGCTTTTAAGGTCTAATCCGAAAGACCCCTAACTTTCACTTCTAATGCCGGGCGCTTGTCGAATGAACAGTCACTACCGATGTTTACGTCTTAGGTTTGAAACGCAGAATCGAACCCGGGCCTCCCGATCTCACCATTAAATATTGAATATCCTCTATTTCATATGCCAATTAATATATAACTTTTTTTCTTTCTTTTATTAAAAATCACTCTGATTCTACACACAAGTTCTCTGAAGTTGATATTACAAAGATGCTGGATTCCCTCATTGACAACATTTATGTAGTCTTTAGAAACAAGGTCTTCCAACAAGCTGTTGGAATTTCGATGGACACTAATTGTGCTCCTTTATTAGCCGACCTGTTTTTATATTTCTGTGAAGCAGATTTTATTACAAAAAAAAAATCATTTTTAGCTGATTCAAAACTTCTTTTTGAGAAGAAGAAAACGCTTGCAATGGACTTCAACTCGACATTTAGATATATCGACGACGTATTATCAATTAACAAAAGTTACGTCCATTCATATGTCGACTCGATATATCCCAGTGAACTTCAAATAACAAACACCATAGCGTCTGTCACAACTATTTAATATTTGGATGTTTTACTGACTATAAACAATAAGGGCTAACTAACAACTTAATTGTATGAAAAGCGAGATGAGTTCAGCATTTCCATTGTCAACGTTTATTTTTATGTAGTAATATCCCATTGTCACCTGCATATAGTTTTTATGTCTGCCATCTTGTTCGATACGCAAGAGCATGCTCTAAGTACGATCAATTTTTAAACCGATGCAGGCTACTGACAGATAAGTTGATGTTACAGGGTTTTCAACAACCTCGTTTAAAGTCAGGATTTTGCAAATTCTATGGTCGTTTTATCGACCTTGTAAGCAATTATAACCTATCATCGGGTCGTATTTTGGCTAGCGTTATTCAGAACAATTATTGACTACGAATTGTTTCTCCCGTCTACCTGATAATACATAGGGGTCAAGGCGGGTGTGACCTGTCAACAGGGGATGCTTAAAGTGGCACTTGATCCCACCTCTGGAATTCCCAGGGGTTTGTCTTTATGCCCTGTTCACAGCTTTGTATTGTTTAAATATTTTTTTTTAGATTGATCACTGTTCGTTATCTTCACTTTTTTACTTCTGTTTTTCACATTTAAGCTAGTTTTATATATTCACCACTTTTAAAGTGAAATATTCTATCCGATATATTGAATACCAAAACTGTAGAGTAGACATATGCATGCTTTTGATTGTTAAAAAATCGCTTGTGTGATAGAAGTATATAACGAAGAGTAACCAAGCTCAAAAGTCCATTGAAACAATACAAATCCGGAGCGGAGCAAACACAGACCTCTAAAAATATCAGAGGTGGGATCAGGTGCCATGGACAAGTAAGCATCCCCTGTCTGCCGTCACACCCACCGTGTGCTCGTTGTCATTGTTGGGAAAAATTCAGTGTGTAGATAATGGCCTGACAATTTATCTGAAAAAAGTGAATTTCATAACATGAATTCAATGGAAAAAAAGCTTAAAATCATAAAAGGAAAACTGACACCAAATTATTAATTTTTGGACTTTCTTTAACAGATTTATGATAATTGAATGTACATTTTAGATGCTTTTCCGGCATCAAAAATACAAGAAGCCAAAACGTGTCCATATAATGAAACCGAGTGGACAGAAAGATCGACAGAATTCTTCTGTCATGGGAAAGAAGTCTATCACTGCTTTCTTGCTGAAGACAAAAATACCGTGAAAGAAAAGTGTGTAGAAAGGTCAATGATGCAAAAAGGTACCCGATGCCAAAATAAAAATCCCAGAATAACATTTTAGTGAATATTTGTTTGAGCCGGATATTTTCCTTTTCTTCAAGAAACATCGACCATTTAAAAAAAATGTTTTACATTTGCAGGTTTTTGTCCAATATTCACAGACTTTGGTTATTTACACTGGAGTCCATGCAATGGAACAGGATGTCCTAACTCATCCTACACTAGTGATAAAGTTTACAAATGTAAAAACAACTATCATACGTTTATGCTGTTTTAGAAAATTTTTAGAAATGTTGATTGATACATTTTTTGCACCCCTCCCTCACTTTCACTAAAATCGGAGGATGTTAAATAGGATCAATCTGTTCGTCCTTATATCTGTCATTTTGTGTAAGCCAGTAATAAGATTTCCTCCGTGATCGAACATATTTTTATTAATAATCCTGAAATATTGTCAGAATAGACCAATGAACTTTAATTCATAGAAATCTTCAGATTAGTCCGAATATTGTCCAAAAAAGGCTGCAAAATCTTAGATGAGAACCAGAAATGAGAAGAGCCAATAAATTTCAAAATTAAGAGCTCAAGCAAACATTTTTTCATGGTATTTCAAGCTCAATCAAGGTATACCCATAATTGTATTATTTATGGGTTCTTTCCCATCTCAGCATCACAGGGGCTCCAGTCCTAAGCGCTTGTACTCATCTACTTTTTTCAGTTATCAGTTATATTGCTCTTGGTTAAAAATCTGAATAGAAACTTTGCATTTCCTTTCAAATTATATCACTTAGAATCGATCCTCTAACAAAACTAATGTCCAAATTACTGTATCTCACTTCCATTCTCAATGACTGTGTAGTGTAGGGCAGCGCCGCGAGAATTCCATCGTCATCGAAAGCAAGTTTATTGACTTGCCTAGATAGCCGAGCGGTCTAGCGCGCTGTTCCTGTACTGCTAGGAGACAGATTCCGCAGGTCGAGAGTTCAACCCCGTGCTGGGGCGGAAGTGGGTATCCTTATAAAAGTGAATTTCTTTGTGTTTTCTATGTTAATATTTCTTCACTTAGGCAGTTATGTTAGTTTAAGAGTTGTTGTAAAATGTGCTTTATATATATATATATATATATATATATATATATATATATATATATATTGCAGAAAGACTGACCGATGGCAAAAATTTCGTTTTATCAAGAATTCACAGAGCCTTCAAAGTTTAAAAAACGCACATAGTTGTTATTTTGTCGATTTTCACACTAGTATAATTTATTTACACTGTCCAGTCCTAATTATTATGGACCTATTAATTATTGTAGACCGAGTGTGTTTTGGTGACACGGACAAAGTCGTAACCTACATTTCTGGTTCTAGGTAAGTCTGCAAAGCATCTATCATTGATCAAGTTAAGTCATTTTATGAAAAGTTTCCTATTATTATCTTTGCTTTTTTTTTTTTTTTTTTTTTAATATTTTATAACTTGTAGAGGAAAGCGTATAACATGATATGATAATAACATGACAAGGAAAAACAAACTATTTATAATTTACGATACAATGGAAAAGCTTTTTGTAGTTGCTTAATTAATAATTCTATCCATTGCAACTTTCTTTTGTTTGCTTTTCTCTTTTCCCTTTTAGGTGACATTAAAAAAACTTCTTCCCGAGTCAAGGGTTTCTGATCCTCTCCGCCCCTGTGGAGCTGAATGGATCAGAGGCCCTTGGCTTGGAAAGATGACGTAAAAATACATCAATGGAAAATTATATCCCTTAATTTGAACAGTATTTTAGGCAATGCATAACTTGAACATGGTAATTTTCATAACATATATTATATGATATTTTTTAATAATCACAAAGAAGAGTATTGTATAGTAAAACAGTTTAAGGACCCTCTCTACACTGTTACTAATTTGTTCTGATTCTATGGAATTTTTCTGCAGTTAGAGTGATCTGCCCTTAGATCTCGATTCAAATAAATTGAAATCTTCATTGTATTACTCAATTTGTGATCAGATCAAGCATTCAGAACATTTTAAAACTGAACATTTTATTTAGATATATTTTCTTCACTGAAGTGAACAAAAGTGAACAAAAGTGATTTCTGTTCATTGATTCTTTGTTGTCTTTGAACATTGTTCCTTGGGTTTAATGCCATGTACCATATATTGAAAATTCAATAGATAAGCTCAATTTTTACACATTTATACATTGTAATTTTCTAAGTGTCAAAAACATTTTGCACTGGTGTATAGAGGGTCCATAACTGTACCGTCTTCAGCTAGTAAATAGTTCTGTTCTTCCAACTCTAATATATGTACATGTACTTTCATAATTGTAAAATAATTTATGTGCTTTATACATGTATAGTACCTGATCCTATTCACTTATTCCTACGGGTGTATAAGTATCTTCAATATTTTGTCTTTAATTCTTATGAATAGTGACGACGAGGGGGGATCTGCCTTTGGCCTCGGGATCGGTATTGGAGTCCCTGTTGTCCTGATATTAGTTGTTCTGATTGTTATAGCATATCGCCAACTTAGACCAAAGAGAGATGAAAATAAGTGATCTTAGTTATTGTCACAAGAAGGAGATCGATCGGGGCGACATATTGTTAAATTTTCTGTTCAAACTTTAATGAGAGATGGCCTGGACAGTCTTTATGAATCTTTACAGAGCTGATAATTATTTCTTTATCTGCATTCAACATTCAAAATTTTCAAAATGACTATTTTGACATTGAAGCAGACAAAACAGGAAAATATGCAATTTTATTTAAACTCCATATGCTGATGATAATGGTATATTGCTACTTTTTAGCTCACCTGAGCTGAAAGCTCAAGTGAGCTTTTCTGATCACCCGTTGTCCGTCGTCCGTCCGTCTGTCCGTCCGTCTGTAAACTTTTCACATTTTCGACTTCTTCTCAAGAACCACTGGGCCAATTTTAACCAAACTTGGTACAAAGTATCCCTGGATGAAGGGGAGTTTAAATTATTAAAAGAAAGGGCCAAGTCCCCTTACAAGGGGAGATAATCAAGAAAAGACAAAAATAGGGTGGGGTCATTAAAAAATCTTCTTCTCAAGAACCACCGGGCCAGAAAAGCTGAAACTTATGTGGAAGCATTCTTGGGTAGTGTAGATTCTAAATTGTTAAAATCATGACCCCCGGGGTAGGGCGGGGCCACAATAGGGAATCCAAGTTTTACATTGAAATATATAGGAAAAATCTTTAAAAATCTTCTTCTCAAGAACCACTGGGCCAGAAAAGCTGAAACCCTTGTGGAAGCATCCTTTGGTAGTGTAGATTCTCAATTGTTAAAATCATGACCCCCGGGGGTAGGGCGGGGCCACAATAGGGAATCCAAGTTTTACATTGAAATATATAGGAAAAATCTTTAAAAATCTTCTTCTCAAGAACCACTGGGCCAGAAAAGCTGAAACTTATGTGGAAGCATCCTTGGGTAGTGTAGATTCTCAATTGTTAAAATCATGACCCCCGGGGGTAGGGCGGGGCACAATAGGGAATCCAAGTTTTACATTGAAATATATAGGAAAAATCTTTAAAAATCTTCTTCTCAAGAACCACTGGGCCAGAAAAACTGAAACTTATGTGGAAGCATCCTTGGGTAGTGTAGATTCTAAATTGTTCAAACAGGACCCCCCGGGGTAGGGCGGGGCCACAATAGGTATTACAAGGGGGGGGGAAATCTTGTAAAGAACCGCATGGCCAAAGTTACTCAGGTGAGCGATGTGGCCCATGGGCCTCTTGTTTTTGGTTGTTAGGTTACCATTAACGTCTTTTCTAGTAAAATATGCAAATATGAAACAGATGTTTCTGACTTTGTGGTATCTTTTATATCGAGTTCAAAGGAAATATTAAAATCAACATAGAAATGAAAATGAATATTGTTTATTGATAAAACGCCGTCAATATACATAAATATTGAATTTAAGGCCACAACAGAAAGCTCCTTCTCTTCATGTAGAAGTGTTTGAATAAATTCTGCTTCATATGAATACAAAAACAGATATGCTAAGAATGTATTATTTCTTTCTTTAAAAGTATTTAAACTGCACAATATTGACGTGTCAGCGTCTCGAGGTTTTGAGGGCATAAATGTTTTAAAATAGCTGTCCTTGCCCTGTAAACAAAAGAATACTGTAATGTGTAAACCTACTGGGTTCTACAAGAGTCTACATATATATTTTCTCTTACTCTATCTGAGTTATAATTAATTGAAACTATGTACAATAATTAAAATGTTAGGCGGTGTTCTTGAGCAAGGTAACCAGTACTGTGTTCCTGAAACAGCCAGAGTTCCTATTGTTTTGTGAAGCATCGTGTTCTTACACAATTATTTAGGATTATTTTGCCCCCAGTACAATTCCTCTAGACTGCTCTCTTTTCACTATTGCTTCATTTCCAACTTTTGCTCTTTGGTATATTTTTTTTTATATAAGAGTGGCTTCATTTTACTAACCTCTCTATCAGTCTACTTTCACTGATTCAGTCAGGAATGACCTGGCAGCTTCCAGTGTCTCCTTTTTATACATTTGGCTCAGACTACCTACCAAAGGGGTCATCAGCTCTTCGGGAGAATCTATTATCCAAATATTCCCTCAGAACAACCGTTACAAAACACTTTTGAAATTTTCAATCCAATTCAAATCTAAAATCCCAGTTCCCTTCTATGATTTCAACTAAAATATTGCATGTTGAACCGGTTCGGGTTGACATATGCTTATGTTTACTCTAGCAAAATTTCAAGTTGTTATATTGATTGGTATAGGCTATGGTATGAAAATAAGTGTAATTGAGTAAAACTACAATATTATATTTTTATGATCATGTATAATCAAACACAGAGAAATTAAAAGTAATGAAAGTTTACTTCTTTAAAATGTGTTTGACAACTTTCAATCTTTCTCTTTTCAAGCTGAGGACATTTATAATGGCACCAATGTTCTCCGTTCTGAAAACATTCTTTATGTTATTGGAAAGCTCGGAAATTCTGTTTCCACTGTCGGGGGGAGGATAGCATATAATTTTGCTAGGAAGCATAATATGACTCCTAAAAATAAAAAGTACTTGGACATTTCTGAAAATTTTGAATTTTCTACAAACACTGTGTATTTCATCGATGGATGGTTTGGATTATGGAATGATAATCCTTGTGAAAAAGATCTCGTTTTGGATAACTTTCGTTCTATCATTGAGGCAGCTAAGGATAAGGAGAGAAATATAAAGTTTGTTATTGGGCTCCGCACTGATTATTTTGAATCCTATAAAAAGGATTTAGAGGGGATTGAAATTTCTTTCCCTGAAAGACAAAAAATATTACGTGATTCCAGCTCAAAGCATAAAGACATTCGAGTGGAGAGGCATTTAAAGAACATGACACGGAAATGCACTACTGTTGGATGCCGTTGTAAATCGTTACGTTTAGAAAATATAAAGTCCTTTGACGTAATTGGAGCTCACCTGATAATAAAGCTTTTGGATTTGGATCACACTATGGCACCTGATTTGGTAGATGAGAGCAAAGGTCCCCTTCAGACAATGATCGAACATTTCAAGGCACTGGAAAGCAAAGATAAAAATCTTTTTGAATGCATTCTTTATGTTGTTTTAATTGGATCCTATGATAAAAATGAGTTTAAATCTGATGTCGCAGACCACTTTTCAATTTGAGAAAATGTCCTGAAGGAAGGCACAAGCCTTAGAAAATATACAAAAACCCTGAACGCTATGGAGATTACACAAATGTGGACATCAGATTAAGCGGTTATTATAAAGAAACAAACGAGATTCTTGTGTTTTGGCATACCTTTCTTTACATTTCTGCGTTTCATGCCTGTTATAGTCTATACCCGGAGAAGATGATGCGTCACTGCCACCTAGATGCCATATTACAACTGGTCCGACCGGAAGGCCAAAAATCGGAATTTACCGTAGAAGCAGGCAAAGAATTAATTTCAATTTTCTATCAAGAAAGAATAAAAGGGAAAGTTTTTGAAGATCATGTAAGAGATCATCCTCTTATTGTGTGTTTACAGACTCAATCTTAAGGATTTAATAAGAAAAGAGGGACAGAAAAAAACGTTGGAAGGAAGTAGGTTCAGCATATGTTTCTATCGTTTTCATAAAGTCTTTTATTGCATTAATAATAATATTACTTCATGTTTAAAATGAAATTGCATAAGAAAAGATTTACTTTGTACTATTTCCTGACTTTGTAATGTAATTTTGTATTTTATGTTATAAATCTTTTCAAAGCTAAAACCTTCTTAAGGATTCTTGTAAGAAAAATACTTTCTAATGTGATGCTTTGCTTTCCAACTTATTCATTTTGTAAAATGTTCTTGTACGTTTTTATCAAAAAATATTCTGTTAAATAAATTGCTTGTTTAGAATCATTGTTGACATAAACAATCGCAACAATAAGTATAAGTAGATTAAGATTTTATATAAGTGTATTAAGACTGTGTTGTCTAATGACACCATTGATAAAACTTACATCGGACGAAAGCTATAAACCATTTGACCAAGGAACCAGTAGGAAGTATAAATAAATCATTTTCAATCAGTGTTCAGTATTTTAAGTTTCGCTTGTTCCACTATAATAAGCAGATAAATCCGACTTTTTTCCAAGTCAAGTACCATTATTTTAATACATTTTCATACGTACTCACCGTCATACCAGCCTCTTGTGAGGTCATCCCCGTTGTCTCCTCGGTCCAGTAGAAAGGAATCTCCTTGCCACGTGATCCTGCTGTCGACTGGTAGCTTTCCTGACCGCTGGGCTTCGTAAAACATGATGGACTTCATCAAAACCTCAATGTAGTTGTACTTTGTTCAATCATCTGATAAAATCAATCTTAGAAGTCAATTCATAAAAGGGAGAATTTTTTAGGAAGTCCAATGACCCTGGATACCCAGCAAATACAATATATCATTAAGTCGAATGCTGCCAGTTTTTATTTCATATACTTGTTAGGCCATATTTTTTGAACACTGAATAGTCTACGGATTTTTCCGTTTGCCCGATCATGGCAAGGAGCACACAGAAGGTGCGACAAAGGATGCTAACTCCTCCATGGTACCTTATATTTTTTACAGATAAGTGTTCGCTCTGCTCCCATTTTGTATTGTTTCAACGGACTCGATTACTGTTCGTTATCTCCATATTTCACAATATACTGAAAATATTCCGAGTTGATAATGGCAAGATTGTCAAAATCTGGAAGAGAAAGTAGTGCATCTATAAGGAAATTGATTAAAGTTTTAAAAATTTAAGGATCCAAAAGCCTTGGCGTCTCTTTAATCACTCTAATGTTAAGATACTGATCAGAGTTATAACATGTGATATGGTGTACAGCGACTCATAAAAAGTCTTTAACATATTATATCGTGACTCTAAAAATGAAACGTTTTACAATAAAATTAATTTCATTGACGAGATCACCTGTAGCTTTGGTATCTGAAAATGCTGTTTATTTTCATCAACTTTGAAAACAGATTGCCTAATTGTTATACTTCCAAGTTCCATATAGATGAAATATGCGGAGATAACGAACAGTATTCGAGCTCAAAAGTCCATTAAACATTACAAAATTGGAGCAGAGCAAACACGGACCTCTAAGACATCAGAGGTAGGATCAGGTGCCATGGAGGAGAGTGATGTTCCTTCTCCGACCTGGTAACAATTTCAAGAGGGGATTTGAAGCTAAAATAAGCACAGGCATTCTTAGAATTCAATATCATCACATTATCAGCAACCACATGAAACTTAATGGGAATCTTAAAAGTTACTTAAATTCATTGAAATTACTCTTATCTTATTACATCAAATTCTTATCACTTACTAAATTTGTTCCTTCTTTATATATTTAAATACAGTAGGTGAACGAGGTTCATGAAGAAAGTTTCTGTCAAAACAATTCATAGGAATAAAATTTCGGCAAGGTCGTCAAAACTTAAAGAAAATCGGCAAACGTACTTCTATGCATATTTATTTTTCAGAAGCACAGTGTTTGAATATGTAAGTCAACTATTGTTACCGGTGAGTACCTGTACATATAACTCGTTAGTTCCGGTGTGATATTTCAGTAGCCACTCTAGCGACCACCTGATGCATTAATACATTTTGTCCAGTTGTCCACTGTGTTGGTACGCGTCTTTATACCTCAGAAGACCCCAGGCTAGCATCGTCGTTGTGGCTGCCATTGGAAAGCCAAACTTTATGTTATCACCAGCTGGTAAAGACAATATCACACAGGTCACAGGAATATATTTACAACTGGACGCATGGTTTTTCTTGTATCCAATTTAAGTCACTTTTTCTCAGCTTTACATTAAAAACTGCCTCAATATTTAAAATTTGTATTTGTATTCACTTCTGTCAATCATCCGTTTTAATATGTATTCTATGAATAATGCCCCTAATAAACAGAGACTATATTCCTCCAGCATGACTACACCAAGGAACCAGTAGGATCTATAAATATATCATTTTCAATCAGTGTTCTGTGTTTGTAGTTACAATACGGTCATTATTATTTGCAGATTAACCATTTCTTCCTCCTCAAGTACCATTAGGCTAGTATGTTTTATACGTATTCACCATCATATCAGCTCCCTGTGAGGTCCTCTCCGATGTCCCCCTGGTCCAGTAGAGATGAATCCCCCACCACGTAATCTTACTGTCGTCTGGTAGCTTCTCTGACCGCTGAGCTGCTTCGAGAAAATGATGGACTTTATCAAAACTTCATTATAGTTGTACATTGTTCCATCATCTGCCAACCACAATCTCAGAAGTCAGTAAGGGAGTCTAACAAATGAACCAAGATCATACAAAATCCATTTTTATATGTTGAATGAAATTTTGTACCATAATATCTATCTATCTGACAACATTTTGAAAATGTTCCGAGTTGACCATTGCAGAATTGTCCAAAAATGGAAAGGATGCCAATAAATCTATGAAATTTGTTGAAAGAAGTTTAAACTCGAACCCCTCATAGTTCTGTTACTCGTGTTCTGATCAGAGTAAGTAAATGTGAGGCGGTTTACAGAGACTTTCAGAATGTTTCTAACACAAGACAAAGACCTCTTAAAGGATATTTTTACAGCAGGTTTAATTACCCAAAGAAATGGTGGGTGGTTTGAGACCGTCTTGGGCGAAATTAACGAGCTCAGCTGTAGCTGTGGGGGCTTTACTTCCGGTATAGCTCCCCTGGACAGTGATTGTCCGTCTCTCTGTATGCCTGTGTGAGGCTTATTCACCAAGACATACACAGTATTGCCTGTAGAGTGCTTAATGATGTCTCCCATCCACTCCTTAAATAAAAACAGAATTAAGAGTGCATAAATGAATCAATAATCCTTTTCTTTAATAATAACAATGCTTGTACAGTAACAAATTTTTTAGGAGATCACGAATGAAATGAAACATTAAAACCTAAAACATTTTCTACACGATAATTCATCATATTAAACATTTTGGTAATAGGGACATACCGATATTCCAGTAACTGGTTCTGAGAAAGTGATTATACATTCCCATCGTCCGATGTCTTCACCGTGAATGGGGAACGTAAAGTGACCCTCACATCGCCCATTTCCCCAATCATTAACCCTCGACATGTCTGTATGTAGAGCATTACTGCAAGTCCATATCAAGACGAGGAGGTAAAGAGTCCCGCCAAACATTGTCGCCCCCAATTCTATACAAGTAAGAAATAATAAAACATTCAAATATCACTTTAAGGATTACACTTGCATTTCAGCTTTGAATGTTCCATGTGAAAACCATAGAAGCAACACTGCAATATAAATGTTGGGAGGAGCAAGAAGATATACGTAATTGACTTCCGACCACAGATTGATACAATAGACCTCTTTGACACCAAGAGTTTTGGTTTCACATTTCAACATAAATGTACAGTGTACGTGTCTTTCTATCTCAAATTAGGACACGGTAACTGTATTGAGAGGAAACAAATTAATCGATATCATTACTGATGCTTCAATAGAGGAGTTGGGGTAAATATAATGTAGAATTAATATTAAGCATTTTTAGAAATTTTGATTTCAATCAAGATTTCAACTAACATAATTAATGCTTTTCAAAATGATTATTTTCTACAAAATATTTGAAATAAAACTTTTAAATTCCTTTTCTTGTACTCGTAATTTTGAACAGTCTATAATGGTAGGTTAAAGAGGATACGATGTTTAAATATCAAATTAACACAGAATTCTTCCTCCTTGTGCTTTTATTTGCCTCTCTGTTATGTTACCACGTGCACTCAGTCTTTACTTAATACTGTGTGCTAAACTGAAAAAGGAAGGGTCAGTGATATAGAAAAAGGCAATGAGATGTATTTAAAATGTTTAAAACGACAGCAATTCAAGATTTAAGATATCACTCCTCTCTCTCTCTCTCTCTCAGGGAAAATACATGTACATCGCGAGGGAATGTCCAGCTTTACAGTGTTTTATTTGAAATACATCCTCTTTTAAATGAATTAAGTTTTCTGAAAAAGTGATGCGAAAAACAGTTCCAATACAGTAAATTAAGAAAGGCTTGCATTGTACTTACCTGAGCGGTGTATAACGGTCGTCTTATCAACTGAAACAATGATTTAGATCCAGTTTTTCAACTTTACAAACCCTGTCCCAGGTATTAACATTTACTGGTCAACTAACAGGAGAAATAGTTATCAGGAACCATTGTATGAAATGTGAAGAAATGTGTATGAAATCGAATATCGTTACTGTGTTCATAGAACACGGAACTATATTTTTACTCGAACAGTTGAAGCTTATGGCAGTCTATTCCAGTGTCCATGGAATTCGAAGTCGAGCTGCTGACCAAAAAAAGAATTTTAAGAATAAACATTTTCCCCATCTTATTGGTCCGCTAAAGTAACGTCAAGGATTATTTTAAAATAAGAACTAACATTTCTTTTGTTAATGTACCACATTAAAAAAAATGTTAGGTCACAATTATTTTTCAATATTTAGTTTGTATATGTTTAGTTATTTTTTTTTTTTTTTACAAAAACCTTTAACAAGAAACTGAATAATATGGTATGAGGATACAAAATTGGAGGAAATAAATAAAATATCGAAAATGAGTACCTTTAATGATAATTCAATGGCTTCATTTGATTGATATGCGTATTTCTTTTTGTCTGAATTTAAAAAAAAATACAATTCACAGACAAAAATGTTTCAACAGTATCAAAGGTATAGACTGATGTGTATATTTGCAAATATTCTGATATTTATAAACAAATTGATGCGAAACATGAGCGCTTCATTTGATGCATTTTTCATGTCTTTTGTATAGACCCTCGAGAAAGTTTGAAAGGGTCAAATCCTTCAGGTCAATGATTGTGGGGGTGTGCCTGGTTTGTTCTGCTTCTCGTGTCTTGTAATCATAATAAAATGAAAGTTGTAATGCATAGAAGTTATTTTATTAGGATAAATAGCTTACATTTGAATAACATATTTATGTTATGTATGTCGATTATTTTTTAAATTAACCCTAATAAAAAAGTACTATAATAGTTAATATAGTTTACTATAGTTAGCTATAGTTTACTATAGTTAACTATAGTATCAAAGTTTTTTCACTATAGTAAATTAAAGTATTTTTACTATGGATTTCAGATAGTTATATTTTTTGTTCTTCAATTCATACCTGCACATTTCTTATATTAAATTGAAATATTATTTGTATATTCACACATTATTTCCAAATTTTATATTACTGTTATCGAAATTTAAAGATCTTAACCTTTGAAATCTCAAAAAAGTTTCTGAGTAGGTTCCATAGTAAATCAAAGTATGAAAGTTTTAACTATAGTCAACTATAGTTAAAACTATATACTTAAGTATAGTAAATTTTTGTTAGGGAAAAAAGAAATATTTTGTCCAGTCTTGTATCTCGTTTTAAGATTACGGTTACCAATAAGTATACGTTTATTTCATGTAATTCTAATCAGTACTTTAACTTAAAGAAGAAAAAGATTCTAATGAAACCGGAGAAATTGGGCTTTTATGATAGCTTCTTGTATTTCGTTGTCTTTGGATTAAAATGAAAATTCAGAGTTAACTAATATCATTATACATGTGAGATTTCATTTTTTCTTAATTTTTATTCGCATTTCAATATAGATAAGAAAGTATATTTTGGGAGAATAAAAAAAATAATACTGGTTTAATAGAAAAATTTCATGATGATTATGTGTTTTAAGCAATAATATTAATACATAATTAAGTACTCATTATGAGGTTAATATAGTGAAATAAGGACCCGAGACCAGGCCAACGAGGTGACCTGACCTGACTGAGGCCGTTTAGAGGCCGAGGTCAGGTCAGGTCAGCGAGTGGGCCAGGTCGATGGTCCTTATTTCGCAATGTTGAACTCATAAGGGGTAATCAATTGTTTTATTATACCGATATAGGTTCTTTTGTAGACTTAATTTCTAAAAATTTGTTGACCGTTTCCTAATACTGACCTTCACTGGAATGGGATAACAAAACAATGAAGTAAAATTTATTTTAAATAATGTCAATTTTAGTTTCCTGACAACCAATGTTAAACAAACCCTCATGGGAACATGTATGATACTCAATTTCGCAGATTTGTTCATTGATCGGGATTGGGATTTCCTTGTGAAGTTGTTTACGTTCACGTTGACGATGCAAGTATTGTTAAGTTTTTGAATCACTGAATTACTGATTAAAACACTGTGATTGACATTAACATGCATTGTTATAATTGACAATTACTATTCTTGAGTATAATGAAAAAAATCTGGCGCAGAATCTTACTGTAATGGAGCGCCGAATCGGCATTTCTTGACATTGTAACGAAATTTTCAAATGAATAAACGATAAAAATGTGGATCTATCGTTTTCTGTCTGTGTCATAAACAGACAATGTACATTTTGTCAGAAGTTTCGATTGCATTTTCTGTATCATAAACAGACAATGCGTATTTCATAATGGCATGTTTTTATCGTATATTAATTACTCTATGCATTAAGTTTAATTTGAAGGGAAGTTTGGTTAACAGGTCATTATTTCGCGGTCAATATTTATTTAAAAGTACCTTACATTATTGAGCTGTAAACAGTTCTTTTTTGAGTCATTATTGAGCCTTCTTACAAGCCAACCAAAGAGGATTCTCAATAAAGGTATAATACATGTAATTATAAAGACTAAAAAACTTTTTTCCAAGTTTCTCTCTTTTTAGTACCCTATATCCTCCAGTATATTATTCCAATCTTTTCGTTTAAAGATCAATCGAAACTGAACACAGTTTTAATGAAAACCCTGACTGACTTTAATGAAATATGAAGATAACGATTAGTAATCAATACTAGTTTTATAAATAGTGCCATGCCTCTGAATTTTTGAAAAAAACTTTCATTTTCATAATCTATAAACAGGTCATATGTTACATTTGAAACTAGTCAAAGATCATGTTAATAAAGTTAAAATAGAGTTACGTCTCTTAGGTTTTTTTTTTAAATTTCTACTTTCTTTTTGTAACAACAAGCTGCCCAGACTTGTTTCGAACGACGTATTGTGCATATGATTATCAGTGGCTTGAAAGAAGGATATTTTTAATGTATTGAGACAACTTTGGTGTAAGTTTATGCATAAAATTCATATAAAATCTAAACCCATAAACACATTTTATTAACAAATCGACTTAAGAACTTTAAATTCATCCCCCTTTCGATTCGTAAATTCTTTTATTAAAAATTCCTAGATAATTTATTATTGATGTTAAAATATTTTTTCGAAAGTAAATTATAAAAAAAAAACCTCGTTTAATGCACAGAAATCATAAATTTAATCAATATATCAACAAACGAGATATTGAAGAAAACTATAACTGCATTATTTTCGTGATTTACAAGGTTGATATATTTTAACTTAATTGTTAAGAATACCAGAGGGATAAAATAATTTGCGACATGGGCGTTAAAAGCGACATAAGTTCAAGTTCATTTATTCACTCAAAACCATCTAAAATATGACAATGAAAAATATTTACAACATATAAATTCAGGTCATAGTTACAAGTATATGATATACTTATTCAGAAAATGAAAGTGAAAGAAGACAAAAGAAAAATAAGAAAAAAAATGAATACATATACTAAAAGTATAAGTGAGGAAAAAAATCATGGAGTACAGACTACGTAACTCATATATTTTTAATATAAAAGTACAGAGTTTTTTTTCCAGAGTCTTAGCGCATCTTGTTTTGTCATCAATTGAAAAAATTTAAGTATATTTGGTCTAGTAAAGTAGTATTCATTAATGTACTTTTTCCTAATGTTTGACAATGAAGTGCATTCAAGTATAAAATGGAATTCATCGGCAACATGTTTAGTTTTACAAAGTGTACATGATCTTTCATTAAATGGTATATCTGCTCATCTTCCCAGGTAGACGGTGATTAGAATTACGAAATTTTACAAGTATTATTTCTAAATTTTAATGGCAAAATGCTTAAACACTTTTCACATTATCGTATTGACATACGATCAATATTTTGTGTTGATAATTGGGTCGTCTTTTTTAATTTGAAATTGCCAACAATTGACCCGACACTGAAATGCATTTTTATAATGTTCACCTATGATTAAAGTCGGTTTGTACTAATAACAAATAATATATTGCTGTATGACTTTCTTATGTTATAGTTAAAATCCCTGCAGGAGAAATAAAGGATAGAATGGGTGGTTTTTGGCTAAGTTTTTCTTTTATCATCATGACTATATTTCACCTGAAAAGTAAGTATTTTCTTTACACAGAAGAAACTTCTAGTTAAAAGGGGAAAAATATTTTCACTAGGCAAAAACGTGGTCTCGTTTCACGTGATCGGGTAATTTGCTTTTTTTTAGTTTCAAAAATCATTTGCTTTTAAGTGCTTTTGTGGCCTTAATAATAATAAAAAATTATTTTATTCTTTATGAGAACTTCCAAAGTAAAATACTATACAATTATTGCTGGTTTTTCAGGTCAATACGATGATTTAGACACCTGAGGAGTACAATATTGTTCTTCGAAGGAGGCTAAATCATCGTATTGACCGAAAAAACAGCATTAAATTTTTCATTATATGATTCAGTGCCGTCTTACTTGTTCACATCTACTGAAGTACTAGCCAAACATAATGAAAGAAACGGGGTTAAAAAAAAGTTAAATTATTTAGGAATTTTTCATTTTAGTTCAGGTGCAATGTAGAAATAATGATTGTCAGGCACATATATAGGATTGATTTTGAAAAAGGGGGCATTATAAGGGGGGGAAAAATGACAACTTACCTGAAAACAAATCTTTGACCCCCCCCCCCAAAAAAAAGGGAAAAGAATTGTATTTGTAATTGTGAGTGTAAAGGTCCATAAACGAGGGGAGAGGGGCTTTCAATGAAATTTTTTATCCTTTAAATTTAAATTAAAAATTTACATTCTCAAAAGGTGGGGAGAGGGGCAGACCTCCTGCACCCCACTCCCACCCCCACCCCCCACCCAAGAATCTATGTGCCTTAATGTTATGTTCATATGAGTGGAAGCCAGGTGCAAGTGAAATTACTTTCCAAAACTGTTTGCATTTGGAATTTCCCTATCTATTTTTGGTCCAATGTAGAATAAATAATTCCTTGTATTGACCTGGAAGGTCACGTGCAGGTCAATATAACGTAGTATTTTTCTAACATTGTTGCATCTCAGCCAATCAGAGAGATGGGAATTATTCAATCATATGATAATATTATATATCCATCTACGAACAAAACATTTTTTTTTAATCTTTTTTTTATGTCATATATAATTATAACGAACTGCCATCGATCTCATAAATCTCGTAACCAGGAGTCTGAACAGGGTAACTTCAGTTTCTCTCTTTTTAATTTTGCCATTACTATGACGATATTGAAGAAAAACAGATAAATATAATGCTCAGGATAAAATATAATTTTTAATATCGTGTACTTTAGAAAGCCAACAAGAAATAAATTTAATTGGTTAAAAAATAAATTTACGATCTGCAAAAAACTTAAGCTGACGTTTTTCGAGCGAATTAAGTGAATGTCTCATCATGTGGTAAATATACAGTCAATATAACATTACCAAATAAGAAATATATCAGGAATTTTAATAGCTCCTAACAAAGTGTTTTCTACAATCTCGTTTAAAATCAGCATTTCGCAAATTATATAGTCGATATTAAGACCTTCTTTGCAAATACAACCTATTGTTGTATTTTGACTGACATGTTTCATACCAATGTTTAAGCCATTGTTATTACAATAAATTTGAACACAGTATATTCCGTTTACCTGATCAATATGGGGGGGGGGGGGGCTCACGGCGGGCACCTGATCCAAAATCTCGTGTTCAAGGGGTTTGTTTTCATGATATTCATTGTTTACAGGATTTATGAGATCGATAACATATCGTTGTCTTTTTCTCATTCTGAAATCTTGATTTGATTTTCATTCTGAAATCTTGATTTGATCAAAAAAATTACTCTCGAGATTTTTTGTCGCCACACTTCATTTATTTTTCCCCTTATTTCTTAAACCTGAAGTTTTAAATATTGCAATGTTCAATAATACCATAACTTTTCCCGGGGATAGAGTACATGTATGTATGCCAAGTACTTAAGTTCGTTATCAAAAAAGTCACACAATGAAACGTTAGAGAAAAGTCATAAACAGACAGACATGATATTTGAATGTACATTTCTAGGCGCAGTTTAAAGACAAGGTACGCCAAAACGTGTCCATATAATGAAACTGAATGGAAAGAGAGATCGACGGAATTCTTCTGTCAAGGAAAAGAAGTCTATCATTGTTTTCTTGCTGAAAACAAAGAATCAGTGCAAGAAGGATGTACAGAAATGACGATGATACTACAAGGTTTCTGATGCCAATATCAAACTACCAGAATAAACAACACGGTGTATTTTTAGCTCACCTGAGCCGAAACTCAAATGAGCTTCTCTGATCAAAGAGTGTCCGGCGTCCGTCTGTCATCTGTAAACTTTTCACATTTTCGACTTCTTCTCAAGAACCACTCAGCTATGTTAAGGGAACTTTCTCTTGGTAAATCCTTTTCTACTGTAAAATGCTTTAATATCAGAACATTATGTCAACAATAACAAATAACAATGGTTATTTCCATTCTTATGTCGATACGATATATCCCAGTGAGCTTGAAATATAAGATACCACAGAGTCTGACACATCTGCTTCATATTTGGATATTTTACTTGAAAAAGACGTTAATGGTAATCTAACAACCAAGCTTTATGATAAACGTGATGACTTTAACTTTTCAATCGTCAACTTCCCTTACTTATGCAGCAATATACCTTCAGCAACTGCATACGGGGTTTATATCACTTGATTCGATACGCATGCGCAAGAGCATGCTCTACGTTTGAACAGTTTCTAAAACGAGGTAAGTTATTGACAAACAAGTTGATGAAACAAGAATATCACCAGTCTCGTTTAAAGTCGTCATTTCGTAAGTTCTATGGTCGATACAATGACCTTGTCAGCAAAGCAATTTATCATTAAGTCAAAGCTGACTGACATTTTTCATACTGATCGTTAGGCCATTATTTACACACTGAATTGTCGACGGATTTTTCCATTATTTCTCGATCATGACAAGGAGCACGCGGCGGGTGTGACCGGTCGGCAGGGGATGCTCACTCCTCCATGGCACCTGATCCCACCTCTGATGTTTTAGAGGTCCGTGTTTGCTTTGCTCCAAAATTTGTATTGTTTAATGGCATTTTGGGCTTGAATTCTGTTCGTTATCGCCATACATTGCATGTATGTAATGGACATTTAAGGATAGAGGATGGAAACCTTAACGGTTAGAGCAAAATAAAAGTATGAAAGTTATAAACACCAGTAGCAAGTATCCTAGGGAATTGATGTTAAGTTCTGGGTGTAGTAAATCTGAAGAAGATTGAGACACCTGGTTCTTATCTATCAATGTGAACCTAGGGGAAAAACACAGTGCAAGTAGTACCTTACCCAGTCCCCGTCTCTAGATAAGAGAAAATTTAAGTACTGTGTGATATGCCATCAGACAGAGCTGTCTTAATAATCATTCCAGTCATCAACAGAGTAAAAGAAAAAGCTATATATCCTGTAAAAACCTGAACATACACCTTGCTTAGGAAATATCTTTGAAATCTTCTTCTCAAGAACAGCTAAGCCCCAGGGGTTGGGGGCACAACAGAGGGTCAAAGTTTTGCATAAGAATATATAGGAACCATCTTGAAAAAAAATCTTTTGCCCAAGAACAGCAAAGCCATGATCATTAGTCATATTATTATAGAAGCATCCCCCCGTTCAATACTGAACTGATTTCTGCTTCTTCCTAGCCAATGTGCACAGGTGAGCGATGTGGCCCATGGGCCTGTATTTGTTTGTCATGCCAGTTATTATTTTTTTCTTTAATAAATAATGACTGTTTTGAGATTTGTTTAATTTACAGGTTTTTGTCCAATATTCACAGACTACGGTTACTTACATTGGGATCCGTGCAATAGAACAGGATGTCCTAACTCGTCCTACACCAGTGATAAAGTTTACAAATGTAAAAACACTTATTTTATGCTTATTGAAAAATTATCAATATATTGATTGATGCATTTTTTTCTTTGACTTACAAACTATAATTTCTTGCTGTTTATTTAATGGGAGGGGGTAAACCTTGAGTGAATCATAGAATCGCATCAGATATTTACGGTGAAGTGAACATTGATAGCGAGAGAGAGATTTGAACAGTTCAAATAATTATGTGGCGAAATGCGAACCTTCTGAAGTTTATTTATCAGAAAAATTGTGTATTTTAACATCGCTTAGTAATTTTGTGAGGTATATAATGGAAATATGCCAAATGCAGTTCTATATGAAAAAAAATCAGTTTGAGTCCCGTTAGGGCCGAAAACTGATATATATATATATATATATATTTTTCATACAGATTTGTTTGAGGCAAATATTACCCTTTCAACTTCCTTTGCTGATTTACTTGGGACAGTTTGATGTTTTAACAATTGACAAAAGTGTTAATGACCATTGAAACAATTCTTGCAAGAATGCAGACTTGAATGAAAACTACTCAGTATACTTTTATCAGCAACATTAATGTAGGTATTTGAAGTAATTTGGCAATGATCGTTTGGAATGGAAAGTGGGGCAGAATTTTTTCCCCTTAAATATGCCTAGAGTTAGCAATGGAATAGAATGATATTTTGGGAATGGAAAGAAAAATGCAGATGTGTGCCCTGATTTGACTGAACACAGAAAAAAAAATAAAATGAAATTTTTAAATTGAGAATAACTTTATAAAAGATTGCAAGTGTAATAGATAGTTTTGTAATGTTACCAGAAGTAGAACTCTTGTGTATGATTGAACGAAAAACATACCAGCCAACTCTGCTTATTGCGAAAAACCTTCTCTGATTTTAAGTATTCGATCTAGATAAGTGAATTTTCGAACTTTTAACTCTAAATAAAACCATTCTTTAAAGTGAATTACAAATTCAGATGGCTCTTGTTTGAATCTTGGTGTGTTCGGTCGCACTTTCTCCTTTCCTGTTACAATATTTACAGTATATTCGGTTTTACTGAATTTAATTTGAAGGATATCAGTACCGAGACAGTTTGATATTACACTTAATTTCAGAATGCTCACTAATATCGGACGGTCAAAGGTAAATTTTAGAGTGCAAGAACAAAGGATTGTCATTAAGCAATGTTTTAATTGATTCCTAAAATGACATCACAATATGTGTGCAGAATCCTGAACATAAAAAATAATTTAGAGAGATCGTCTTTTCTTCAAGGTAAAGGATAAAAATCTGCAAGTCAACTTACATCATTTTGCAGTGCATATCTCAAGGGGTGGTTGTCATCCTCTCTAATAAAATCAACTGTTTTTGTCAAATTCTGTTGAATTATTCCAATGCAAGTTTCTAAAAATATAAACACTTGTGGGAAGGCTGGGCGATCAAAAAGTTTATTCCGTTTTATAGAGAATTCACAGAGCCTTTCAAGTCCTGTTGTAAATACACGATTAGTTGCTGTTTTTTTATCGAAGTTCACTTCACACAAATATCCAAATCTAGCATTTTATTAGTTTAAAATTAAAGACTTTTTAAATATTGTAGACCGTGTGTGTTTTGGTGACACAGACAATGCTATGACCTATGCCTCTGGATCTAGGTAAAGTTGAACAGCTGTTGAAGTAGGTCTATCAATCATCGAGTCAGGTGTATTTTGTCAACATGTTCCAAATGTTATACATGTATCTATTTTTTCCAAATTTTGTGTAAGCTTCCGCATTATACAATATATAAGAATATAATTTGGTAATTCTTGCATCAGTAAGGAACAATTAGTGGAATGATGATGTGGTGTTTGGTGGATAAATGTATATTTTACGAATTTTAAATATAATCATTTATTACCTAATAAAACTGGTTTGGTTGTTTTATTAAATATGTAGAATTTTTGACTATTTTCTCTGTATATAAATTCCTTTGAACTACTTGAATAAATTCAGCGTGATCTATAGGACCGCCGATTGATAGTTTGTAAATTTTGGACCCGCGTTCTATTGATTAGCAGTCAATAGTTTGCAAATTTTGTACCGGCGATCTATTGGATCGGCGGTGCCTATGTACTCAGTTTAATATTAGTCAATGAAACAATTATTTAATATCTGGTCAGTCGATGGACAAGAATATTTTCCCCTCGGTTCTGAGATCAGCTCTATGTGTTCTATTGCTCTCGCCGTTGGCCTCGGGTATTAGAACACATTGAATTGTTCCCAGCACCTTGGTAAAATTTAATATTCTGGTCTATTGACTGATCAGACATTAAATTATGTATAATACCAAACGGCCTTTTTATCTGTAAAATTTATCTCTATGTGAATATTATATGGTAGTTTTAGAATGTTTCGTGATATGTAGGCTTGTTTGTTTTGAGTTAGATGAAAAACTGAACACAGATTATATAGTTATTTAATATCTCATCAGTCAAAAGATCAGAATTTTTTTTCCCCAAGGTGCTGGGATTAGCTCGGTGTGTTCTCTTGCCCGAGGCCAAAGTTCTCAGCACCGAGGGAAAAATATATTTGGTCTATTGACTTATCAGACATTAAAGAACTGTTTTATTGCCTATTATTATAGTGTGCATGGGTACTGCCGGTCCAATAGATCGCAGGACCAAAATTTGCAAACTTTTGACTGGCGGTCAACAGATCGCCGGTCCAAAAGTCGCAAACTATTGTCCAGTGGTCCAATAGATCACTCTGATGTTTCTTAATTAGTTCAGAGGAATGAATACACAGAGAAAATAGTCAAAAATACTACATATCTAATAAAACAACAAAATCATTTGTATTAGATAAAAAAGCAAAATATTTTTAAAACATTATTTTAAACAATATCAAATTATTCAAATAATCAGAAACTTGGAAAAAATCAATGTGGTTGGAGAGAGAGAGAAAGAGAGAATGGATAAATTTAACTAATGTGTTCTACATGTATCTCTTTAAAAATTGGCATTTCATCTTAAGATATAAACTATAAACTTAATTGTCATAAATGCATCCTACGTAAATCATCTCTGAGGAACACATAATTTAAACGTACTAAAATGGAAATCGCATGGATAGTATCTGGAAACTGCTTTAAATCACCAGTACAAGTTTTTCAGATAATATGTAAGAGATTAGATGTAACAAAATGAAGCAACTCTATTGGTTTTAAAAATATATAAGCTCAAATTTATTGCTGCTGTGTTGTGCGAGATATTTTGTCATAATACATGTATTTTTGAAAAAAAAATTATTTTTACAAATAGTGAGGACGAGGGGGCATCTGCCTTGGGCCTTGGAGTTGGAATTACAATCGGAGTCATAATATTAATTGTTATTGCTGTAGTAATCTTTAAGTGCTATCTTGGACCAGTGAGTGCTGAAAGTAAGTGATCTTGGTTATTATTCCATTTATTATTTCGTTTCTCGCAGATGGCCTCGACAATGTTGGTAAAACTTCACAGAAATTATAATCACCAAGCCTTCTTCTACATTCAACATTTGAAAATTTTCCAAATAACCACGTTGCCATGAAAATAGAGAGAATATGAAATCTTTAAATTTCGTTTTTCTCAAGAACTACCCAGTCAGTTTCTTTGAAACTTTTAAGGAGTTTTTCTTGCATTAACTTGCAAGTAAAAATTGATTGTCACCGGGTGGCTAGCAGCTTCCAATAACACAAGTCAGTTTTGTCAAAATAGAGTTCTTTATTTACATTTTTTCACAAACACACGCGTTCTGGGGTCTATGGTCCACACATGTGATGGCACAATGGCACTACCAGACTGAACTTGAATGGAACTTCATGGGACCTATAATATAAATCAAAGCTAGATGCAGACATAATATACTTTGTTCACACTCGCACATTTTACTGTACGTTTACTAAGTTGCATTTTAGTGCATTTTCCTTACCAAGAATATACACTGTACTTCAATATACACTTGACTACATTTGGTTTACTTTACAGAACTTTTACATCCACACGTTTACTTAGTAACTCGTGTACAATTACTTTTCTTTGAGACGAATACTATACGCCATGCTTTGTACATACAACACTATGTCTACATTATTCATATACTCATACACTTTTACATATAATATATATACATTACATTAGCAAACACTACTTTGAATCTAACTTACGAATGAAAATATAGAACAAAGTTCTTTGGCCATCTTAGGAATAAAACTGGCAACAAACCAAATAACTAATAATAATTAATGAAATAAACTTACCCAGAATAGGTGGACTCTGGTCAAAAAATATTAAAGATACATATAAATAGTAGAAATGTGAGCTGTGTTACACACGTCTGCTCTTCTTATTTGCTACGCTCAGTCTGATTTCTGAAAGAACGGGATTTAAATCGCAGGGTAAAACCTGCTGAGTCACCCGCGTGGCACAGTGGTTAGAGCGTCTGCTCTAGAGTCGCGAAGTAAGGAGTTGATCCTTACGTCGCGGGTTCGAATCCAACTGTGGGATGTGGAGACCGGTCCTTCGGATGAGACCGTTTAAACCGAGGTCCCGTGTCGCAGAAGGTGCTGGCACGAAAAAGATCCCTCACTGTTCAATGGCCGTAAGTGCCGAGTATAGGACAAAATTTGCAGCTCTCCACCGGCAAGTGGTGGCGTCTCCATATGAGTGAAAAATTCTCGAGAGGGACGTTAAACAACATACAAACAAAACAAACAAACAAAAACCTGCTGAATAAGCTTAAAGGTATAGAGAAAAAACTTGGGCAATAGTATTAGTTATGATGAAAAAAATATATGGAAACAATTGTGGACATGAATTGTGATACTGATTTCTGCAAAAACAAAAACAACCAGAAAACAAAACAAACAAACAAACAAAAAAGAAGAGTGGAATGGGTTTAATAAAAATTTTCACTGATGCCAAGTAAAGGAAAAAAGAGATTTTTGAGATCTTGTTTTCTTTTTAAAGAATTTCAAACTGCATTACATTGATTTGTCAGTTTCTTCCCAAGGATAATTAAATATATTTATTTGGTTGTTTGTTTGATTTGTTTCTTTTTCTTTCTTTTATTATTATTATTATTATTAATTCTAAATTCGTGCGTGCAACGAAAACACAGAATATTAATTAGTGATTAGGAATAACTACTTTAAAGCATGATGAATAATCTATATCTTTCTATTTAAGTTGAAGACATGGTTAATGGGACCAACGTTCTCCGTTCTGAAAACATCCTTTATGTTATTGGAAAGCTCGGGAATTCTGTTTCTACAGTCGGGAAAAAAATAGTATCTGATTTTGCTAAAAAGCATAACATGTCTGATGAAAACCGGAAGTACTTGGACATTTCAGAAAAGATTGCATTTTCTACAAACGCTGTGTATTTTATTGATGGATGGTTTGGATTATGGAATGATAATCCTTGTGAAAAAGATCTCGTTTTGGACAATTTTAGTTCTATCATTGAGGCAGCTAAGGATAAGGAGAGAAATATAAAGTTTGTTATTGGGCTCCGCACTGATTATTTTGAATCCTATAAAAAGGATTTAGAGGGGATTGGAATTTCTTTCCCTGAAAGACAGAAAATATTACGTGATTCCTATTCAAAGCATAAAGACACTCGAGTGGAAATGCATTTAAAGAAAATGACACGGAAATGCACTACTGATAGATGCCGGTGTAAATCGCTATGTTTACAAGATATAAAGTCCATCGACGTAATTGGAGGTCACCTTATCATCGATCTTTTAGATTTGGATCACACTATGGCAGTCGATTTGGTAGATGAGAACAAAGGTCCCCTTCAGACAATGATTGGACATTTCAAAGGACTGGAAAGCAAAGACAAAAATCTTTTTGAATGCATTCTTTATATTGTTTTAATTGGATTCTATGATGAAAAGGAGTTTAGATCTGATGTCGCAGACCACTTTTCAATTTCAGAAAATATCCTGAAAGAAGGCACAAACCTTAAAAAATATACAAAATCACTGAATGCTTCAGAGATAACACAAATGTGGACATCTAGATTTAGCGGTGATTATAAAGAAACAAACGAGATTAAAGTCTTTTGGCACACCTTTCTTTACATTTCTGCGTTTCATGCCTGTTATAGTCTATACCCGGAGATGATGATGCGTCACTGCCACCTAGATGCCATACTACAACTGGTCCGACCGGAAGGCCAAAAATCGGAATTTACTGTAGATGCAGACAAAGAATTAACTTCAATCTTCTATCAAGAAAGAACACAACGGAAAGTTTTTGAAGATCATGTAAAAGATCATCCTCTTATTGTTTTTTTACAGACCCAATCTTAAGGGGTTTTTTTTTATAAGAAGAGAGGGACAAAGAGAAAACGTTTTTTGTGATGGAAAGACGTATATTCTTGAAGTAATGTCGACACCTGTATAATTGTAATGTTTATGTTATCTTTGTGTCGTCCTTTATTGCACAGATATCAAATGCTTTCTACTTAATGCTTGCAAACAATATGCAGAATGAATTCACACCGGAACTACTTTCTGGAGTTGTAAATACATTTCGTTTTGTGTCATATGTTGTGAATCTCACCAAAGCAAATTGCTACTTAAAGATCGAGATTAGGTATAACCCTTGTAATGTGATAATCTCTTTATAGTTAAATGATCGTTGTTTAATGAAAAAATATTGTACATATTTCAAATAATAAGTTTGCTTAATAAAATGGTAGTCTGTGTGTGCCATTTCTTATCATTAGAATCATTGTTTACATAAAGTATTAAGATTGTGCTGTGTGGTGATACTATTGATAAACTTACATCGGACCATCACACCACATGACGTCACGGGGTTACCGGGTCAGTTATCCTCTTGGAGACGATAAAGATGGGCCCTTCACGATTTCATATTGTGATATATAGCTTTATTTTAATTTCACCAGGTAATAAATCTATTTTCAATCGTTTTTCTTCACTTTAACTTAAAAAGGGTATTGAAAATTTTTGTTACGTGGAATGTATTCATATTGGACTTTTTTTCTAATATTAAATGATATTGATAATACACTTCCTTTGTTTTAATGGATTGTCAAAGAATTTTGAGAAAATTTATTTTAAGTACCAACTGATCCTTATAGATTTTAAGAGCCAAATATTAATCTGGAATATTTAATACAAAAGCATGATTTTATAAGCTTAACGGAATAAAACTTGCAATAATGAAGTACCAACTTTATCAAAGTATTTAATCTTTAACCTGTAGAGTTGAGGTATGAAATCGTTATAATTTTCAATGATTAAATACTAGTAGCTTCCTGGGTGAACATTGTATAGACTGACGATCTGTATAGAATAAAATGTCTTATTTAAAGCAATAATATTACTTTTTTGGTTAGCTTTGTCTGTACCAGATGATATTAGAACTTTATGTCCCCGGGACATTGCTCTAGACCCACAGTATGTCTGGATACATGGCTCCTCGTGCCTGCAGATCTCACTTGACAAACATGACTGGCCGCATGCGCGAGAGCGATGTCAGCGCCATGGCGGAGACCTGGTGCAGATCCGCAATGCAGACATGCAGGGTTCCATTATAGAGAAGATCAGACAGGTCCATCACCACATCAAGGAGGGGTTCTGGATTGGGGCTTCCGATCAACATCACGAGGGTCGGTGGGAGTGGGTGTCAGGTCAGTTATGATATTTAAATGATCAATAAAAAAATACTTTTACTTCCAGTTTTAACATTGACGTTTTTTAAGGAGAGTCTGCTGGAATTAGAGGTTTGTCAACGGTAAAGTATGCAGTAAAACTGAGCTCGACATCATATCGTTAAAAATGGGGTGTGACCGATGAAAAATTTCACAATTTTAGCATTTCTTAAATAAAGAAGAGCAGACTTCTGTGTAGCATCATAATTCATAGGTAACAAGTATATATATATATATATATATATATATATATATATATATATATATATATATATATATATATATATATATATATATATATATATATATATATATATATATATATATATATATATAAACGTTTTTGTTTATTTATACATTATGCTAATCAATCCAATCATCGCGATATCGTCGACAAAAACTGTTATGGAAGTGCATATAGTTACTTTTGTAGACTAATTTATGCGTTTGCCTTAAACCTATCTCATTGTGTTCATAAAAGATGATAAACAATGTCCAATTTTTAGTTTTGCTCATTGATATCTGTAGGCATCAGTTTTCAATAATGAGTAAGATAAGATGATGGCGTATGTGGGCGTTCTTGCAGTGTTTTGTGAGACCAAGGTAACAAGAAGAATATTTCTACAAAAGGAACTTTGATACTAAGGATTTTAAAAATTATTTTCTAGATTAACAATTTTGTTTTAGTTGATTTCTTGTTGTAATTTAATTCATTAATGCTTCTTCTGTACTAGCACGAGTCATTTCTAATCTTAAGGTGTGTAGTGGACCCTTATGTCAACAATAATGGTTTAAAATATCCGCTTTCTCCTTCTCCAACGTCCTTTTTACCTCAAATTCTAAAGCCATATATCACAATTATAGCTTACTTATTAATGTTTACAATAAAATTAACAATTGAAATATTAACAATATTAAAAAAAATAAAACCCAGCTGTCTCCCAAAAAACTTGTTGCAGGTTATTATGGTAAATATTAAACCCTTAACATTTCTTTAAAATTGTATTCTGAATCCATAAAATCAAAGGATTTTTTTTCAGAATATTTTTCAGCTTTGCAATAAAACGAAGTCAAGAAAGTGATTTTTTTATAAGAAGGGAGTCTTTGCTTGATTTGAATGAAATGATATACACTTACATGTAATTACTATCTTAAAAACCTTTGAATTGTAACAAGACGCCTGTAACAGGGTATTTTTTCGACTCTATTGAAATATTTGGGAACAAAGGATAATATTTGTACGCCTCTTTCCTTATTGCAATTGCAATATTTATAATAGAAATTATATTTTCATATTTAAGTACAGCACTGATGCATGTATAACGAACAGTGATCAATCAGGTAAATTTAAAAAAGAATACGAATCCTGAACATGGCTGAAAATGTACCCCTGGAAACAGTATGGGTGGGATCAGGTGCCTAGGAGGAGTAAGCATTCCCTGTAGACCCCTCATACCTGCCGTGAGTCCTCTTTATTCATTACTTATCAGGTATTCGAAGTATACGTAGTCAATATGGTATAAAAACAATAGCATGACAATTGTATGAAACCATGTCAGGCTAAATACCTACCGATAAGATGTGTTGCAAACAAGGTCATATAACGACCATACATGTAGATACCTAATAACTTTCTTCCTTAAGTACAGATGATACGAACAAAAAAATGTATTTTGATTGTAAATAATGTGAAAAAAAAAATCTAAAATATTAAGAAATTGTAAACTTTTTATGATGTTCAAAATTCTACCTCTCTGCAACCATCCTTATTAATCTAAACAATTTTTGTCACTTTAAATTCCATTATTGTGAAACTTTGAATGAAAATTAAAAACTATGTGGTTAAACTTATTCATTTAATTATGTAAACATGATTTAATTTGTTATTTTCAAGATATTTGATAAAAGATTGGTTTTATCATCTGTCCTTAAACATCTGTTCTTAAACATATGGGAAATTGTATAATCTTTTGAAATATTATTTTTTTAAATTGTTAACAACATTACGATTTTTCTTTTATATTACGAATTTTTTTTTCTTCACATGTGCGTGAACCTTAAATACTAGCAATACTACAATACAAATGTAGATTGTCTACAATACAATTGTAGATTGTCATTTCTTTAACAAATTTCATACAAATGGCTACAGAAGCTTATGAAATTTTATATTAAAAAAAAACAAAAAAAAAAAAAAAATAAAAATAAAAATAATTGCATTGTATGTGTTTCAACTGGACATAATGATTAAATGTAATTCTAAAAAAATGTGTCATACAATAACTAAATTTAATACAATATACATTGAAGGTGACAAGACAATGACGTATGATAATTGGAGTCCTCATCAGGGACCGCACCAGACTGGATTTCTGCTGATCTCGGGGGGAGGGACAGAAGACTGTGGACTACTCAAGATCTCCGATCATTATATGTGGCACGACTACCCCTGTCACAGTGGAATAGCCTTCTTCTATCCGTACATTTGTCAATTTGGTGCGGTATTAGTTCGGAAGATGTTTAAACGAAAACTTTCATAAAACGTTATGCCATGGTATGGTATCACTCTTATTGCATAACTATACAATTTCCTTATTTTTTTTATTTAAGATATACCACATTCAACAAAAACACCAGAAACAACACCAACTCCAAAAGCATCGACAGTAGCGACAACAAAATTAACAACACAATCAACAACAAAACCAAGGGCAAAAACAACTGTTACAACTGAACCAACATCATCATCGACAACACTGTCTACAAGTTATACAAAGTCAATAACAAACCATGTATCGCCAACAGTAATGACATCACGATCTTCAACATCAACCAAGTCTACACTTCTCTCTTTACTAAGGTCAAAATCCCCCATGGCCGAGAAAACAAATGGAATAACTTTGTTCCTAAACAAAAATACATCTTCTGATGAAAATCCTAATAAACCCACGACAGAGGAATCGGAGGTAGTTTTCACTGAGCAAGGTCAAAGTACACCAATAACCACAACAACAAAGAGTATACCAGAGGGCATGATCATTATAGGATAAAGAGATCAAAAACATTTTAGAAGATTAAACATTTGTTTTCTTGTTACTATTTTTATAACATTCATTTCCTTTGTAAATAATACTCAATATACAACTATTCAATTGAAATAAAAAGTGAATAGTTTTCTCTTTTTTATTGCTTACTTGAAGGGAAATTGTCAGCAAAAATATTGAAATAGCAAACAAATCTAGCCTTTTAAAAAATGTATTATTGGTGCTTTAACCACACAAACCCAACGAACGATTGTATTTGCAAAGAAGGTCATATTAACAACCATAGAATTTGCGAAATGCTGACTTTGTAAAAGATTGTTCAAATCCCTATTACACCAACTCATTTGTCAGTAGCCTGTCTAGGTTAAAAAATGATCGTACTTAGATTATGTTCTTGCATACCGAATGAGTAACGAGATAATAACATTATATGCAGGATATGTTTCGATATTACTACATAACCAGGGGAAGATGACGAAAGAAAATGGAAGTCATCTCGTTTGACATAAAGATTATTTGTCAATTTGCCATTAATATTTGTAGTCAATTTAATATCCAAATATAAAAGGGATATGGCAGACAATGTGATGTCTTTTATTTCAAATTCATTACTAACAAAAATACTACAGCCAACTATTGTTAACTATAGGAAATCAAAGTTTTAAAATATCAGTATAGTAAATCAAAGTTTTCAAAGTGATCTCTATACTAAATCATAGCTATCACTATAGTAAATGAAAGTATCTTAGTGACCAATATGGTAAATCAAAGTTAACAATTTATCACATTTGTATATATAATGTTATGTGATATAAGTCTCAATTAATTTCACATTAATTGCACAACATAGATAATATCCAGTTTTACAGATTTTCTCATTTTACCAAAGTTATCTGTTCAAATAATTCCATGCACGTTGCCTTCAGGACAGTTTATTTTAAATTTTATTTTTAGTGATTCCTTTTGAAACCTCATGTTTTCCAATGAATGCTCTTGGCTAAACATTTCTAAAATGAATATCTTTCATTTTACCTGGTCTATTTTATAGTAGTAAATCACATTGTATTAATAGCATTAAGTACATCAAACAAGATGTATAGAGTTATCATCTATAAACAATGATACAAAGTATATTACATTGATAACCATAGTTTTCATAGTGGTCAATAAAGTATTTTAAAGTGTTCATAGTTATGACTATAGTGTCAAAGTGATCACTACAGTTAATCAAAGTTTTCTTAGTTATAACTATAGTGCCATAGTGTATTGGCACGATAGCTCAGTCGGTAGAGTGTTTACTCCGTAGTCGGAAGATCGCAGGTTCGAGCCTTGGCTGAGACCAATCGAAGTCAAAAATAAAACAAGAAATGATACCCAATTGATTGATTGATTCGCACGTAATACAAGAGTTCCTCATCATCAATATCTATGTTTTCTTGAGACCAGGTTTTCCAATAATCTGTAGGAATTCACATGGATATTAACTGTGCCCCATTATTGGCAGACAAGGCGCTAGAATCATTAAAAATCTTAAGCTTCAGGCAAAACCTTTATGTTTTACTTAGATGTTGTGGAAGTCAAGCAAACCAAAATTAAAATATTTTTTCAATATTGCTTTAAAAAGTTTATCTGCAAATTCAAAGATTAATTAAATAATTGAAAAGCATTTTACAGGTGATTAAAAATGGGACTTGAGTCTACGTCTGTTTTATAATCCTGGGACCTATCTTTGTATTCTTCAAATACTTCTTATAAATATTGACTTAGTCTCTCTTACAAATTTTTAGGCCATTATTTTCACACTGAATTGTCGACGGATTTTTCCGTTATTTCCCGATCATGACAAGGAGCACACGTTGGTGTTACCGGTCGACAGGGGATGCTTACTCCTCCGTGGAACCTGATCCCACTTCTGATGCTTTAAGAGATCCGTGTTTGTTCTGCTCACAATTAGAAGTGTCTAATTGGAATTTTCAGCATGATTGCTGTTCATTATCTCTACATTTCAAACGGATTTTTCCAACCGTGACAGCTTTGTTTGCAACGTCATTTAAGGCCTTCTTTGAGGTGCCACAAACACAGCTGAACGACGTTGCTCATCTGGAGAAAACAGCTTCGAAACTTGTCAATATCGAGATTTTTAAACCATTTTTGTTTTGTATAACTTACGTAGTGACTATAAATAGGGTATATAATATAATAAGGTATTTATAACGCAATACAATTCGAGATATTCAAGCAGGAACATATTGTTTCAAATATTAGGATTATCATTGCAAGCAAACAAATTTGTTATCACATCATATTGCTGTAAAATTCAAGATAAAGAAAGGTCAGCCCTACAGTACTTTTATTTTCACTGAGTATATTGATACATAATCTTATCAAACATTTATTGGTAAATAAACTTTCTATTGTAGAAACACGGAAGTTTAACATATACAGGGTTATCATAGATTGTAAAATACATATATACTCAATCCTCAATATATACATAGTATTTTGATGAATCCATCTATTAATATATGACCTGTATTTAGCTAGAGATTTTGTTTTGGGATTTTTGACGAAATGAGCTCCATCCACTTCATGCTGATTTGCCTAATATTAAATTCTGTACCAGGTAAATGATTACTATCAGTCTATCACAGGTTAAATGTAAAAGAGTACCTTTCATACAAAGATACAACTGAAATAGAATTGAATAGGGAAAAAAGTTATTTCTAATCTACCTGTAACTACAGGTTCTACGGTTTATAAAGAATCCTCTGCGGGCTGTCCTGCTTCTCAGTTCCCTCTGACTACCTATGGCGACACGTGTCTCCAGTTTAATTTTAATCACACTTATTGGGGAGAAGCCCGGAATTCCTGTCTCAGTGATGGCGGAGATCTAATCCAGATCAGGACGAGGGGTCTACAACAGTTCCTAGAACATTACCTGGCGTCACAGAGTGGGGAGAAAACTGGATTCTGGATTGGAGCTTCTGATAAGGATAATGAATCACAGTGGGAATGGATCTCCGGTAAAGACTTTTCTTTCACTGAAGTAATCCTTAGAATATTTGATTTTACAAGATTTATGATAAAGAATTTTAAAATTAATTTGTTATTGATCTCGATCGCTATCTGTAATGTGCACACATAAATCAGAGGGTAAAAATGGTTCCATCAAATCAGGAGTTAAAAATAAAACAAGTACCTCTCTTTACTGACAAGATGATATCACCTTGGGAGTGGGTCTCCGGTTAAGACTGTCCATTTCCCTATCTTTTCAATGAAGTAATGTTAAACAATTTGGGAATTTTTTTAAGATTCATGAGGCATCAATTATGAATTTGGTGTTTGAATTTTTCTGAAGCTCTTTGTTGCTTTTAAAAGTCCCAATATCAAATCATAAGGCAAGATGTTTCAAATCAATCCAAGTTTAAATTTTAATACTTCTCTTTTGTGAAAAGGTGATAAAACTATGGGATACTCCAACTGGCAGGACGGACAGGGAACAAGAGCTGGGTCACATATCCCGGACTTGGACCTGGATGACTGCGCACTGATGCGTGTCGACTACGGGTTCAAATGGTACGATGTCCCCTGTAAGAACAAGTTCTTCAAATACTCCTACATTTGTCAATATGGTGAGTAAACAAGGTAGTTATAATTGTTTTCATCAAAATATTTTTTTTACTGGTTCTTTATTCTAAATTCATACATTAAACTTAACCAGTAGGTATATTCAAAGTATTATTTTCTTGCATTTTAGAGATGGGAAATTCTGGAGAAAGAGTATACAGCGGACCCAGAGTTTTAATGTCACTCTTAGTCCTAACTTTATTAACATTGAACATTTTCTGAATTAATGCTTAGTATGGTGTAAATTTTTAAACATGATTAAAAGATTTCTAATTTTCAACTAAAATTTTACGGAATTTAAAAAGCGGGAACTAATAATTGGAAGTGATATCCGTATGTTCCATAATTTCTTGGATGAATTCTATAACGAGAAAATACTGTTCACAAAGATGTTTTTTGTTGTTGTTGTTGTTGTTTTTTGTTTGTTCGTTTGTTTGGGGTTTTTTTTTCCGCCGACGCTATAATGATGCTTTTATTTAAAAAAAGAAAAAAGAAAACTTCATGTCGAAAGGGTATAACACAGGGTGGCGATCTTGTTAACACTAGCTACAAATGACGAAAAAAAGTGAACATGAACAGGATTTACAGATGTAGGTTGCTTGATTAAATAGAATTTTTAACAGGTTTCATTCGACACAGAGGATTGATTGTTCAGCAAGTTTCAGGTATTCGCTGTCGGGTGTCAACTGTGGTCATTCAAGGTTTCGTGATAATAAATTTTTGTTGACTAACATGCTTTTGTATTGTATAATATCTTGATATACATGCAATAGATTGGTAAAATTTTTCGCAGAAAACTCTTTTTGTTAACGAACATGAGCCATATTTGTAACTTCTATCGTATAGTTAAATACTTGCAAAAATTCTTTATCGATACCCCGGAAGCAGAGTGCAACAATATTTTTAGTAAATATGATTTCCTATTTTGATATTTTGCTTCATAAACTTTTTATGCTAGATTCCTGACTAGAACTTCTCATAGAGGCATTTTGAAAATATATCCTGGCTATTGATTAATCTATGAAAATATTGAATCTAGTGATTTTATCCTTACAAAAATATACAATAGTGTACTATAGTTTACTGTAGTATCAAAGTTTTCACTATAGTAAATCAAAGTTTTGATATAGTAAATCAAAGCTTTCTCTATAGTAAATCAAAGTTTTTACTATATTAAATCAAAGTTTTCACTATAGTGAATCCAAGTATTTTTACTATGGATTTCAGATTGTTATATTTTATGTTCTAAAATTCATACATGCATATTTTTATATTAAATGGAAATATTTTTCTGTATATTAACATATTATTTACAAATTTTAAGTCATTGGCATTGGATTTAAGAGATTTTAAAATCTCAAAAAAAACTTTAACAGTAAAGTTTCATAGTAAATCAAAGTATCAAAGTATTCACTATATTTAACTAAAATTTTAGTTTACTATAGTAAATTTTTCTTGGGATAGTTTTAGGTAGTTTTTTTTTTTTTTTGGTTTTGGTTTTTATATTTACTAAAAAATATCGATATTGACTGACAGGAAGCAAACCATGTTCACCTTCGAATTCCATAAATGTTATATAATACGTATAATCCAGTATTAAATTAAAATAAGGCATGGCTGCATAAAGACAAAATTTGCATCAACTAAATTCCGTTAGAAAACCAGTGAATATATAGAAATTATATTTACAAACCATCTGTATTTCACAGGTATGAAAGATTCATTATTAAGTTGACTATAAATAGCCCATATGATAATGAACGTTCTGAAATACTTTTGTTAAAAATTGTAAAAATGTTTGAATTGAATATCAACTCGTTTTATTCCTATAAAAATGTCATCATTAGCTTATAACTTATAAAAAAAACATTGTCTTTAGCGTAATTTGTTGTAAATAAATATCATAAATGGACGACTTGTGCATTGTGTTGTTTATCTCCCTGATGCCATGCATTGCAATAGTTCCTATAGTGCAGATATAGCGTACATAGTAGTAATTTCGTTGTGAATAACTCCAGCTGACAAAAAAATGAACAAAGCGTAGAGCAGAGTCTCATATATAAACAGTTAATGACTGTACGTGTCAGATATGGATTTATTTTACACAAGTTTCTTTATTTTTCTGAATCACTTTGGTAAGCATTGTTCTACATTAACCAGCTGTGAACTTTGGGGGGAAAATCTGTTAAATTAGCAACATGCATGCATCAATATCACTTAAAAAAAAAAGAAAAAAAGAATCTTCTTTTAAATACGTGGAAATTAAGGGGAGCTATCTCGCTCTACGCCAGAACAGCGGTAATTGACGTCTTAATAGTGTCAAATGATTAAGTATTAAGAATCTACTTTTTAAAGTTCATAGTTCCCCAATTGACAACTGTCCGCCACATGTGAGTAAAAGCGACTTGTACACATACGGGGATTCCTGCCTGAAGGTGCATTATGGGAACTACGATTGGGATGACGCAAGACACAAGTGTCGTCAAGAGGGTGGAGACTTGGTTGAGATTCGGGAATCTGGGATGCAGCATTTTCTCCAAAGAGTTCTTTCACATCAAAGGTCAGAGGAAGACGGGTTTTGGATTGGGGCAACCGATAGGGACTCAGAATCACATTGGAAATGGGTCTCAAGTGAGCTTTACGTGTTTGTTCTTGAATACAGTAAGGATGTGAACATTGAATAAATATACATGAAATAACATTTACCTATGATATTTTTATGACTCTAAGTCCTATTAAAAGTGAGTCTCAAGTCAGTGAATTTTTTATAGCATACACAGTTTACACCTTTTTCATGACTACAAGGAAAAAATCATACTCTTATACAGAGGAAGTGGGGAGGACTTAGGCCGAAAATGTTGCCTGAGGCCAAAGACCGAAACAAAGTTATCAAATTAAAATAAATAACCACCACACCACATAATATGGTAACAATAAATGGGGTAACTATCATTTATAGTGATGCATGTAAGTAGTATAAGGCGATGTCATGATGACGCAAACGCTTGAACATCACGGTTACTATTTTCACGTTAATGGTAATCTAACAACTAAGCTTTATGATAAACGTGATGACTTTAACTTTTCAATCGTCAACTTCCCTTACTTATGCAGCAATATACCTTCATTACCTGCATACGGGGTTTATATCTCTCAGCTGATTCGATACGCAAGAGCATCCTCTACGTACGTACAATTTCTAAAACGAGGTAAATTATTGACAAACAAGTTGATGAAATAAGAATATCAGCAGTCTCGTTTAAAGTCATCATTTCGTAAGTTCTATGGTCGATACAATGACCTTGTCAGCAAATTCAATTTATCATTGAGTCAAATGCTGACTGACGTTTTTCATACTTATTGTTAGACCATTATTTACACACTGAATTGTCGATGGATTTTTCCGTCATTTCCCGATCATGACAAGTAGCACACGGCGGGTGTGACCGGTCGGCAGGGGATGCTCACTACTCCATGACACCTGATCCCACCTCTGATGTTTTGGAGGTCCATGTTTACTCTGCACCTATTTTGTAATGTTTTATGGACTTTTGAGCTTGAATACTGTTTGTTATCTCCATATATTTCATTTAAAAGAGCTGACGGGATACGGTTCCTCTCATCTGTTTAACGATATGCAAGAACAATTTTATAATCAGGAAGCAGTTTACAATTCATATTAGTAAGTTAGGTAATTATGAAAAGAAAGATTCAGTTTGCTGTTTGTATTATGTCACAGCTATAAAGTATAATCTTGGAACTTAAGTCTTCAAATAAATATACAATTTGCCAGTGAAGACTCGAAATGGAAGATGTTTAATCAACCATTACCACCATGCTAGAGACTAAGTTTTCATGTACATATTTCTTTAAATCTATGAACAATTTTCTGACAGGTGATTCTAATATGAGTTACAGTAATTGGGAGCACGGACAGGGGCCATCTCAAAGTGGGTTTTTCCTTGCTAGTGGATCGCTAGAAGACTGTGCTCTTATGAGAGTAGACAGCGGATTTAGATGGCATGATTATGATTGTAGCAGTATATTCTATCATTACTCTTTCATCTGCCAATATGGTAAAAGAACCTATGAACATTTTATTTCCGGTAATATTTTCTATATATTAATATTGAAAAAATGTCAAAGATAATGGAGTATATTTTTGTTCAATAATTCTTGATATTTAATACTATAGTGATAATAAAGATTTTATCTTATTACTTATGTCTTCTAAGATACTGTCCATCAAACAACAACGTACGAGACTGTTGGAGCCATCATCGGCTGAAGTATGGGAATGGTCAATGAAATATGCAGCAACGTTACGTGATCTATCAGATGTAAAATCGATAGTTTTTAACCTTTGCGTTAATCTTTAGACGTTGTAATGAATTATGTATTTATAATTTGGAAAACAAAATGAATAATTATTTTGACTTTGATTTCAGTGTCTCTAAAAATCTGCTTGTGAATAATAAAATAATGCATGTACACTTAATCTTTATGAAAATAATATAATGATGTTTTAGCATCCATACAAACAAAATGCAATTATTGATATTTAAAGGTGTTTCAGATGAATTAAATTTTAAGTTTCAATTTTAGTTTTTACATCAGAGTAATAAGTAAAGTCAAGGGGAAAATCGTTAAAGGTGAAAATTCTGAAAATTATGACTTATCCTTGTAATTTTTTTTTACTGTCATCCTTGAATACTCAACAAGAGGTTCATGCTCCTTAATGGACATCTTAATGGACATCTAAGTGTCCTGATGTATGTGTGTGCGTGCGTGTTCTTTACTCCTTTGTCAAAATTGAGAGCCCTAGCTTGCTAAGAAGGCAATGATTTAGACACTACATGAGGATATTTGGTAATAATAGTAAAATAGGCTAATCTAACAACTTGAAACCTTGGCCTGAAGATTTTTTTTCTTTAAAAATTCCTTCAAAATTAATATTTAATATATGACAACCCCCACCCCACCCCCAATTTCCTGACTTGAATCTACATTGATGACTGGATATGAATTTAAATCCCTATATATTTTTTTTGGAAAAAAAAATTAAAAAGATTTTTCCTATATACATTAGTTAAAGGTAGATCACCTTTGTGGTCACATCTCTACCCCCTGAGGGATATATCAAACTTTCTTGACTGTACATAAAACATAAAGCATGCTTGCAATTAAATTCAAAGAATTGCAGCTTCGTAGTCCTTGAATGATGTTGTTTGTTTTCTTTTGTAAATTTCAATGTGAAAAAAATTCCACTATATAGCCTCATCCCTGCCTCTGGACCCTGGTTTCAGCGAATCTGATTCTACACTGTGTGAGGAAGCAGAAGAAGCATACCTATAATTTAAGCAATTTGTACCTTGTAGTTCTTAAGAAAATTTCTCAAGATTTTTCCTTTATATTTTTATGTATGACTTTGGTACCCCCATGCGGTCAGTAAGTGTAAGGGGTTTAGATTAATCCTAGCCCTTCATTCGGATACGTAGTTTTCTTTAAAAATTACTAATGTGTGATGATTAGAAAACAAATGCAAATATAGTCAATAAATAAATAGTAAATAAATGATAATACTAGTATACTGCACCCTTTCTACCACATAGAAAACAGAGCAGTATTGAAAAGGTATGTTTATATTATTTATGTTGGAAACACATCATGGATACTATAAAACTCTTATATTTTAAAGAAAAAAGGGGGTAAAAAGGTTTTTTAAGGGAAATACCAGCAATTTAGGGTAAGCTTTCTTTTAAAAATCCAGCTACTTTTTTCAAAGTTTGGACAACCTAGTAAAATCAGTAGGAAGTAATTAGCAGATTTAAGTTTACGTCTTTCAGTGCAAAAAAGACAAGTCCTTAGTTAAACATAATTAGTCATTAGCACGTTGTTGCAACTCCTGTAGATTTGGGGTCTTCATTTATACTACCAGACTCGGATGAAGTAACATTGATGGTCTGCTGCTGAGTGTATACCAGTCAGTCTGGCAAATTGGGTGAACATTTACTTTTTTAAATACATCTACATCACTTCTTTTATTAACTTTGTCTATATGTGTCAACACTCCATAGAGTGGTATAGCTACAAAGACAATATAACCATAGAGTCGAATAGCTATAAAGACAATGTAACCAAAGAGTGACACAGCTACACAGACAATATAACCATAGAGTGGTACAGCTTTAAAGACAATATAACCCAAGAGTGGTACATCTACACAGACAATATAACCATAGAGTAGTACAGCTATAAATATTAGCCATAGAGTGGTACAATTACACAGACAATGTAATCATAGAGTGGTACTTCACCAGAGTACACCCGATAGACCGGACGCAATTCATAGCGCTCCGGATTTCTTTGTTCACAACTGTTTATAAACTTCAAATTAAACATGTAATACTTGGAAAGTAGTGAGCCGCGTGAATGGCCGCACATTTTTGCTCTCTGCTATTATCAATTATTTTTGTGTTATTCTGCGTGCAATTCTGTGGATTTTTATATCAGCATGTTGGTAAAGACTTCAAGAACATGATTCACTTGTTCGTTTGCGGATATTTTAGCATTCTTGTGCATATTTTATGGATTTATATTCAAACTTTTGTCGGTGAACTAGGGTGAGTTGAAATCATGCAAAGTGCTGACCGTAACTCCTATTGTGTACACCCCTGCCGAGCTAAAGTCGCTCAGGTATAACAATACCATGTCGTCTGTCAGACTTAATGAAAATGTAATGCATAAAATAAAGCTATTTGGAATTAAACGGCGCTATCGTGGTCACAGATCAAGACGAAGGAAACCGAAACAAAAAGACTGGAACACGGGAGTTCATTTAGATTTGTTAAGACCTCTTAGCAGAAGGCTAATTGATTACTCAATAGACAGAAATTTCTCATTCGCGGTTGTGAACACGCAATCAATATGTAATAAAGTCGAGGAATTCATTCATCACATTATAGAAAACAAACTAGATATTTGTTGTGTTACTGAAACTTGGTTAAACGACAGTAATCCGAAACACATAATTGTGAGATCTGATCTAAATATAACTGGATATACCTTTATTGATGTACCCCGAAAATCCCGATCTGGTGGCGGAACTGGAATTCTATTTAGAGACACACTTCAAATCAAAGTAACTGACTCTTGTCAAAAAGATTCATTCGAACACTCTTTGTTTGAACTAGCTTTTAATTCCACGACTATACATATTTTGGTTGTATATCGTCCCCCATACTCGAAAGCCAATCCAGTGTCTACGGCGAAATTCTTTGACGAATTTATACCCTTTCTTGAAGAAATATTGTCAACCCATCGCACAGTTATAATTACAGGAGACTTTAACATTCATTATAATAAAACTAATGACTTAGACACGATCGCTCTAAATGAAATGTGCAATGACATGGGTTTAGTGCAACTTGTCAACTGCCAAACGCATCGATCTGGAAACATACTTGACCTGATCATGATCCGAAACAACGACAAAATAGTGTTGTCCGAACCGACCGAAAAATTTCAGATAAGTGACCACTGTTTCATTCATACATATATATCTCTTCCTAAGCCTAAGGTAACAAGGGAAATCAGAAAAGTTAGAAAACTAAAGGACATAGATGAAACGCAATTTCAGGCGGATCTAATCCAATTCAACGAAAGTGCCACCAAATATGAAAATTTAGAAGATACAGCAAAGTTTTACAATTCCGAACTCAGAAATATTTTAGACAAACACGCTCCGGAAAAAGAGAAAATAGTGACTATTCGACCTTCCCTACCATGGTTTACAGAAGAATCGCGTCTCCTTAAAACACGTTGCAGGTCAGCGGAACGAAGATGGAGAGGAAACAAGACCCCGGTTAATGACCACGCCTTCCGATGTGCTAAACGAGCCTACAGGAAAAATCTCAGATACAACAAGTATCAGCATATTAACTCAAACATAGCCGAAAGTGGAAATGATTCTTCAAAAATGTATAAATTAATATTTGGGTTGATTGGCAGAAAAAACTGCAATCCTATGCCACTTAACGCCAGCGACGCATCACTGGCGGAGGAATTCAGTTCCTTCTTTATGGATAAAATTTTAGTCATTCGCAAAAGTTTAGACGATTTTGAAAAATTTGACCCAAACCTCGGACTTAAATGTACACAAGAATTTAATATCTTTGATCCAGTTTCAGATGAGGATGTTTTACGTGTGATTAAAAGTTCAAAGCCCACTACCTGCCCAACTGACCCAATCCCGTCAAAATTAATCAAACAATTTTCTGATGTGTTATTGCCAACAATTGTTTTCATAGTTAATAAATCACTAACATCTGGTTTATTCGCTAATGAATGGAAAACTGCTATAGTTCGACCCCTCTTAAAAAAAGTGGGTTAGATGTGATTTTGAAAAACTATCGTCCTGTAAGCAATTTAAGTTTTATATCAAAAATTGTGGAAAAATGTGCTCTGAACCAATTTATGAAATATCTGGAATCAAACAGATTACTACCTAGCTATCAAAGTGCATATAGAAGAGGGTTCAGTACCAAAACAGCTCTCCTGAAACTGTCATCAGACATTCTGTGGAAAATGGAAAAACAGGAAGTTACTGCCTTAGTCGCATTGGATCTCTCTGCTGCATTCGACACAGTCGACCATGCCATACTTAGCAACGTGTTAGAAACTACTTTCGGAGTATCTGAAGTGGCTCTTTATTGGTTTCAATCATATCTTTCGTTCAGGAAAGCCGAAGTGCATATCAACGCGTCTAAATCACAGCCTAGATGTCTGGACTTCTCGGTACCGCAAGGCAGTATATGCGGACCTGTGTTATATACCGTGTACGCGAGTACGCTACAACATTACATCAAAGACTCGGGTGTGTCATTATTGGGTTACGCAGATGACCACTCTGCATACGATAGTTTTAATCGGAAGATTTTCGCTGATGAGAAACGTGTAACAACAAATTTAGAAAAAGTATTGGTTACCATCAATGACTGGATGAATCTGAATAGACTAAAACTTAACCCTAGTAAAACTGAATTTGTACTATTTGGCAGTCAACAGATGTTATCTCTATCATCTTCCATTTCCCTTAATGTAGTGGATGCGGATGTTAATTCATCTCCTTGTATCAAATATCTTGGATGTTATTTGGACGAAAATTTAACTTTCAAAAAATTTGTCAGTGAAAAATGCAAAACAATTTCATTGAATTTGTACTTGATTAAACAAATTCGCCAATATCTTAGTGATGATTCGTGTAAACAAATTGTACAGTCCCTTGTCACTAGCCATTTAGATTATGCAAATAGTGTCCTGTACGGATTGCCAGAGTGTACCATTAAAAGACTACAGTTGTTGCAAAATCATGCTGCAAAGCTTGTGTTGAAGCTGAGGTCTACGGATAGTTCTACTGAAGCACTCAAACGACTACACTGGCTACCGGTACACTACCGCATTAAATTCAAACTTGCATGCATTGTCTTCAAGTGCATTAACGACAGTGACAGCCCACAGTATCTTAAAGAAATGCTCAGTTTACGAACATCATCATATAGCATTCGATCCGTAAATCCTGCAGCGAAAACATTGAACGCCCCGTCCGTAAGACGCAAAACTTTTGCCTCTAGGTCTTTCGCGGTAGCTGGACCTTCGATTTGGAATGATTTGCCAACGAACGTTCGAATGTTAACTGATTTCTGTATTTTTAAACGACATCTCAAGGCGTTTTACTACACATGTGCTTTTAAATAACATTTAATTGTGAACACTAGTATATTTTATTTAAACAGCCAGTGATCATTTAGACTTTATTTGATATTTTAACACATGCATTGTTTTTTATTATATGTATGTATTTTATTGTATGTACAGCGCCAATGATTGCATATTGTATGTAAAATTGAGCGCTTTAACAAATTTTAATAATAATAATAAATAATAATAATACTGTAAATATTTAGTGTTTGGTAGTTTATTAGTAGTGCTAGTTGTTTTTGTTTCTCTATTTCCTTTGGTTTTATGATTTCTTAAATTTTTTCTTTGTCCTAAGGAAGGGACAGGTCGTCCCGAAAATTTGACAATTATTTTTATTCGTGTCGTTGGTCATTTTTAGTGCTTTATATAAATATCCATCCGTGACCTTGTATCTACTTAGTAGATCCGACACTTAGGATATGCAGTGTTTTGGTATTTAGTGCTTTATATCTAATTTTATATATATATATATATATATATATATATATATATATATATATATATATATATATATATATATATATATATATATATATATATATATATATATATATATGATTGATTGTATGTTGTTTAACGTCCCGATCGAGAATTTTTCACGCATGTAGAGACGTCACCATATACAGGTGAAGGGCTTCAAATTTTGACCTTTACTCGGCACTCAGGGCCATTGAGCAGTGAGGAATCTATCGTGCCAACGCCTGCCGTGACACGGGGACTAGGTCTTTAAGGTCTCATCGGAAGGACCCGCAACTTTCACTTCAAAGTGCCGAGCGCATGGCAAAGGAACAGTTGCTACCCGAACTCACGACCTCCCAATCACGGAGCAAGCGCTCTACCGACTGAGCTACCGTGAACGGTCATTTTAGTTTAAAGAACAAACGGATTTCTTGAGAAGTATTTTCTTCCGTAAATCGTGGGGGCTTAAAATGTCTATGATTGGCAATATCCATGATCGCAGAATCCAGTCTGTCTTCTGATATTGAGGTATCCACGTATTTTACTCTCTTACTAGCCTTTTCATGTTGGCTTTATTAAACTTTAAAAAGGAACAGTGTAAGGTGATGCAGACCTAACAGTACTGACGCAAGGAAGAAGAGATTCAAAAGAGACATCATGAATATATTAGGTTTGTTGTAAGACCGATGTCCATAACTAAGCTTACATCATTGCGTTTTGTTTAAAAGACTCATCACTTTCACATTGTTACACTGTGGACTTGAAAGGTTCTCCAGGCTAGCGACAAATCGACATTGTCATTGCAGCCATATAGAGTAGTAGTGCCAACTTTTCTAATCCAGTATTTTTCTTGCTGCTTAACGTAAGATATACTTAATTTTGAGAATATTAACTTTCATTGGCAGAATGGAAAGGCCAGGAGAATTAAAATGTTTGTAACGAAGCTGCCTTCTGTTGTAAAGCGGAAATCTGTGCCCATATATTTTATCATTTAGTGAACACTTGGTTTCATTGGCATAAATAAAGTCAAAAATGGTTCATTCCATTCCGTAAACAATATTGTAAAATCTGCAATTCAAAATAACATATACACCAATGATTCATTGTTTAATCAGAATAAAGATAAAGGTAGAATACACATACAATCTATTCAATCCATCTGAATTCAGTATAAATTTCTAAACAACAGTAAAATATAATTATCTTTCATTCATTAAACCGTGTTTAAACTTGCGTTCATGAATATACACGAACTTACATATCATTGAAAAGTTATCACGATTTATTTCATTGCACTACGTAGTTATAGAAAGAGACATACATGTATATGAAATATGGAGATAACGAACAGTAAACAAGCTCAAAAGTCCATTAAAACAACACAAATCAGGAGCAGAGCAAATAGGGACCTTTAAAACATCAAAGGTGGGATCAGGTGCCATGGAGAATAAGTATCCCCCGTCGACCTGTCACACCCGCCTTGTGCTCCTTGTCATAATCGGGAAAACGGACAAATCCGTAGACAATTATGTATGCAAGTATAAAGTGCAAAAAATGTTTTGTACAATGATTGGTTTCTCCTTATATATTAGTATATACTTTGCGAGTTAAGATGTATTTTTGATGTAATTAAGTATATAATTACTTTCCTCCCAGTGTTGAATTAAAGCACTCTAAAACAGAATAAACTGAACAAAAGAATTACGTAGAGGAATGTTGAACCTCCGGAAATTGGGAAGATCTGTCGATTTTTTTACAGAAATCGAATAAATGTTACATCCTGCTCGTTCATCACTTCCTGTTCAGAGTTTACGCTGTTTTCACTTTGTATGACGTCATTAACATTTGGTAAGTCAAACTTAGATTTCTTTCTCTCCTCTTTATCATCTTTGTTGTAATAGGAATCATCAAGTGAATGAATTGTTGCTAAATATCGGATTCTTTTTACTTGCTTACCCGCTGTGTAATATTTGATCTCTCTTTCAGTCCAGTACTTTTTCTAACAACGGAACATTCTTTTTTGAAATAGGAAGTAAGTATGATATCCTCAAAAAACTCTATCATACACAATTTTTGGTATTTAAGATGCGAGTTTCTTTGTTGATGTACATCAGAAAATGTCTGAGATATAATTGCAATGAGGGCATTAAGAAGGTGAATAAAGCAGAGAATTGCAAAGAGTATGAATAATGTATAAGCAAGCCATGGGATTCTTGACTGATTAAGAACATCGATGTCATTAAGACCGACTCCAAGCTTAAAAATTGTTAAAAGAGAATCTCTGAAATTATCGAATTCTTCCGGATGTTCATTTATACCTCGGAAAAGTATATGCATGGATGCGGTGAATGACACCAGTATGAAGAGGAATGTTAAAGAAAAGGGGAAGAAGTCCTTTACGAGTCCAGATTTCATCATGTATGTGAAAGAAACAATGTTTCTATGAAAAGGTGAAAAGTAAAGCATAAAATACCAGCCACCTAGCAAGAGACAAATTAAATGATAATCCCAATGCAAGCGCAAAAAACTCAAAGCAGATTCCAAGATAGCTCCCATGGACACAACAGTCAAACAAATGATGTAGTCGAGATTATGCCAAAGTAATCCACATCCACCGTCATACAAACGGACAACTAACTTATGAATGAGTAAAGATGAAAATGCGAGGTAAATTAACCTAATTAAAAGAAACATAACGCCAACAGCATCGACATTCTCACTTACTTCACATGAAGTTTGATTTTCTTTGCTGCAAATGAGAACCACCGATTTTTGCACAGTTGTCACTGTTGTGAATGAAATGAACAAAAAATGTACTATCAGCCAGATGAATAAAGGAAGCCTATATGTAATCCATTTTTTCTGTAAAATGAATAGCACTAACTTTTGATTAAGGATTTCAAAGGCCTCTCTCTGAGTACATTGTGGGTCAAATAAACGTTCTAGTATCGTAATTTTTCCATGCTTCTTCTTTGATTTATTTCGTTCTTTTAATTTTTGTTTCATATCTTTTCCAGAATTCCTCTTTGATTTATCTTGTTTTTGTAATTTTTCGTTCGTACTTTTTTTAATATTCATCTTTGGTTTATCATGTTCTTCTAAATACTCTATTAATCTGTCAAATTCTGTTACATCGTAAACTCGTATGTCGAAAAGGCCATCCTGCATATTTTGGAAACAATAAACATCCGAAAGATTAATAATGTACTCGAAAATTTCACCAACACCAAGTTTTGCAGAGAGTTGAAGAGGCGTCAACCCTTCTTTATTTTCCCAGAATAAAATATCAGTGACATAAGGGCAGCTGTCAGACTTTTTTTATGCTTCATTTCTAAATCTCATCCAAACATAAGTAAACGCGGCTTTGATGTGTAGAATTTTTTCAGGATATACATCACCGTATTTGATCAAAGAATGAAATACAGTATCACCAAGGCTATTTTTCTCTCAAATGCAAGCACCCTCTGCCAGAAGTGTTTCAAATATTTTTTTTTCTGCAGGAATCACCTTCTTTTTTCCACAAGATCCTGTGCACAACGGCTTTGAATCTCTCTGTATCAACACAATCTTGCTCTTTCATCATGAGAGCCGCTACCGACAAATGTAGTTGTCCCATTAGAACGGTGTTCTGGAATTGTTGTCCATCGGCATAAATTCTAAACAATTTTTCTGTCCTTTTCCCGCTTTTAGCATACCTTATAAGCATTTCAACTGCTTTGAAATTGCTCTGTTCTACAGCGACATGTAAAGCTGTTTGGCCATTATAGTCGGTGCCCTGTCTGTTCATGGTCAGTAGGTCGGGAAAGCCCTTCAGAAGTTCCTCAACACAGTAAAGGTTATCAGAATCGTCGTTTATGATCGCGATGTATAAAAGTGTTTCTCCTTTGAAATATTCTTGTACCTCTCTATTTAATGATTCAACATCGCTGGTATTTATCTTTACGAACTGGTTTATGATATCTGCTTTATTTCCTGACTTTACATTCTCTTCTAGCTCCTTAATAAAATCCTCCCAAAGTTTTTCATTTTCCATTTCTCGATTTTTTCCGTATTCTTGTTCAGTTTCAACACGATTTGTTTCCCATTCTGTAAGAACATTAAAGATTATGTCCGTGGTGAATTTCTAAATACTTAATTTTGAGTAATCAAGGTAAATTTTTTTTTTTTTTTTTTTTTTTTTGAAAGATGCATGTTCAATACTTGTAATAAGCCATACAAATGCTCATTGACGGAAAGTTTAATTGAACATGTAATTTAAAAAAAAAAACCTGGGAAATCTGGCAAGGTCATTCACTTTGTTTCTTTATGTAGAAGAAATATCCATTTTTTTTATTTCTTTTGAAAATATGATAAGAAGAAGGAGGGATCAAGATAGTCTTAGGAAACGTTTTAGGAAGAAACAATTCAGCCTATCTTAACCGTATGTTCAATCCAATAACACTTGCTTAAGGAGGTATGCTCCTTAGCATTTGGATTCCAAAGTGACAGGGTTAATATCTTTAAAAATGAGAGTATAATATTTATATTTCTATTCATAAAATATAATTACAACCTAACAAAATGTTATTAAAAAACAGAAAGTTACATGCATTTTGAAGGAATTTTTTGGGAACTTTTTTTTCGGGCGAAAGGATTTCAAACAAGAAACGCAAAGAAAGTTGCTTATTTTTAATCTTTTAGTGCCTTTTTAACATCTCCTAAATTAAGTAATTCGTTATGCACATTTATTTTTTCAGACATCGAACAAACAGTAGAGACTTAAATCTTTATTTTTGGAATTCAAAATTAAGCTATTCAATGTTTTATAAAAATACATAAGGCTTACATTCACAAAAAATAATTCACAAAAAATTTTCGTCAAAATTTTATTTATAACCTTAAACACTTGAAGAAATGAAAATTGACCCCATGTTTTTGTTTTAAATACACAAAATAGAAGATATATCAATAATATTCATGTGAAGTTTTTAAAATGGCATTACTCCTTCACTTAATTTTAGAAACATATTTCATTCATGTTACATTTTCTTATCTATAAGTGCGAAAAGGTCATGATTTATATGTTAAACTTCAGGGATTTTTTTCTTCTGACCAGAACTTATAATATATTATCCTTCTCAATTTATTTACATAAAACGTATTTTTATGTTTATAATATTATTTTCAAATACCGGTAGTTTATATCAATATTTTATTTCTTAAAACTTTTCTTTAAGTGCACAATAGTCAAGTTTAACTGGATTCCATTGAGAAACAAGGCATGTGTCACTCTTGTTTCCATTTCCTATTTTAATTGTTTATCATGGTAGATATTAGAAATATACTTCATGAAAAACTAACAATACTATCAAGTGCATACCTCCTTAAAGCTTTCTAACGAATACATGAATGCTCGGGTAGTTGATGAAAATAAATATCATTGAAAGACTTGGGTAGAACAAATACCTAATTATCCCGTTTTGCAAAAGTATTGAGTATTGAACAATGGAATGTATTGTCTCAAAATGCTTGAATCGAAGGTAGAACTGATTACATGTATCCTCGTAAGGTTCCATTAAAGGATTTGTTTTGTAGAAACAGTTTTACAATGGCCAACAATTATTAATGCCCTAAATTGTTTTAGCTTTAGGAGTTTTACTCCTGAAAACCAAAGATATGAATTTGACAAACAATGATTCACTAAACAATTTTCCAAGATGCAAAATGTTAATGATTGACATATATTCTTTGGTCGATACAATGACCTTGTTAGCAAATACAAACTATGTTAAGTCGGCTGTTGACTGAAGTTTTTCATACAAATTGTTAGACCACTTTTTTCACAATGAATTGTCTACGGCTTTTTCCGTTTGCCCGATCATGACAATGAATACACGGCGGGTGTGACCTTCCGACAGGGAATGCATACTCCTTCATGAAATATGGAGATAACGAGCAGTATTCAAGCTCAAAGTCATGGTATTATGGTACCTGATCCCACATCTGATGATTTTAGAGGTTTGTCTTTGCTCTACTCCAAGTTTCTATTGTTCCAATAAACTTTTGAGCTTGATTTACTGAGTTATCGTCATATTTCATGTCTATGAAGTGTATGCTAGCATTAACAAACTTCTTGTAATTCGCATATTTTGATAAAACAGGCAATAATCTGACTTGAACATCACTGAAAGGAGGCGGCCATTGGAATCAACAGGATTCCTCCTTTGGCCACTCCGCATTCCTCCTATAGATCTACAAATGTTTTAAAAACTGCAAACTAAAATTGAACGAGTGCACTCTCTCAGTTATTTCTGTAACTATGTTGAGAAATTCTATTTTTGGATCTTTCTCCCCCAAAAGTAAAAGCCTGTTTCTTCCGTAATTACCTATGTGTGAGTAAGTTTAAGGAAATTAAATGAAATTAAATTGGCAATTATTTACATATTTTGACCACAATATGTTTGAAGCATATAACTTTGACTTTTGACCTTAAAATGATAAAACTCCTTTCACTGGTTTCATACAACTCCTCATATGGCAAGTTGATGACAAAACGGTCGCAGACAGTTTATGTATGGGTACATTCCTATAATTATTAGTTCCCTACCGTTGAAACCGGAGGGGACTATAGGTTTCCTCTGAGTCTGTCCGTCCGTCTGTCTGTCTGCCTGTCCGTCTGTCTGTCTGTCAGTCTGCCCCACTTGGTTTTCCGCACTTTTTTCCTAAACGCTTGCAGATATTGAGCTAATTTTTGGTTTGTGAGTGTATCTTGATGAGTTACAGATCAGGTTAGCATTTCGTTCCGCTTCATTGATTTTTGACGGAATTACGGCCTTTTCAATTTTTAGGGGTTTTCCACAATTTTCTTCTAAACGCTTTCAGATATTGAGCTGATTTTTGGTATGTCACTTTACCTTGATTAGTTATAGATCAACTATGTATTTCGCCCCGCTTCATTGATTTTTGACGGAATTATGGCATTTTCAATTCTTAACGGGAACCAGATTACACTTGCCGGTAGGGGACTAGTATTGCTAATGCAATACTTTCAGAATGCTTGTTTTTCCAGGTTCGATTCTCATTCTAAGCGCCTTGTAAAATCTTAGGTTAGTGGCTGTTCCTTCGCCAATCGTCTGGTATTAAAAATGTAAGTCACAGTTATTTTATACAGAAATGGATACAGTCCACAAATAAAAAAATCCCATCGGCGTAAATATTTACTCTTCCTCACATAAATTCTCTCTTAATTATCAAAAAAGCTCGTCAAATTCTTCATGATGTTTTTTGTGTGTTATGTACGTTTCCCGGATGTATTCTAGGTATTGCAGATGTTCTCTTTGATATGTAAGATTTGTTTCCCATTTATATGATATCAGATATCAATCCATAGTAGATTTGATTAATCCTTGTGCCTTTTATCTTTGGAAATGCGAACAGTTTGTTTCCAATCGGGATGGAGGGGGGAGGGCAACTTTTCTTTCAGAAAAAAAGCTTTTTGCCGCGTGTGTTAATGGAAATTTGGAATATCATTCTTAAATTCCTAAGCTGGCTGATACCCCCTCCCCACTCCTTCACTTTAAGTCATGTATAGTAATTGTACCGAAATTTTTTTCAGATAAGAAAGAGAGAGGAATTGTGGAATCTTTTCAATTCGTAATGCTCAATGTTCCTAGGCAACCTTACTGTCACTGGTTCATGGGGATGTATTTTCTTTGTTCACTTATTTATACAGAAAATCAAATAAATCGATTTTTTGACAAAGCTATTGTTTGTAGGGATGTAATTTCTTGGTTGCTGGTGATTTGTAAAAATATTTCAACTTTAAAGTCGGAAGTAAGTCGGAAAAGGCCTGAAAAAAAATCTCAATATAATTAAGAATTTGACAACAGTTACTGTAAATTTGATTGCAATGTGCAAGAATGTCTCTCCTTTAACCCTAATCCTTACCCTGGTCAAGTATGATAAAGAAGGAGGTTTTATTATACGTTAGGAATGATTTTCAATAGGAAATCATATTACTTACCTTGAGTGTTTTTTTGGATCCACTAGCACTTCTTCAATTCTTTTATAACTTATGTATGACTGTTCAGGTAGTTGAGAAAATAGCTTTGAAATACTTGAGTAGAAAAAATACTAATTTAACTTCTTAGTAAAAGTATTGAGAACTGATTACATCTAAACGGGTATACTTTAGAATGAATTGTCTTGAAATCTCTAATCAATATCAGAAATGATTAGATTTTTCAAAATTCAATATAACATAGAGAAATCTTTGTAAACGACCAGTAGTTACATAATTTCCCTTTGTGGTATTCGATGAATGAAATATCGAATCGCAAAATGAAAAATAATGGCAATGTTTTTTCAAACAATGTGTCCATGTCGTTCATATTCCAGGCGTTATGGTATCGAAACATAGTGTTTACAATGCTGTATTTTATTTCTTTTTAAGCTTGAAAAACAGGAAATCTACAATCAATTTTTAAACCGAGGCAGGTCACAGACTGTTAAGCTGATGTTGTAAGGATTTCAACAAGTTCTTTCGAAGTCAGCAAATTCCATGGTCGTTATAATGACCCTGTTAGCATATATAACCTTTCCTTCGGTAGTATTTTAACTGTCATATTTTAAACCGGTGATAATGGTATATTGCTACCTATATAAGGGAAGTTGACGATAGAAAAGTTGAAGTCATCACGTTTATCATAAAGTTTTGTTGTTAGGTTACCATTAATTTTCTAGTAAAATGTCCAGATATGAAACGGATGTATCAGACTCTGTGGTATCTTTTATTTCAAGTTCACTGGGATATATCGAGTCGACATATGAATGGAAGTAACTATTATTAATTGATAATACGTCGTCGATATATCGAAAGGTCCAGTTGAAGGCCACAGCAAGTGTCTTCTTCTTCTAATGTTTAAGTTTTTGAACAAATTCTGCTTCACATGAATACAAAAATAGGTCTGTCAATAACGGGGCGCAATTGGTACCCATGGAAATTCCAACAGATTGTTGGATCACATGGTCTCCAAAAACTACATAGATATTGTCAATTTGAAACTCAAGCATCTTTTTAATATCAACTTCAGAGTACTTGCGTGTACAATCAAAATGTGTTTTAGCAAAATAATTTTGCAAATGACCAATGACAAGGTAAGTAAATTTACAAGTTCAATTTTTATTGAAAAAGCAAATGTCAGCAATATAGGGTAAGATTTCTTTTTTTAAATTGGATCTATTTTTTCAAAGCTTGGATACCTCATAAAATCAGTAGGCAGTAATTAAACAATAGATACAAGTGTATGTCTTTCAGTGCAAAAAGACAACTCCATAGTTAAACATAATTAGTAACAGGGACATGTAGCAACTCCTGTAGAGGGGTCTTCACTTATGGTACCAGACTCGGATGACATTACATTGGTAATCTTCTGCTGAGTATATAGACGTCAGTCTGGCAAATCGGGGGAGCATTTACTTTTTAAAATACATTTAAGTTTTAACAAAATAAATAAGGAGCAAACGCTTTGATTGCAACTATATCACATAAAATTTATTTATTGTCTTTTTCCTCTTCAGTTTTTATTGTTTGCCTAATCACAATGCTATAGAAACAATAAAAGATGTCTATGTGTGTGAAATCATCAGGTTTTGCAAAATATATGGACAAAACTATTAGAGAAAATATTATTAACATCACAAATCCAGCTTTGAAGCAAGGGTTGTATCTCCGGGTTATTTCGTGATGAATGGCAATTGCAGCAGGGTTACAAACCTTCAAAAGAAAGACAAACTTTTTCTCTTGTTGATATCAACAATTTTATATTAAGTTTCAAATCTACAATTATATTTAAATTTGCAATGAATAATTAGAATACCAAACAGTTATTTCCAACTTTTTAAAAAAAAATTGTTTATGCAACAAGAAATGGGTTAATTTATACAATTTATAAGATGTTTATTTTATTTTACATGTATTTATTAATAAATAAAATGTATACTTCTGGTAGTGGGAGGGTTACCTGGGTCATAAATTCAATGACGGGGATATCTATATCTAGACATGTCTGATGTCTGCTGTGTCCCTCGAAATAAAAGTCGTCACAGTAGTTAGTACACTGTAAATATCGGTCATCGGTCAGTCCCAGCTTATTCTGGAACTCTCTTCTGGTTCTGAGGAAGGCATCACTTCTCTCATTAACTTTGTCCATATGTGTCAACACTCCATAGAGTGGAATAGCTAGAAAGACAATATATCCACAGAGTCGTATAGCTATACAGAGAATATAACCATAGAGTGGAATAGCTATAAAGACGATATAACCATAGAGTGGAATAGCTATAAAGACAATATATCCATAGAGTGGAATTGCTATAAAGACAATATATCCATAGAGTGGTACAGCTATAAAGACAATATATCCATAGAGTGGTACAGCTATAAAGACAATATATCCATAGAGTGATATAGCTATACAGACCACATAACCAGCTATAAAGACAATGTATCCATAGAGTGGTAAAGCTATACAGACAATATATCCATAGAGTGGTACAGCTTACAGACAATATTTTCATAGAGTGGTATAGCTATAAAGACAATATATCCATAGAGTGGTACAGCTTTAAAGACAATATATCCATAGAGTGGTATATCTATACATACAATATACCCATAGAGTGATATAGCTATACAGACCACATAACCAGCTATTAAGACAATATGTAATCATTCTGCGGGTTGATCTCTACGAGAATAAGGTTCTATATGATTATTTGTTGCAATATTTCTTGTGTTTGGCTTATTTTCCTATACATGTTCGTCGGTGTTCTTTAAAGATTTCATACCTTAGTTTCTATAAATTTCTTCAAATTAAGACAATAAAATTATTTTTTTTTTGAATACATCCTAAAATAAAGACATTTGTAGAAAGGCACGTTGTTGAATTTTTAAATAAGTACATTAAAACAAAATAGATAATTTCGAGGGCTAGCAAGACTGATGGCGTTCCCTTGGAGCAAATCTATTATAGCTGTAACTCTAATAAAGAGGACTGGACACTCAAAATTAATATACTAATCTTATATGCATGAATGAGCTATCAATTATATGTCAATAAAGGGCGATAACTCCATAAAAATGGTTAAATCCAATAAATTGCCTGTCACCTCTGTTAGGAGAGTTGGTTGTGTTTCGTATCAATTCCATCAGGTTCTGGGGAAGTCTTGACAAAGCAGAGGCTACAAAGACAACTCTGTCTATCCTCACTTTTCTTCTTTTGAAGAAACCATATTTTGCTTGGAGTCCCTTTTCTCCAGAGAGACCGGCTTTTTCAAAATCTCTACAATGAAATGAAGTATTGGTAAAGTCAGAGCACAAACCTTTTATTTTCCGAGATACTTTGAGTGACCAAATCCTCAAGAACTGTTACAGTCCATGTAAGTGTGAATATGTACACTAATATAAGCTTCAAGTCGTCTAGAATAGATTAGCAAAAGAACCATGTATTGGCCTCAAAAGAAATATATTAGTCTATGCTGATAATGATAATTGCGGACATAGCAAAAGATTTCTGATGTGAATTCCAGAACTTGTCTAGAATATGATGTACAAAGAAATATCAATTCTAAAAACTTAAAATACAGGACTAATTCAAGCTACAAATTTTATTTGTATCATTTATCTCTCAATTAACGTCAAACTTTACTTGTAAACGTCTGCAGCCTTTTTGATGCTCTCACCGTCAGAGAAATAACCATTTAACAGCCACTCCAGGAGCGTCCTGTGGATTTCCTGCGGATTGTCCTCAAAACCTTGGGTGTCGATCAGAGTTGGCAATTTTTTTCGCCACCATCCCGACATGCAACGCCCTGTGTCGATCCTGTCCGAGAATAGTTTAATTTTTTCCATGAACGGAAAATACTCCTAAGTTCCAAGTGTGTTCAAAATTATTTTAATATTATGAGAATGAGGGAGATAATAGACCCCCCCCCCCCCCACTTACATTCTGATGTGAAATGTCGTCTGACGACCTTCACCCCCCGATTGTCCTGCGTATGCATGTGGTTCCCATTCTCCGGACAAACTGGCGCAGACTGTATTGATAAACGTGGATTTCCCAGAGCCATACTGACCAAGAATCAAAACATTTTGTGCCCTACTGCCTTTATTAATTTTCTTTAATAACCGTTGAAGGCTTTCTTCTCTGCTCATCTCATAGCTGAAATACACGATCAACGTACTTTCACATGATATGTACTAAGTATATATCATCTAGAAACCCGTTCATTGCGTTCAAGCTAACTATTCATTATATTCATAAAACAGGTAATTACAAGTGCATATCCTTTCTTCATGACAAGGAGCACACGGCGGGTGTGACCAGTCGGCAGGGGATGCTCAGTCCTCCATGGCATCTGATCCCATCTCTGATCGTTTTGAGGCCCGTGTTTGCTCTGCTTTGTATTTGTTTTTATAGACTTTGAGCTTGAATACTGTTCGTTATTTCCATATTTCATTCTTAGCATCTTATTTGCAATTAAACAAACTTTAAATTAACAAAAGAGATTGGAGATATTTATATTTTATTAAATTGCAAACGAAGAACTTAATTTCTATCTGTATGTATCAATATCAAAATTAATATTTAAGATAAATGGATAGACTTGATGTTTAGTAATTTGTAAGAGTTTATGTAGGAGTTCTCTTGCAGAGTTGTGTGTGATAAAATACGGACTGGATTACAAGACAAACATCACTACTCCGGTATAATTACTGTATTGAGATATGTTTTGATTTCTGATAGAACACATATTTTACGGCTTATTTTCATCTCACAGATTGGCACATGTACTTAGTGTACGTTAATTAATCTTGGTATTAGTCCTTAATTTTTGGATAGTACTAGTTTGAAGACCTCGCCAGCAGTGCATATAGATTTACTAATACGACGAGCATTACAAAGCCTCACCATAACCATCACACTGTTTACAGAAATAATTTCAATGAACAGTGTCAAGCAAGTTTCAAAATAGTGATTGTGCAGCAAGTTTCATCTACTAGTATTGGTTGTAGGGTGTCACGTGTAGACAAATGAATATTCATGGCATCTTTGTTTACCAATAAGCTCGTAATACGTATATCGATAAACGTGCACTGCAATGGGCGTTTTCTTTAAAAAATCTTTTTTCTTAACATGCATGAACCATATTTGTGTGCATAATAAATGATAAACCTGTGAAACAATAGCATTCATATAAAATACAACTTGTACAATTGAAATCGTTACCTGTTTTCTGTACAGCCTCCATTTAAGTTTTACAGGTTCAAGTTTATACACGAGAATAAATCGATAGATTGTTTTTAAAAGGACGCCTCAGTGCACATCAAGCCATTCATAACATGTTAAAATACCCTCTCAAATGGTTTAATAAGTTGAGAAATAAACTGTAAGACAGACAGAGGCTGTGACGAAATTTATGCATAATTTAACGTAATATTATTTAAAGATAGCAATTTCATTATATAACCCTCTTTCATTCGAAAGGGATCATTTTGACAGAAGAGAAAGAAGATCGTTAATAGAAAAAATACAAGCCTAGAAATCGTTTCTTATCAAGAAACAAAATATTTAAGTTATTAAAATTTTATCATTAATAAATGTTCATTTCGATTTGTTTTCCAAATTCGATTCAGTGATATACAAGGTAAATATTAACATAAATTACTTAAAATGACATAGTGTTGTTAAGTTACAGTGGATATATTCTTATTGTTCATGTCGGGAGTTCGATCGATCCGTTTCTTTTTTAATTAAATTAAGGGTTTAATGCTTGAAAAAAATATTCCTACAACATTTAGTAGATAGAGGCCTTTTCTATTCTATTCTAAAGTACAAAATCTGGCAGTTGTTTTAATGGAATAAAAAAGAAACTCATTTCAGAATCAAGTGTTAAAATAAAATGTAAAAGTTATTCCTGGTTCATTGCTCTCTTTCGAGCTCATGCATAAAGTTATTCAATATTGACTATGAAAGACACACATAAATTGAATACTTTTATTAAAATATTGATCGCGTCGTTTGTTTTCAATAAATCTAAATAGATTACGTCGCTTTCATACATTGTAACAAAGTTATTGACTGTCGGTGAACATAGATCAATTCTTTTATATCGTGGTCACAAGAACTTGATTTAATATCGATGTCTTAAATCAAATATTTGACCTTCCTTCCTGTGGATTGGATATAGTTAATAACAGCGAGGTCTCGGATTACGATGCTGCGATCTCAGATTTTGTTTGATTAGAAATTTTATCTGTTGCATTGTTTCCAGAGATCTACATTATTTGTGGGTTATAGTTTTTTATTTTAATTATTGGAAACATTTTTGGAACTATATTGTCAATTTGTGCACCTGTCTTTTTTCAGAAAATCCAGTATGTAACTAGTGATAGTAAAGACGGTGTTTCGCTCAGCTTGTATGTTCAGGTAAGATGTTATCATCTGTATCTTTTACTTTAATTAGCCTTGTTTTACATGGACAACATTATTGGATGCTTTTTCACACATTTTCTTCAAGAATGCCAAAGGGAAAGATCAAGATAGGCTATCCTAACGAATCTTTCGTTGGAAAAGGCGCAATGTTTGCGGACATAGCAAAAGAGTCTTTGCGTATTCGGATGCATGTTAACAGAGTGAACGAACTGGAGCAGGAAAGATTACATAAACTCACAAAACTAATGAACCGTGATCAGCGAGTACACGAGTTCCTACGTCAGCGAGTTATGGACCGTACAGAGCGGAATATCGAACAACTACGTGGGTACAGGGAGGTCATCGGGGCGGATTACAAATTTGATAATTTCCAGACGATGAAACATGGCTTCAAAAAGAGGCGAGTAGAATCTCCTAGAACAGCAAGACAAATTTCATTAGAAACTAAAATATATAATGGAGGCTATCAACCTGGATACTTCAAACACGAGATCAAGAGGAAGATTCGGCAGGCGGATCCAAATGTTGTTCACAGAGTAGTGACGAAAATCCTGAAAGAACAGTGTCAGGAAGAATCCGGAAAAGTTCTGGACAGGAAGTTGTCTGATATGTCGTATTATCGAACGCTGAGAGAACAACAACAAAAAGGTCAGTTTCACTTCAAGCCCCAAGTCCGACATTTGATTCCAGTCTCAAAAACTAACAACAAACCTCACAGCCAAAGCCGACAAGAGAACTTTCCCATCATACGATAACCAGTGTAGGACTTTCTTCATTTCCTTTCTGGTGAACATTCCTCGATGCCAAAAAACATGTACACGGTATTTTTTTTACCTTAAAATGACTATGTGTGCTGATATTCGTGGGATTTAGTAACACACACAGACATGCCTTCTCTTCGTTTCATTCTATGCTTTTATCTAAAGACTACAGCACAAAATAAATATTGACAACAGTTAGGAATACGTCATTTCCTCATTTTATTTACTATATTTATCAGTTATAATTAATAGTTCACTGTAAAACTATAGAGCGAAAACTTTTCTTTTTGAAAGTAAGTCCTTTTTGGTTTGTGATAACATATTTTAGGAATGTTTTTAATTGATGAGATACATGTATATCAAAAGTACTATTATTTCTAGATCATGTTTTGCGCGTAAAATTATTATTATGTTTTATCCCTGTTGAAAATATTTGACTCTGAATAAAGGTGCTAGAAAAAATACTTGTTACTATTCACAATTTTTTTTTTTTTGGAATAAATTGCCTTTTAGAAGTAAACATTTAAAATTATATAATTTGTAACATGTAACATTGTAACATAAATGGAAGTAAACGTAAAAGCCAACATTATACCGTAAGATATACAGCCAAACCTCGTTATCTCGAACTCGAAGGGTCCGAGAAAATACTTCGAGATATCCGTGGATTCGAGATATACACGGTAAAATACTGAAGGAATAAGCAGTTGGGACTTTAAAATGACTTCGACATATCCGAGATATCCGTGTTCACGATACCGAAGTTCAACTGTATATGAAGGAATTGTAACATGTAATGTTTTGTTTTATTTTAACATAGCTATTTTGCTTGTTGATATAGATACATGTACATTGCTTGTTGATATAAGTGCTGTAGAGAATAAACTTATAGATAGGCACAGAAATATGCTATCATAAATCTTTTTAGCAATAAATAATGGATTTGCATGTATAAGTTGAAGAAAAGAGCATATCAGACAACAGATAATACCTTGTATAGTTATTAGTTTTATGAAAAATAACAAAATGCCATTGATTTTCGAATCATGTTACTGGCAGTTTATTCACTGGGGTAGTTTATATCAAACGTGTTAGCATTCATGATTGCACAGATGATCCGCTGCTGCAAAACTGGCAGAATAATCTAAAATTAAAACATAAAGGTCAAAATTTCTATAACAGTGGTTATCAAAATTATAGAAGTGGAGAAATATTACAGAACTTACGTGCACGTGTAAGCTGGGCTTACCTAATGGCAAATAAATACAGGAATAAACTGCAGCCAACACCGAACACATTGTCTATATACCAAAGAGAGGAGTTATGCTCATACAGGTCTATGGCTAGGAAAGCCGAAAAGCTTATCACGGCGCCGACAAACGTGATTACGCCTATAAAAAAAAAGGATGGTTATATGTACATATGATTTTACACAAATTAAATCCATACTCCTTTTAAATTGTTATTTTTGTTGTAATATAATAGTATAGCTCTTCGTCCTTCAAAATATACTTACACATATCAATATAACGAACAGTTATCAAGTTAATGAGAGCACTTGTTGCTCTGAAGTTCTCATGTTACCAAGTACAAAAATCGTTTTTGAATGACTGATCACATAATTAAAATTATTTTTGATGAAATAATCAAAATCCTACTATCTGTCATCAACGATTTACTCTCCAGTTTGTATCCTATACCAAACTTTATAATCCCTAATACAAGGTTAGAACAGCCATTGACCAAGGACAGTATGCTCAGTGTCACAAGCTGAAAGAAAATGTTTAACTACATTTAATCTTAATCTCAAACTTTACTATTCCGAGTAGTACATAGTTATAGCCTAGATTGGGGAAAGCGTGATTATTTTAACAAGCTGAAACAAAATAGCTGTCAGTGAACTATATTATTTCTCTATGTTAATGTGCTATAATTTCTTCGTGTCTTGACTGTGCATGAATAACTTTATAAGCTATATATTAACTTTATAATGAATAAGCTACAAATTTATCATCATAAAATATAAAAGACGGGTCACTTTTCCTGTGGCCCTCTAAGCAATTAAGATAGTGATCACTTTGTTGTTTTGTTTTCCTGTATACCGGGTACCTTTTGAATTACGTAAAAAATCATTGAAGCGGAACAAAATACAATCTGATCTAAAACTCAATAATGTAGACTCACATTCCAAAAATAAGCCCAACACCTGCAAGCGTTTAGAAAAAAACCAAGTGGACAGACTGACGGACAAACGAAGTGGACAATCTTCTCCGGTTTCAATAATATTTAATCCTGTTGTTGTAATTTCATATATTACTACAATTGCATATTTCTGACGAAACTGTAGAAAACAAGAAATCCATAAATAGATTTCTACATAAATGTATCTTTAAATAAATAACCTGGGATTTGTGGACCTAGCATGGTTTCTTCAGTGTTACATGGAACGATCACAACCGATTTATTTGACAGTTTATGTGACAAGTACCTGTTTTTCTTTGGTTTCTTTGACCAGTGTAACAATGGACATCGTCAGTAAACTGGTGCTGGACACCACAAATAAAATGGCTATAATAAAACAGGCCCTGTGGATAAAAAGTAACCAAAATCTTTTGAAAACAAACCGTTTGACGTACAGCTCATGCAAGTTCATAACACTATCGTCTTTGTTTGCAAGATTCATTATTATAACTGTATTTCAGAAGAAGTTGGTTTTAATTCTACTTTTGGAAATCCAACTTATGATACCACTTCATTTTCTAAAGATAAAATTCTACAAAATCACATTTCAGTATTTAAAACTTTGAACATTCCTGTCAACCAATGTGAGTTCGATCCACCCTACCTATATTGGATTCCTAAGCTTCATAAAATCTTTACAGAGATACATTACAAGGTCAAGCAAATGCTCTACGAAGCCCCTATCCTTGCCTCTTACAAAAATATTAACTGCTGTTCAGGAGAAACTTCAGACATACTGGTTATAGCATATTCTAGAAGTGGTGTAAATTACATGTGCATTCTCAAGAACTCGAACTAATTTTTAGAAAATTTAAAATCGCTGGATTTTTCAAAAGTTAGTTACATCAAAACATACGACTTTTCTTCACTTTATAGAACCATTCTTCAAGATAAATTTAAAAAAATAAATAGATTCCTCATTGACAGCATTTGTGTTGTCTTTGGAGACCAGGTCTTCCAACAACTTGGAATTGCAATGGACACTTATTGTACTCCTCTATTAGCTTACCTGTTTTTATATACCTATGAAGCAGAATTTATTCAAAAACCTCTACACGAGAAGAAGAAAACACTTGCTGTGGTCTTCATTTCGACATTTAGGTATATCGACGATGAATGATCAATTAACAATACTTACTTTCAATCATATGTCGATTAGATATATCCCAGTGAACTTGAAATAAAAATCACCACAGAGTCTGCCACATCTGTTTCATATTTGGATGTTTTACTGAATATAGACGATAAGGGCCAACTAACAACTAAACTGTATGATAAACGAGATGACTTCAACTTTTCCATCTTCAGCTTTCCTTATTTATGTAGTAATATCCGCTATCACCTGCATAATGTTTTTTACAACTCCCAACTTATTCGATACTCACGAACATGCTCCGAATACGTCAATTTTTAAACCGAGGCAGGCTATTGACAGATAAATTGATGTTGCAGGGATTTCAACAACTTCGTTTAAAGTCACCATTTCGTAAATTCTATGATCGTTATAATGACCTTGTTAGCAAATATAACCTTTCATTGGGGTATATGTTTGCTGACGTGTTTCATACCAATTGTTAGGCGTTTGTTCTTTTACTGTATTTGACTACGGAATGTCCCATCTACCTGATATAAACATAGGTCTCACGGCGGTGGTGACCGGTCGACGGGGGATGCTTACTCCTACTAGGCACCTGATCCCACCTCTGGAATTTCCGGGGTCCCTGTTTTATGCCCTGTTAAATTGTATTTTTATAGATTTTTTGAGAACTATTACTATTCGTTATCTTCACCTTTTTCATTGATATAATGATAGATTTATTTTACTGAAATAATAGTTAGTCAACTCTAACTTTATTCAGGGAATCGTGCATACATATAAAAAGCTGTTTTGCTAATGGTTATGTAGAGTTTATAACTTTACATCTCAAGTAAAATGTTTGTACTGGTTTTCCTCTGCTCTCCAAGTATAGACATTACAAGTTTACTGTTGTTCACTTACTTTCGTTCTCGGCTCTCGGAGTAGAGATCTTTGCTGTGAAATCGCCATAATACCACAATAGATGATGTGCTGTCTAATATTGCATTAAGCTGTAGAAATAACGTTGGTGGTAAATGCATGATAAAATCTTGAGACTGAGAATTTTAATGAACACTAAAGCATCATGATATATATGTACATGTACATATTAAAAGACAGATGATACAGACAAAAAATGAATTTTTCAAACTCATTTTGGTTTAAATATTGCATATATCAAATTTCTAAAATATTCAGAATTTTTAGACTTTCTATGATGTTCAAATTTATTCCTTTTTCCCATAACAATTTAAAATCTATAGAATTTTTACCATTTGTGAGACATTATTAAGAAACTTTGAATGAAAAATGAAAGTTTATATGGCTAAACGTATTCGTTTTACTTAAATAAAAATGAATTTAGTTGGGTTTTTTTCATTATTTGCATGGTAAAAAAGTTTGTAACATTTGTCCTTAGGAGTGAAATATTATCATTTTCATAAACTGGTTGCAATCATGCTAAGTATTAGGAGGAAAAGTATATATTTTACTTACTCCAAATCCAAACAGCGTGTCACTGCTGAGTTTTAAAGCAAAAGCTGAAAAGTAAAAGAACAATGCGAAAAAGGTATGCTGGGCACCGTATCAAGATTTCAACAAAATCTACACAGAACTATGATTCTTCATTATAAGTGGTAAAAAGGGTATTGAGAGATGGCTTTTTTTTATTCCAATTTTTTTATTAAGCGTTCTTTGCACTGTGTCTCCTAGAAATCCAGCGTGGGTTTAACTTTGAACAAGCTTGATTCAACACAAAGAATAGTTTAAATTGGGCTTGTTCTTCTTGAGACACTTCGTAAAGTTTCCTCTTTCTTTGTACATTTCCTGGTTTTAAAACAATGTTAAGCCTATGAGTGCATAAGCATTCACATAAGACACTTGTTTCTAAAATTATGTATGGAAATCTTGTAGCCCAAATTGGCACAAGGATATTCTCTAAAGAAACTTGAATCTACGTTTAATAAGAATGGTTGCAATTTGCTTTGATAAATTGTAGTCTTTTAGTTGTCTAGAATAAGATGATTTGATATATGAATTCTATATATAGTATAAGCAGAACTAATAAGGTCCCTTTTGTGGATAAAATCTAACTTCAGGTTATTATAGACACTATCTCGAATTCTCTCCAATTAGAAACATCTTATTTTTAAAATGTTTAACTTTTAGCGTAAGCTTAGTGTTACATGATAATGTGGTCCTATTTATGCAGATTTTAAAGTACCAAGCCCTATTTTAATTAATTCTCAGCTGTAGAATGTTGGGCTATTTATCATTTGAGAATCTTGTGCGAAATCTTGTACAAATTCTGGTCTTGTAGAGGTCAGCAATGACCTGGGAAGACTTCCATTAGAAAAGCTCATTTGAACCTTTGGTTCTGGTGAGCTATAAAGTGGATTTTACAGCTGTTGCGAAGTTAAGAACGACCGAGCATAAAGTTGGTCATGAAAGGTATTAAATCGGTGGTGGTGACACGACTTCGTACATCATCAATATTTATTTTATAATGGGCACAGATGTATTGAATGACGTTTGTTATAAATAAGATGCAAAGAGTTTCCATTTCATTAAAAAAATACATGCATGTTGTATAGATTAAAACATCCAAATTTAGATGCATAAAAAGTAAAACAAATGCAGATGATTCCATAGTTTACAATATCAAAGTCTGAGTATTGAAAAGGTCTGTCTTCACCATGCAAGAAATAAGCTTGCTTTTAAAAAAGCATTTGACGTTGTAGAATTTCTGTAACATTATTTTTTTATTTGAATTCATTGAGTGGAAGCAATTCGTACCGACTGCCGTGACACCCTGAGTAAACCCAAATAGGACGGAGAGCCAGGACACAACAATGGCGGCCCTCCTTAACCTCACAGCCACGGTCAACTGCACCCTGTGTTTGACGTCTAGAAGCTCCGCTAAAAATGAAATTAAATGTCCGTGATCTTTTAAAGAATACAAACATTGTCAAATTGAATGTACTTTAAATCTTTATTTCAAACATCAAGCTTGTATTGTCCAGCATGATTAAATTGACTAGACAACATATATGATATCTGTACGTATGGAATTCATTTTAGATTTCATATTGTTACATTTCAGAATGTGCAATATATACACATACATAGTACGTGTGTTATATGTATATCCGCACACAATATAAGAACAGTTACGTCAGATTAATGATAATTTGTGGAAGTAAATTGTGTTTATGAGTACTCTCTCTCTCTCTCTCTCTCTCTCTCTCTCTCTCTCACCTTTTTCGGAGTCTACATAACCACTTCCTCCAGAATGAATCTGAAGTGAGATCGCCCCTGCGTCTTCTGACATTATAAGTCAATCCATTTTAACGTACATATATAAACAGACGACTGATATCATTTGTATTTTTGAGTTTTTGAACACAGTGTAAAGATTACTAAAGGTAGATTTTCTATAAAGATTTGATCGTGCGCAGCTGTGATTTTCAGTTAAATTGTTTTGAAAGGAAATGACTTGATCGAGTATTTTATATTCAGTGATGTGTAGCCAATGTTTAACATTCGAAAATTTAAAGTTTCTTCATATATGCTTGCGATTTCTCCATATATATCAAATAGTATGCATGATTTCCTATGGTTAAAAGAATAGTTATGATTGAATGAACATATGACGTGCATATGCTTTTTTCATGAAATCGGTTTACCGCAAATTTGAGCGTAGCAACAAAATTTCAAAGCACTGAAAAATCCCGCCGTTAGCCCTCTTGTTGATAAGGTAAATGGAGTAGTCTATAGTCAAAATTAGTATAAAAACAACGATGATTCTATTTCACTGTAATTGGTTTTCAATACTCGTACAAAAAAGAGATAAAAGATAACAGAGCAATTCCCATGTCTTTATTGCTATTTTAGCTACTTTCCAGGCATACATACATAAGTTACGAAAGGTTTAAGCACGTTTAGCGGATCCAAATATACCGTTAAGGTAAATTCACGGTCTCTAGCTAAAAGACATTTCAAAAGTTATTTTTAATCCTTCATCTACATGTAATAATACCATTGATAAATTTTCAGCCTTTGAATTTAAAAAAAAAATTCTACCACATACGGAAAATTATTGAATGAAACATGTCAAAATGTATATGTACATCTCTACTGTCTGATAAGTGTATATGTACATCTCTATTGTCTGATAAATGTATATGTACATCTCTACTGTCTGATAAATGTATATGTACATCTCTACTGTCTGATAAATGTATATGTACAATTCTACTGTCTGATAAATGTATATGTACATCTCTACTGTCTGATAAAATGTAAATGTATATTTACATCTATACTGTCTGATAAAACAGGTAAATGCATGTGTACATTTCTACGGTCTGATAAACATGTAAATGTATGTGTATATCTCTACTGTCTGATAAAACATGTAAATGTATGTGTACATCTCTACTGTCTGATAAACATGTAAATGTATGTGTACATCTCTACTGTCTGATAAACATGGAAATGTATATGTACATCTCTACTGTGCGATATGGAGAGAGAAGAAAACAAAATTTAAAAATCAATGTCTTATTCAGCTCAGACACAATCTTGAATTTTGTTCATGTTAATTTTAAAACCCAAAGTCCTTTTATTAAGAAGAGAAAACATTTTCTTAAAAAGGAGTTCAAACAGACATTTTTAAACAATTCAGTAAGATACATGATACATGAAAATATCAGTGGTAACAAAATGTTTATGAAAGAGCTAAAATGGGAATTTAAAGAAAAAAAATTCTTGTACGTCGCAGTCAAAATCGACGATTCAGAAATTGAGAAACTATTAAAGGATTTTCCCAACCTACTGGCTATTCAAAGAGATCATGCAAAACAGCTTGACCTGTCACCTTACTCACGAACATACATCTCAACAAACAATTACTTTGTCAAAGAATCGGTTTGATTTTGTGCATATACAAGTTACTCACGAAATTACATTCCCACGAACAAGTAACGTTTTAGTTGCTTACGAACATTGGACACCATGAATTGAAATGATTCTACAATATTGCAAAGTCACGTGTGTGTGAAGGAAGGTATATTCCACTCTCGTTTTCGGCAGATAACCATAATACAATAAAATTGGGGGATTGGGCGTTAGCCAGCTTAAGAATTTAAAAATGAGCATTTCTAAATTCCCATGCAATATTAACGGCAAAAATTTTCTCAGGAGAAAGGTGGACACCCCAAATTTCGATCTAGGGGCTATGGGAGACATTATATTTTCTTGTCCCTAAGATAAAAGAGACACAAACATATATAAAATGTATTGATTGATTGATATCTTATATCTTAGACTGAAACTACTGAGCATCTATAACTGCCTTTAATGCATTCGTAAAACGAAGACTTTAGCACCATCATATATAACACAAACATATATCATGAGATATGAAGATAAATAAGAAGATAACAGACAGTAACCAGGCTCAAAAGTCCAACAGATGTGCGAATAAAAGTATTTAGCAGGAAAACGAATTTGACATGTTACCTCTAAATTTTTACCATGTAGACTGTTCAATAACATTAATAATTACAAACATGCTAAAACAATCATTGAAGGCTTTGCTTTCTGATATAAAATAATTAAAATTTAAATCCTTTATATAAAGGAATAGCAATAAACTTTCATCTTCTCTGCTATATATAAATCCATTAAAACCATTCAAAGAAATTTCATTTTTAGCTCTACTGGTCAGAGACCAGAAGAGCTTTTGCGATAGTAAGTTGTCCTCCGTCCGTCCGTCTGTCTGTCTGTCTGTAAACAATTTTTCAAAATGCTACTCCTCCTATTATTTGGTCTGATTTTAATATAACTTGGCACACAAGTACACTACACTAAGATACATAATTCTTTTTCTCGGTTTTTGATACCGATGAACGGTGTTGCCATGATTACTAAAAATAGAAATTCCTGTGAAATACTTTCAAAACTCTACTCCTCCTACAGTTTTGGTCTGATTTCAATATAACTTGGCACACAAATAGATTACACTGAGATACATAATTCTGTATATCCAGTTTTAGCTCACCTGAGCTGAAGGCTCAAGTGAGCTTTTCTGATCGAAATTTGTCCGTTGTCTGTCGTCATTGACGTCGTTGTCGTAAACTTTTCAAATTTTCATCTTCTTCTCTAGAACTACTGGGCCAATTTCAATCAAACTTGGCACAAAGTATCCTTAGGTGAAGGGAATTCAAGTTTGTTCAAATGAAGGACCATGCCCCCCCCCCCCTCCAAGGGGAGATAATTACGAAATAGCAAAAAATTAATGGCATTATTGAAAAATCTTCTCAAGAACCAATGGGCCAGGAAAGATGAAACTCATGTGGAATTATTGTCAGGTAGTGTAGATTCAAATTCGTTCAAATCATGACCCCCGGGGGTAGGGTGGGTCCACAATGGACGATCAAAGTTTTACATAGGGATATATAGGAAAAATCTTCAAAAATCTTCTTCTCAAGAACAGCAAAGCTATGATTGGTCATATTTATAGGGAAGCATCCTCAGGTGGTGTAGATTCAAGTTTGTTCAAATCATGACCCCCGGGGGTAGGGTGGGGCCACGATGGACAATCAAATTTTACGTAGGAATATATAAGAAAAATCTTCAAAAATCTTCTTCTCAAGAACAGTAAAGCTATGATTGGTCATATTTATATGGAAGCATCCTCAGGTGGTGTAGATTCAAGTTTGTTCAAATCATGACCTCCAGGGGTAGGGTGGGGCCACAATGAACGTTCAAACTTGTAGAGAAAAAAGTCACAGTTAGTCAAAAAATCATGTGAGTATCCTTGTTAGTGTAGATTTTATTTTGTTCAAATCATACCCCCCAGTCCCTTTTAGGGGTAGGTTGGGACCACTTATCCATTTAAGCTTTGCAATACTAAATTGATTTTTCCTAGCCACAGTGCTAAGGTGAGCGATGTGGCCTCTGGGCCTCTTGTTTGATTTTGGTGAAGTGTTGCCATGGTTACAAAAAAGCTGAAAATTCTATGACAAACTTTCAAAACATTACTTGTCACCCACGTGGCGCAGTGGTATAACGTTTGCTCTAGAGTCGCAGAGTAAGGAATTGATCCTTACGTCGCGGGTTCGAATCCCACTGGGGGACATTGAGACCGGTCCTTCAGATAAGAGAGACCGTATAAACCAAAGTCCCATGTCGCAGTAGGTGCTGGCACGAAAAAGATCTCTTACTGCTCTATGGCCCTGAGTGCCTAGCATATATAGGTCAAAATTTGCAGCTCTCCACCGGCAAGTGGCGGCGTCTCCATATGAGTGAAAAATTCTTGAGAGGGACGGGAAACAACAAACAAACAAAATGTTACTTCGCCTACAGTTTGGTCTGATTTTTATATAACATGGCATGCAAGTAGACTACACTGAGATAAATAATAGTCTTTATTTTTTTTTATTTTGATGAATGATGTTGCCATAGTAACTAGAATCAAAATTTCTCTAACATTCTTTTAATGTTTCTTTCTACAGTTTTAGTCTGATTGCAATTCATCTTGCAACAAAAAGAGAGTAAAACAAGGATTATTATTTATTTTTTGCTGTTGCAAAGTTTCAAGTCCAAGTGCTACTTTTCTCTTCCTTTGTTATAAGAACAAACCAGTAGAGCTACAGTCTCGACAGAGACTTCTGGTTTTAGTAACCATTGGAACAGGGGTACCGTTTGTCAAAATCAAAAACTTTTAAACAAAATAACCTATCCGAATATTGTCTTAAAGATGTTAATTTTATAGAAAATGTTCCTCAAAATTTATGAAGTATTAAGTACCTCTATGATTTGAAAACAGTGTATCATGAGAAAATGTTACTCTTAATTCATAAATAAACTCAACTGCATATACGTCTACTTTACAAAATAAGATAAACAAAGATTGAAAAGAAGTTCAGCTAGGAAACATTGTATAATGTATATATATAATTTTTGATAGACAAATAATCAACAATTAAACAAAGTTGCATATACTTTATACGCTTTTATATACTTTTTAGGTCACCTGAGTCACTCGTAGTGCGATGTGCATCGTCCGTTAACATTTGAACATTTTCCGCTCCTTCTCTGAAACTGCTGAACCAATTTCAACCAATTTTGGCATATAGCATCTATGGGTGAAGTTGAACAAAAATTGTGAATTTCATGTTCCTTGACCCCCTGGGGCCTGAGGGGTGGGGCTAAAACTACCAAAATTAAAAATTTTCTTTAAAAATCTTCTTCTTTACTCCTGGACATCAAGCAGTCAAAATATTGGCATGATTGTAATAAGCATTAAGCCCTCTACCAAAATTGTGAATTTCATGGCCCCAGGATCAGGGGTTCT